TACGATTATAAGCTGACGAACTCTCATATACTTCTGAACCTTGGTCTAATTCTCATTCTTCCAAGTACAAGGCGATAATTACGCGAGTGCGGTTAGCGGAGATTTATATCGTGGCGTGTATGATTAATTTTATTCGGGTAACACATGGTCGTGATAAGGTGAAGTCCCGCGTCCCACTTGGGGTCTTAACGAGTGTATGAAATGAAATGAATATATAATGATATTCATACTATAACAATTTTAGACCATCGCTATAGACTTGATAAAAATAATATGATATGTTTCACTTGTCTCATTCTCATCGTATAAAAATTTAACAAGACTTTACGTTACTTAGCATGTATTTCTCCAGCTATATAATCTTTTTAGCGTTAAAATTATTAAGGAATATAATTCTATAATAAGTTATTGAAGTAATTCCTGATGTTTTAGATGTGTGTTTTTAAAATAAGATTAGAGCTAAATGTATTGAAAATTATTTAAGTTCTCGTATGCAGTCAAAAAGGGGCCAAGGTGTAAAAATTAAGTTACAGTTTTTGCTTGACCAGTGGTTACAGTAAAGTATGTAGAACTATTTTATTACTTACTTAACCTCGTATGAATAATTTTAACTTCGTAATTATGGTTACATCTAAGTGGGCCTTAACAAAATGGTATCTGCATTTATTTAAGAATTTGCCTATCCATCATGCAGTTGAATGACTTTAATTTACTTTGTGCATGACCACTTTAAATTGCTTATGTGTTGCTGGAATCTTAGAACACGATTTCTTCAAGGATTTAATAAGTAGCATAACTCATTATTAAGGGCATAAAGTATGAGCCGAAAGTCGGCTTAACTGAATTTTGTCTGTCTTTCTCTATCGTAAAAAAACATATTTGTTCAATAATGGTCCAATACCGTTCGCATTTCGGAAGGTAAAAACATAGCATTTGAATTTAAAATTTATACATTAAAACAACAATTTCAGATAAAATCTTTACCTACAGCCCATCTATATATATAATAAAAATGTAACAAAGTAAATTAAAAAACTCAAACAGTTTAAAACGCAAAATATATTAGTTAAACTTGGACGTTGAAACGTCGGGCCGTAGTTAAAAATAATTTGTAAACAAGTTTAACTAATATATTTTGTTTTATTTAAATATGTAATAACGCTGTCTGTACATAGGAAATTTATGATAAAAAATATTATAAGAGACCTATTTGAATGCAATTGTATCCAAAATAATGATTTTGGAATTATTTTCTGCGTGTCTTTGGGGTTGTGCATGTTATTCTAAAGATAACACTTTTAAAACCTCTATATTAGATACTTATTCAGAGTTTAAAAATGAAAAACCGAAATTTATTGTAAAAAGGGTAGCCAAAAGACAATTTAGCATAGTAAATCTGTCTATTCTAAACGACAACAAGTAGCATTTAGTTACCGTGTTTAATATTCGCCGTACGTAATTCTTGTTATCTTCGCTGCTGAAGTCAATCCACATATTACGGAACTGAAAAGGCGAGGTCGCCTCCAAAATGAACATAGAAAACATGAATACAGGAAGCAAACATCTTTTATATGACCTTCCAAAATACATTTTGCCCTGGTGACTACAAATTAGATTTGAACGAGAAAATGTCGCGAGAAAGTGAAAAAGCTGTTATAGAAATTCTATATTTAAGCATTGGAGCGAAGTGGAAAGAAATCTAAGAAAGTAGACGGGCCATTAACGATGAATTTATTATCTTAAACGACATCGAAATGAATATAACATGTAAATACGGTTTGGTATCAAACGGATCTGGCTTTTTTGTAGTGACGATACGACTATGATGTTGGTTTTGTTTTATTAGAACCGGTTGCTTTGCATGTTTTTATAATGTAGAAATTGAAGCAGCGGACGCAACAAATTTACGGAAATTATTTAAATCTTAACGGAAACATTGCGTTAATTAGGTTTACATATAATTAAGTGGATATTGAGTGTTTTAAAGGTCGCTTACATATGCTGGTAGCGCTATTTACAATAATAACAATACTGTAAAAATGCAATAAACTTTTGGCAATATTATCTCAATCCTTTTAATATTTGTTGGTAATTATAAAACTATTTACTATAAATTGTGTGTTTCAAACACGTTTCTATAAGAATAAAAAAACATTACACTATCAACATTAATTTCAAAATTGATTTTATTTTCACGAGGTTTTATACCAATTTACGACGTAATATCAATTTCCAACATACCATTTCGTTCTTATTACTTATATCTTATAATAATTAATGTTTGCTGAATATTATGTATTAACATTAAGCCGGTTCTTATAGTCATAATATTATCGAATTAATAATTTCCTCATAAAAAAATACTAAATTCCTTTTTTGCCTAAATTTTAATCTGTGGTATCATAGTATCGAATGTTTGCAGTTTTACGCAGGAAGATAAAACACTTTTAACGGTTATTAACGTGAAATATATTATTTGTTAAATTGTTTTATCTGACATTTCGTTTTCCGAACTTGACATAACTACTGCAAAGAATTGTCTAAATGTACGTATGTACTATCGTTAACACAAGACAATTCTTAAGCGTAATAAATGTCAAAATATACATTTTGTCTGCGCCATTAGATGGTCCATAGTATAAGACCCCCATATTGTAATCTCTAAGGTTACTTGGACAATACAAAGAGTCATCTCTTCCGTGATTTTATGAATTGGTTCCGCATTAATCAAACACTTGTTGCTTGAATATTAATAAACTGGCTATAAGTTATAGCTGATTGGCGTACATAATCATTTGGAATGATATGTAAATATTGTTTTTATTGGTTTCGTTTCGTTGAACTTTCCTAAGTATTCAAATAATATGAATTAATAGTACTTTTGTACGGAAAAACATTATATTCCAATTTATTATAAAATTACATAAAAATAAGATAAACTCGTACAATAGAAATCTAGAAAAACATACAATTTTATTTCGAAAAAAGTAACCCTTCGGTTATAATATGAAATTTTACGTTCTTTACGCGAACAGATACTAATAAAACAATATATAGGTGTTTATTGAGAACTCAAAACTATTATCGAAAATTAAAATGTCTGAATTTAAAAATCGAAAATAAATTATATAGTGCCTTCATGTGCAATAACATGTAAAAAATAAAAAAAGTTTTCAGTCTGTTTATTTATTTAGTCTGTACCTTAAAGGTACAGACTATTAAATACGGTTTTTGTCACGTACTCGGTACTACTCTTAAATAGTTCTAGAAAGGTGTTGAAGTAGGAGTCTTCTAGAACTTGTGTCAAACAAGTGTCTTGGAGCTTGTGTCAAATGTTGAGTAAAAATTACAAATATTTTCACTTAATTTTTATTATTATCTGTGGGTCATACCATATTTATAATCAATGAACACATTCTACTATTTACAACGTCCTAACCAGTTGCTAGCTTATCAAGTCAAATTGGTCTTCTAATACAATGGATTATAACTGTTGCGTAGTGCCGCGTTTTTTGACAGGTTGTTGACGTTTAGCAAAACACCGTGTATTCTTCGTTTTAGCAGTATCGGGTTGAATCTGCGCATCCACGCGAAGTCAATTGTCAACATGAGCGTTGCGTTTACACAATAGGCCTAATGTTTTATTCATGCAAGCGCACCGTACTTTTATTATCCTTTGTTCTTTATTATTTCATCTCGAATCACTGCGATTTAGATAAAAATTAATTTCAATAAGAACTCCGTCCTTCGCATTCAAATGCGAATTAGCATAAAACAAGAATTCTGCCTCTGTCGTTGTTAAATAAGAAGAAATGGATTGGCACTAACGCTATATAGCCATTTTAAGCTTTGACTCACATTAATTCACTGTACTTTGTGTAATATAGGATGAATGTGTGAAGTTAACCCTGATATGAAATAAAATCACACTTTATTGACAGTAAATAACAAAGAGTCTCGAATCCAAACGAATAATCATATGTGCTTAATAGATGGTCGAAATGTAAAACAAATAAAGTGATATACCTAAAATAAGATTTGATAAAAATTTTAACACAATATTTTTTTTTTTTGTTTGTTTTGTTATTGCGCACTTACGATATCGGGATAAATTTATATCTAAGAATTTCTCACTATAATTTCTCACATAAAATATCAATTTAAGTATAAAAAAAAAATCGGAAAGATTTGTAACTATTATGTCATACCCACTCCTTATCATATATTATCACTTGTCAGACTTATCGTTCTATATTAGACTATAATAACCACCATGCTTATATAATTTCAGCTAATTGCTTACTGGGAAAATCTTGAAAGCTCTAATTTCCCTCTTCGTTATCCTTTAAAGGAAACCGTAATATTCCTTTAGAAAGGCAATACTTGTTTTCATGTTCAGTGTAGGTTTTGTATTTAGTTTAAGAGGCTTATACAACTTTGAATTGTAAGATAGGACAAGATTTATCTCGGAGTTACCCGGCGAATAGAAGGGTTTTACGTTTGTTTTGAGATTTAGAATACGTACGTAAACTTCGGAAAAACTTTTTCTCTTTTATCTTAGGTATCGATAATTCGTGTCTTGGTATACTATATTGATATCCACCAAATTGGTTACTAACAGCTATCGTCAAAGATTTAATATTTTTTAATGTTATGCCAATCACATCACAAGCACCAAACAAGGGAAGATTTTTCTATAACAAAGAAAGTGTGACACAACACTCAAACATGTGTCTTTATAACATTTAAAAAAAAAAAAACCGATGAATGAGTTAAAAAAAAAAACTGATTTTCTTTTGTTATACTCTTTAAAATGTTTGCAAAGTCGGCTACAATACAAGTTGATACCTATACAATTTCCGCACACCAAATCCAGTCCAAATAACTATTAACAACAAACCCACTTTACATATTTTATATCTATTATAAGATGTTTATATAATATATATATAATAGTTAAATTGGATGAACCTTGTCAGAAGTTACTTCTTTTATTATAGATGCCATGGGATTCATATGAAGAGCATATGAGCGGACCTCGTGAAATGCGCATTCGTGTTCAAAGCGTGATGGCTATCCCAGCGAACAATGCGCCTTCTTCGGACAACATGGGACCCTTCGCGCCTCCCCCAATGCCCCAGAATCAAGAACAGCACGAGGTACAGATCCAACAGATAATTAAAATATGACAATCGAATCATCCCGGTCTTAAGAAGCTTTGAGAGCTGTAATGGCGTAAATAAGAAATGATTTTTTTTTAGAGGAGGAAGATGAGTAGAGTTAGTTATGAAAGGTGAAATACAAAGGATGCGCTGTCTGTATGTTTATATATAGAAGGAAATCCACGACTGAAATCGAAACGCGTTTAAACTTGACGGTTTTTTCATCTGTGCATTGTAGTTCGTGATACGGACAGAATTTCGATATTCCTACCACTTATTTAATATCCAGATTTCCATGAAGTCCAACACGTCTCAAAAACGATATAAATCGTTTAGGAAAATTATCGAACCCAAGATCCGTTGTATATTATTAGCCGTACATTGCTACTATTACGTTAAGCTCGTTAAACTTCAGCAAGTCAAGTCACATATTTTGCGTTTTAAACTGTTAAAAGCATTTTATTTAAACGTGCACTACTGGCAATGTTTATAATTACAAACTCGTTTTAGTTTAAAAGCTTTTGCTATTAAATAGTTTTAAAAAGCTTGAGGTATAATGGTATGCTAATATGTAATTCTTCTAATCCTTAGCAGAGGATGTACTCTGAGGAACAAATGAGCGCCCCCCGTGGTATCCGTGTGATCGCAGTGCCCGCTCCTCACAACATGGTGCCGCAGCCAGAGTCAATGGGACACTTTGCTCCACAACAACAATCGCAAACCCAGCAACAGGATCAAGATGAGGTAGTGTATCCTCTAATCCTATTTAATTCTACCAAAACTCAACTATGCAGTTTGAATAAATCCGCGAATGAAAGAGGACGAACATACCATAGTGATGCGCTATAACGCTATATCCAGTTAAGTTGCTACTCTGCAATTTATGCAAGTAAAATGCATATTTAAATAAAACACTTATAACGGTTTAAAACGTGAAATGTATATTTAAACTTATTTATAATTTATTGTAGCTACGGCGCGACGTTTCGGATGTTTTCGAGCCGTGTTCCCCTAGTGTTTCGCTTTAAACATAAAAGCTTTTATTTAAAAGTTCTAGTTTTAAATTTAATCTCGTCTGTATCAAATTTAAATCGTTTTTTTATTAAAAACAATGAGAAAAAGATACAACAATGTATAGTTATCATTAATGCGACTCGCACGCCTAGTTTCAAATTAAACTTAGCTGGAGTTTGTATCCATGACTCAATATTGTAAAACAAACAGTCCGTTTATGTACAAAGGCCATATTTGCATAATAAAAATAGCACACTTCACTAAGGTGTAAAACATAGCGGTTATTGGCTCTTGGAGATATATCACCTCAAACAATCACGAGTTTAAAAGCACCGGTCGGTATTGTGTACTCTTTTCGATAAGTATATTTAAATCACACGTTTCTGCCTTCGCAAACATTTAAGAAAGAAATGTGTTCTCTCAATTCTAAATAATAAAAAATCTTAGTAGAAGTAGATGAAAGTTCTATGTAAAGGCCGACTGAAAGATTTTATTGTTTCCTTGGGATTCGAACCCAAGACATCTCGCGCTTAACGTAATGCTAGACAACATGTTTAATCATCCGGCTATAGAAGCGGTAATAAGACAATATTAATATTAATATAATATTATAATTGATTTCCATGAATAAGTATGTACACGTTAACGTAAAACACTTTTAACGGTTTAAAACGCGAAATGGCCCGCCTTCACCACGGCGGCTGTAAAACATTGACGATGAGTGGAAGTCAAAATAAATAAAAAAAATCCTGTTTAAAACCGTTAATTGTTTTATTTAATTGTATTATAAGTCCTGGAACCGAACGTACGATTGACCGCAACCTATTATGGCTAACGAGAGGACTAGAGGTGTTTATCCAAGCAGACAGAATGAATATAGGAAAACTGTGTGGAGAGTCTGTGAAACAATGTCTTCGCCTATTGATTTTACATCCTTTACTTGTGACCTATTTTTCATATAATATAATGTGACTTACAGCAGCCCGCCGTCCTTCACCAGTTCGTCCCTCAAACAGCTCCGACTCAAGAAGTGGAACAGCCTGAGGTATACAATCTATTAATACATAGATTTTTATACACTCATTTAAAATATTTTAACACATCTCATCTCTCTACAAATTCTGTTTTTTTTTGTTTGTTGTTGATTTTCCGACATTCGTACTTCCTTACTAATGCTTCTTTATATGTACCCGTGGTCCACAATACAGTCTCTCAGTACTTAAGTTATTTGTAAAAAATTTCATGATAATAAAAACTCTTTTTAGATTGAAAAAAAAAATGATCATAAAGACGGGATTTGAACTTGCTCTATCTAATTAAGCCAGTATTTACCGTGTCAACAATTTTATCCAAATCTAAATAGATTTTTAGTTGATATACGCCCATCATGTACCATACGATGTTATGTGAACTGAATAATTTATTTTATCCTTAGATTATATATTGTAGAGTATACGCGAGCAGTACAAATTTAAATAAAACACTTTAACGGTTGAAAACTCGATATATGTTATATTAACTTATTGGGTTCTATAAAGAATAACTTAATTATTATAAAGAATATATGTACTTGAACACAGGTCCAAAAGATGCAAATGGAAGGCAGCCCAGTACAGATGAACTTGCCCTACGACCTGACGCAGGACGACCTCAGATTGATCCATCGCACCGCGCAGGACGCCATCGCCAATCAGCGTCGTGAACAGCAAATCGACAATGATATGCAGGAGGTGAGCAGCTTTTGGATATTGGATTTTGAAGTACACGTACCCGACATTGTTATATTAAACTAGCCGTGCCCGCGACATCGACCGCGTAGGATTATTATTTTAGGCATCAGTTTTTTGGAAACCTATTCTTCATCTTACAAATTGAGATTTTACTAGCCTCATACCGACCTTGTATACCAGATTAAGGATCTAAAGATATTTAAAAAGTAAATAGTTTTGATGTTTTAATTATCATACTCTTTTGTACAATTGTACTTAAAATTTTGACAAAAAAGTTATCGAGAATGTCACGGCAATTTAAAATAAAATATATACCCAAAACATACAGTTATCTTAACTTATCCACAGTAACAATTTAACATTAAATATATTTAAAAAATATCTTTAAAATTTGTTACCTACTCAAATTATAAATTTAAAAGTGTGTTTTAGATTTTCTACTTGGATACCTGAATTCAAAGCTGTGAATGTATTAATATAACATATCATTTACACATTTAAGTTCTTTAGTTTTGATATTTTCATAACGTTATATAACTCGTCCTCTTGTACAGTCGTATCTCCTTAAATTACCATGCGAGGTTTAAAGCTAATTGTGTAGTGACTTCTATCCCCATGTGGCTATATTTTCCTATACCCGCTATATAAATCAGCGTTTGCGATAGAGAAATCCCTCATAAGTGGGTCTTAGGTAAAGAGGAAGCCATAATTTATTTACATTTATCCTTATTCCTTATGTTAGAGTGGATGAAGAATATGACAAAGGATTAAACTTACCCCAAATTTTATCCCTACTGGAATTAATGTTCTATAAATTATTATATGAAAATGTGAATTTTAGGGGTGCCGTTAAATAAGTCATTAGATTTGTCTTCATTTATAAAACTGATGAAATAAACGGGTGTATATATAAATTTGAGAATTTTGATGGAACAGTCGATGTAGCAGTAGCACAGTTGGTAGAGCAGCGGCACCGTACACTGTTAGTCGTATGTTCGAGTTTCGCTTGTGTCATAAATGGCAAAAAATAAAAAAGATATTTAGCGTACAAAAATGAAGGTTAAAAGAAAGCAGTAAGTGCATATAAAAATGACAATAATAGCGTGTTTCTCAGGTAAAGACAATCATGAATACCCTTGCTGCTGCCGCTGAAGCTGAGGCTGATGATCAGTCCCGCGGTGAGGAACAACAGCAATCCGAGGAGAACTATACGCCATCTCAGGACGCACCTGCGCAAGCGCCGCGTGTGCCTCGCACATTACTTTTACCGCAAGATATGGACGGCAGGCCTCATTGTAAGTAGATCAGTTCTTTAAAATCTATATCGCTATATTATACTATTGGTATTGTCTAGCATACACTTGGCATTTGGCAAAATAAATTAGGCTGGTATTGTTTTAAGTATTTTTCATTTAATAATTATAATGTTTGTTAACGACACGTATTGTATATCAAGCAGTAATTAAGATCTTGGTTTAGTTGTTTACTAACCGACCCTTTTTATTCTCGTTCATTACTTAATGTTTGTGTGAAAGAGGTCACTTTGCCAATTTCGCCAATGCAAAACAACGCCACCGCCATATTTTTCCGAAAAAGTTTTGTCAAAGAGGTTATAAATAATATGAATTGTTTAAAGTATTAATACAGTATATTATTTCTTACCACATTCAAGTTCCGAATAAATAACTTGTTTATTATTGAATTTACTATAAGGTTATTACATTACAATATATGTTAATTCCCATTGCAGACATGCAACCGCGTTCCGTGCGAAGTGTGGACGCTCTGGTGCCGCAAGAAAAACGCGTAAAGCGATGCGCTTGCAGCTGCCGCTAAACGCGCAAACTGTGCCCACACATTCCGTCCATCCATTAAATCATTTTATCTTTTAAATGGTTTCGGTAACAGTTTGTAAATAAAACGTTTATCACAGGTGGCTTTTAATTTGTGAGAATTGGTATAACAGCATTCCATTTTCATTCAGTATTTTTAGAGTTGAATATTTATAGGCGTAGTATTATTATTCTATCGTTATTTCATAGTGTTGTTACTGAATCGAGGTATTTTAAATTGTGAAATAATTGTACTATTCAATTTGGTGGTGTCTATTGTATTTGATGCAGTTAATTTTAACCTACAAGTTGTGATCCTAAATTAAAATCTAATTAGTTTTATGACCCGTCTTTGTTTTAATCATTTTCCATAAACCTTTTTAACTTAAAGTTGTTTTTCATTTAAGTTTTGCCCCAACGCACACACTTGTTTTTAATAAACAACAACGACGTGTAAATTAAAGAAATTCGATCATTGGTTTAACACACTGTATATTTATTTACACTGGAATTGTAATGTTAAGTATTAAAATTTACACAAGAACTACCGACCCTATATAAATTACATTTATTTTACATTTAATTTCAAAATAAAAGGTATATTTATATACATATCAAAATATTGAATTCTTAAAACTAGATCATGGAGAATTCCAAATACTCACTTAAAATTATTATATATTACAATACTTATATTATATACTTATTGGTAGCTGCCTCCTGTTATATATATTTGTGATTTAATTTTAACAAGATATCGTTACTAGCCGCAGACATTAATTATTATTAGTACATACAAAAGCCTTTTGTTTAAACAACAAGTCCCTTTGTTTGAGATTCGATCGTGGAGCTCAAATTATTTCGGGCAGACCACATAAAACTTATCTCATCTATTTGTTGTTTACAGACAGCGAGTAAGACGCGGAACTGTAATTTTTAGAGACCCGTACCCACGGGACTAGAATACTATTAAACAAGTTGAAGTACTACATCTTGTGTTATATAAATGATAACTTTAACAGTTGACGTCTGTGGAGTATTAAATTTCTGGTGAAGTGTAGTAAAATCTTACTGTAAGTATTGTCTGTAGTTTGCGCGAGTAGTGCACATTTGAATAAAATACCGTTTAACGTTTTACTTATATCGTGCTGCAAAGCATCCGAAACGTTGTGCTGTGACTGTTGTGTCATACATTATGTGTTATAAACCGTTAAAAGTATTTTATTTAAAAATCTTATTTTGCTGAAGAGTTAATATTTTAATAAATGGGTTTAACCTCTAAGGATACTTTTCAATCAAAATTAATGGTGTCAATTATATTTAGATAACTACATATAATACATATCTCTATCGCAAAAGAAGGAGTAAAATCGTGATATAGTATGTTTTTCATACTGCACATTCAGTTTATTAGATAAGACGTAATCAACAATCAGACTACACTATTCACATTGTTTACACTGATTCCATTATTCACTTTACGATGAACGCGATCAGTCGTTTTTCCATACGCTTTTAGAACCAGTATAACGTACAGACATACAGCCAAAGAATCTAGTATCAACCCTAATACTGTGTTTAGAAAGATCGGAAGATAATTTTGGGCGTACCACAACTTAGTAATATCAGCCGACAACACATACAGATTGATCACCAAACAAAGGAAAAACGTTAAAGCCGTCAGACTCTTCGCGTAATACCGTATACTATCCATCGTGACTTTGAATAGTATTTTGAGGTACAAACCCGTTCCTATAATCATAACCGGCCACCGAAAAGCACAGCAAATGGTGAAGTATGCCATCCACGGGCTTACACAGTTGTAAGTGACAAGGCACACGTACAGCGCACTGAACGGTAGAGGGAGTAACCACGAACAACATAAGACCTTATACAGATCATTCTTAACCACTTTTACGACGACGATAATTAAGCTTTCGTACATATGTTTTATGAAGAATATAACTAAGATAACGAGCACTAAATCCACGTGAACACGAACGCCCATGAGTATATCGTACGTCTTTATAGTGAGATCCGGGCACAGGAACAGGGATAAATTCGCGATCCTATCGACGAGGCGTGCTATACTGAATTGCGTTAACATTTGGTTCCTGTAGTTTCGTCCCCAACGCGCGATTTTCAGCGTCGCAGCTATTGATATTAGGACTTGCAGAGTGGCTAATACGCATTCAGCGATAAGCATACCCCCGTACGCTGGTAAGTTGTCGAGCATAGCACTGGAATCAATTTCAAAGTAGGTATCCGATGTATTGACTCCTTCTCCGAACACTTCCTCGAACTCTGGCTCTGTGTCTGTGAAGTTCAGCGTGATGTTATCCATGTTGGACTCGGGTGTTCTTCAGCGATATTATTGATGAAATTTTGTACGACGTACTTACACTAATCGTCTGCGAGTACTAGCAAAATGAAACAGGAAATTCGCATCATATTGTTCATCAATATAACTTCTATTGGGATTTTGTGGTTAAATGTAGGAAAAGTGACGTCATGTTGTCTGTACCGCTTTGTTGTGTAGAAAGAAGATTTAACATTAAAAAACGCTTTTAATTCGTAACTTATATTATTAAACTTGTAATGTTATTGCACAACTTTAATAATATCAAGATTGTGATTGTAAACAAATAAATAGTGATCGATTTAAAACGATGTTTTAATTTATTTAAATAAAAGTAAAAAATACAATGTAATGTCGAATACTTAATTAATACGTTATATTTTTGTACCAATTAAAGTGTGTGTAAATAATTTATCAAAACCGTAACTGTGTTTATTCGTCTAAAAGATTAAAGCTATTAATATTCTCTGCTTGTTCACACTTATCTTCTGTATTAGGAATACATCAACATAACTATGAAGTTTTAAGTTTAGCTAAAATTTAAAACTTAATATTTGAATATGTTAATCATTATGAAACAATTTGTATTATTATTTTAAATTTACTTTAAAAAATAATTATCCTAATATGTTAATATCACCCCTTTTTTTTTTTTATATTTTAAAAAAAAAAAAACCCCCCCCCCCCCCAAGGGGGGGAAAAAAAAAAAAAAATTTTTTTTTTTTTTTTTTAAAAAAGGGGAAGGGGGGTTTTTGTTTTTTTGGGGGGGGGGGGGGCCCTTTCCTTATATTCTGTCAGTTCTGTCGTCCCGTTTCACTTTGGCGATTCCCGTACAGCATTAATTGGTCTTTGCAAGACGGCTACTGCAAAGCGTCCGAAACGTCGTGCCGTAGTTGAAATAATTTGACCTAATACATATCGCGTTTAAAACCGTTAAAGTGTTTTATTTAAATATTCTAATATGTAAAAGGTGCAGTCATGTGAAATTTAGTGATAAAATATGAGCTAAAAAGAACGCCCATATAGCAAAATGTATTGTTTGTTACGCTTTAATTTGGCGAATGCATATCGTCCTTTGGTCTGACGATCAATAGCTTTAAAATATGGGTCAAGCTCACTCTATGACACGGTCCAGGTGAGTTTGACGGATATATACCTGCTTTGTGTACGTAACATAATGTTACTGACGGAATGTACTCAATTATACTCGTTGGTCTAATGGCAATGTTTGGCTACGGGTCGTGGGTTCGTGTAAAATTTTTCAGTTAATAATTTTTCTGAAACCTGGTGGACTTCGTCTGGAAATCTGGTTATAAAATGGGTGGTAGGAATATAAAAATTCCGTCCGGGTCACGAACCACCGTCCGCAGATGAAACAGCCGCGAATCTTAATCGCGTTTCGGTTTCAATCTGTGGATTTCCAAATATCCAAAGACAATAGGTTGTCGGGGCATCTTGTTTAGATGCTTTCGGCTGGGGTCTACCTACCATCAAGCGAACCACCTCACTGTCCTAATAATAAAAAAAAGGTTAGGTTAGGTTAGATAGGTAGGTAGACAGGTTTTATAATACGATCACAATAATTTCTACGGCAATACAGAAACTAAAATTAACAATTATATACAGTCTCCCCTTGAGCACGGCTGCTGCAAAGCATCCGAGACGTCGGGCCGAAGTTAAAAATCATATTCAAATAAGTTTAACTAATATATCGCGTTTTAAACAGTTACAGTGTTTTATTTAAATTAAATACATCTTATTTTTACGAAAAGATAAACTAACAAATTTCCTGCAGTACTTACATTATTAACTTTGCATAGACAACAACTAACTTTGTAGCATACAAAAGACAGTATAATATGTTATATGTGAATTAGGATGCTTAATTATTTTATTAAGTTGTAGACGTTAAAATTTCAACTTCTAAAAACAAAAAGTAACTTCTACAAGTATTTTATTAAGTCATAACATTTGTTCCCTTATACAGAAAACAACATAACGAAGACGCGCTATAAAAATGGTTTCTGTAAACGGGTTATTACACTTTCTATTTAGGCAAAGGTGAACATAAGAGTAAAGGGCATAAAATGTTAGCTCCATTATAAATCAACTGGCTTGAGATTTTAGATGATGATCAGCGAGTTTGTCACTTCTGATATGAGAAAACTTACAGGCGTTATTTATTGCATACAGAAATTCCTCCCGTAATAAAATTTCCCCTTTGCGAAGCCACTCCTGTTAAGTAGCTTTGTAGGAAAAATATTACTAGCAGAATATGTTGCTCCTTTATAAAAACGTCAGTAAATGTTATTGTAACATTTAAATAAAACACTTTAACGGTTTAAAACGCGACTATATATTAGTGAAACTTATTTGAAAATGATTTTTAACTTCGGCCCGACGTAAGTTTAACTAATATATCGCGTTTTAAACCGTTAAAGTGTTTTATTTAAATGTGTACTACTCTTGTAATATAGACAGTAGTATTTACATTTATATAACGATAAGTCTTTTTTAAAAAAAGGTGGTTAGAAATTGTTTTAAAAATCCTACACAGGCGGGGCATGAACCGGCATTCACAGCGTTCCACGTTGTTGCTCTAACCAATTGAGCCAATGTCCTACACGTCATCGTCAATTTATTTCAAACTATCAATACATGCACCTCTCGCAAAAATGAGGTTATTCCCAGTTTAATGTCACTTTGATACGCTCACGTTTAAAGCATTTTTCGAGGTGTCGGAAAGTGTGGAAAACATTGCATATTTGTCATCTATGAAACTCGTTGAACTTTTTTTTTGCCTTATTTCCATTTGATGTTCAGCGAAACCTACGCCCGTGGGCATTTGCGGTACCAGGCGGCGGAAATGAGATTTGTTGCGTCCTGTGTAGTTTAAATGTTTATTCGAAATTAGTTGTACTAAGTTACTAAGCTGTCTGTAAGCTATATATCATATAATGTGAAGGCTAGCGATAAAAACGTTAAGAAAAACATTTAAAACTACTGTCAAGTCTGTAAGTAATTTTTAACAAAAAACCGACTTCAAAGAGTACATCTGTTTTTTAAATAAAACTAGTATACGTAGACGTATTCTTTAGTTAAATCGAAATTATTTATTATTTTTTTTATAATATAACTTTCAAGTAGGTAGCTAATGTAGTAAACCACCAGATCAAATCCAAACCTTTTTCAAATTGTAATTGTTGATTAAGCTTTAGAAAGGCTTAAATAAGTGTCTTGTACTGAATAAAAAAAATTAAAAGACGTACTAGTAGTCGTAGTAGTAGTAAAGTTTATCTTTAATATTTAACTTGTCGAACCGTCGGGCCGCAGCTGAGATATTTTTCAAATAAGTTCAACTAATATATATCGCGTTTTGAACCGTTAAAGTTTATTTAAATATGTGCTACTCGCGTAAACTACAGATAGTAGTTGTCTGTAATAAATACAATCTGTACGAATTATTCACTGTTTCGTGTTTGACCCCGAGATTATAAGATAAATGATAAGCAATATTCAATATTGGCGTTTATCACCAACTTGTAATAAAGATTAACGAGCTACACTTAAAGTGAATGTTTTTGTCCGAAGGTGACGCCTCCTTTGACGTCATTATTGCGAGAGAAATAAATATCGCTGATCTATAACATGTGTGTGCGCTGAACAAAATATTTTCTATCCCATACCTATATACGTGTTTTAGAAGAGCCGCGATGGACTAGTGGTATAAGCGCCGGACTTACATTCCTATGTGTAAGCTCAGGGGTTCGATCCACAGTTAAAAGGTGATGGTAGGTACTATTTTAAGATATGGAAGTGGAAAAATCTATTATTATACTTTTTAAACACAGCTTTATACGAGGTATACTAAATCTCTTAAAAATCTTGCACTCATTTTTGTCCTTTTGTTGACTAAAGCAATGAATGACTATAAATCAAGTCAAATCTTCAGTTGATTTCTCTTCAATTTATATTTATTTATAAATATGATAGCCGCCCCCGCCCCTGCCAGGTACGCTGTATCACTTTTATAATATAACTCTAGTAGTAATAATGAAATAGCTTTAAGTATCGACTAAGCAAAATTAAGATATTGCGAACTTAACCTATAAAAGCTGAATCGTTGAAGCATACAAAACTTAACTAATCACTCCTCCAATGGCCTCTCGTTAAGAAATAAATTACAGTGAGGTAGAAACTTTTGCGAAAACTAAGTAATTAGGTACTTAGATTCCCAGGAGTCAAGTCTGGCTGATAATAATAATTTACAGAATAATTATGAATGATGTCTATAGTTTACCCGAGTAGTACACATATTATATCCACTTTATCGGTTTAAAACGCGATGTTACTTAAACTTATTTGTTTTTAGGATATTAAAAAAAAGTACTGGGTACATTTTTTTTCATATAAATTGTTTATTTAAATAAAACACTTTTAACGGTTTAAAACGCGAAATGTTAATGACGTTGTACATGTTTTTCCACCATTTCTTCTTAAGGCAGCTGCAAAGCATCCGAAACGTCGGGCCGTAGTTAAAAATAATTTTCAAATAAGTTTAACTACTATATATCGAGTTTTAAACCGTTAAAGTGCTTTATTTAATTATGAATAACTTTTAAAGCGAACGCTCGCCCCTTAACTCTATTGAAACTTCATTCCAGCTCTACGATTATTTTTAGACTTGGTACTTTCCAATGTGACACCACAATAAACCTTAGATTAGATAATAAGATGGATGTAGCTTATTTTAAAACCTCGTATATACCCGTTTATATTTTATTTTATCTTTTATTCCAATTTTAATATTAAAATTGTATTCTTATTATTTTGATTGTATTGTTTCATAAGATACAATGAACCTCCCGGAAGTGTTTATTTGGACGTTTTAGTATTTTTTATGATAGAGGAGGTCAGGCAAGCAAGGGTTCACTTCATGAGAGGTGAAATATCCCTACCACATGATCATTTAAACAGGATCACTATCGACCTATTTTTGCTTCGGATATTTGAAATCAAGATAAAATACTTTTAAATAAAACACTTTAACGTTGTTAAAAAAAAAAAAAAAAAAAAAAAAAATAAAAATAATTTTTTTTTTTTTTTCCCCCCCCCCCGGGGGGGGGGGGGGCGGGGCGGGGGGGGGGGGGGGGAAAAAAAAAAAAAATTTGGGGGGGGGGGGGGGAAAAAAAAAAAAAAAAAAAAAAAAAAAAAAAAAAAAAAAAAAAAAAAAAAAAAAAAATAAAAAAAAAATTTTTTTTACCCCCCCCCCCCCCGGGGGGTTTCTCCGCGGCGGGGGGGGGGGGGGGGGGGGGAACCCCCCGAACCCCCCCCCCAAAACCCCCACCCCCGGGAACGGGGGGCTTTCGGTTTTCCCCCCCCCAGGTTTAAAAAAAATATATAAATTGGTGTTGAAACCCGGTGGGGATCGAACTCACCAGATGTTGATTAGTAACAGTCCATTGGTTACCATTATACAAGCAGACCATCAAGACCGCTTTATCTAATTCAGAAATGAGCGCGAGTAATGGTCCAGTTTGAAAACAGTAACAGATTCTCAAGATTGAAATGAAAGCTTTTGGCATCACCTGTCGCATACACAATCAACAGGAAGCGTATCCGGGCGAGGCCCGAAGGAGCCCGCAGCCGCCCTGCGGGGAAGGCAGTCGCCGCCCAACCGCCCTAGCGTTCAGCGTCTCGCTGTCCGCGTCCACCGCGCTCGAATTGCACTTACACTCATTCCATCATAGCTCTTTCCACTAATTGACTAAACTCAGAGATGTAAAGTCGAAATTGTTGTGTTTTAAATTCCTCGCGCGTCTTTTTTCGAGGTAAGCTTCGATGTGTATTTGTGTTAATGTATTGTTGTAGTAAGCTTTAGCATAATTTTTGTTGTGTTCGTTTGTATTAAATTGTAAATAAATATATACAATGTGTTTTATTTCTTATTCTTCAAAGCTTTCGATGGTGTTGTTTTATTATAAGCGTATTCCGGATTGTAATCTCGAATTGTGTTTACATAATATTGTATTTGTAACATGAGAAAATGTATTCCTGAAATAAATATTTCCCCAACGTTTTATGAGGTGTCGTGTAGCTTTTTCGGGTATGGACTCAGTGAATTTAATTCTATAGGCGTTGTTCTTATTAATATTAAAAAATAAAGACTGTTAAAAACAGATAATATTTCATATTTCATACTGGTTTTATGCTGTTATCAATACTTAAATTTAATATGTCAAAGAAAACGGATGATTTCTATTATAAACAAAAAGATTAAAGTTTATATTCAAAAGATTCAAAATGTTATCCCAATTCTTTACGCCAAATAATTTAGGCTAAGAGGGAAAACATGTAAGGTACTTATTATCTACGTTTTAGTGTAACATCTGTGTGACAACATGATTACTGTTTAGTATTAAAACGTCACGAATTAATACCTTCAATATTCTGATGTCCTTACCAAAAAGAAATTGTATTTTCAAATTGTAATTTTTTATTAAATTATGAAAAATGCCATAAAACGTACAATAATTGACTTGCAAAACTTCATTACAATGTAATATTTACTTCAACAAAAACTTACGCCTCGATTAGGATTGATGCGACTCGTGAAGTATAAAACAGGAGCAGTGTAACAGCTGGTCCCTTTTCCTTAATTTATTACTATCGGCACGTATTACCCCATTTTTATCTTCCAATAAATCGGGCGGTATATTGTTCTATCTATTATTATATCGTGTGTGATAAGACGTCCTAATGAATCGGGGATGTTTACTTTCGCAACAATACCGAGGTGTAGGGCGTAGTTCGCAGACACTTTTTGACGTAACTTATTGATTTAGGCTCGGTTCAAAGTTCAAACTTTTGGTTTCGTGAACTAAAATTCTCATCGTGCGTAAAAGTATTAGAATGTGTACTAATGACTCTATTGACACTAGATATGTTTGTTTGTGCCATCTCTAGTTTTCATATCAGGTCTGTGGCGTATATGTTCGTTTTAACAATTTAAAATTAAACAAATAACAGCCGACAAATCGGTAGACTATTTGACCTATCTAACTGTTATCAACAGGTATTAACGAGCTCTTTAGCGCGTAATAAGTAAGTATGTACACTTATACTAATAATGTAAAACTGAAGAGTTGTTTGCTTGTACGCGCTAATCTCTGGAACAACTGGTTCGAAATTAAAAATTTCTTCAAAGAATGCCATTTTGAAACGTTTAATCTTGTTATTCACTAAACTAATAAAAAATAAAGAATGTTCTATTGTTATTGTTGACTCTATTTAAATTATCAAATAGTGTGTGTAAGTGTAATCAAATTTAATACGTAAAGTAATAAAATATGCATTTAAATAAAACACTTTAACGGTTTAAAACGCGATATATTCTGTCAAGGGGGAAGCATCCGAAGCGTCGGGCCGAAGTTAAAAATCATTTTCAAATAAGTTTAACTAACATATCGCGTTTTAAACCGTTAGAGCGTTTTATTTAAATATGTACTACTCGCGTAAACTATAGACAATATTTAATAAAATATGCGTCAAATGTCCGACTGTGGCGGAACTTGTCGTAAATGTTCGGTTTATTACATTTTAAAATGTTCTTTTAGGGTAGTCAAAAGTACTTCTATCGGCTACAGCTTCCGCTTTGATTCTTAAATTAAAAGTATAAAGCATAGCCAAAAGAAAAGATACAATTCGCCATCGAAAGCCACTAGTGAAATACGTATTGTAAGGTGTTAAAATGTATAAAAGTGATTAATGAAAGTCGAAGAGTTTTTTTTAATATTATGTTCTCATTGTTATTATAATTAAACAATATCGCTTATAACATATATCTTAATGCGAGAATCGGCTGCTAACTAAACTTCATTACAATTTTAAATGTAAAGTATCAATTTCAAATGCAGTTTTAAATAAACAGTTAATTAATAAGTCTTGTGTTTGTTGTATATATTTCACATCGCAAATGATGGACGTGTATTTTACGCATAATTAGAAAAATTAAGCCTAAGTCACATTAAATTTTGCAGCCTTATTATTTGATCAGAATCCTTTGTCTATCCTTTGTCCTAAGAATAAGTTGTAATCTTATGAAAGCTGTATTAAGTACGTACTCACATACTAAGTTTTCTAACTGATACATGAGATATTTTATATAATGGAACTTAAAGAAGCATGTTAGTAACTTATAGGCTTCTTAGTTTTCAATAAGTTAAGACTTCGTTAGTTCGCTAGACGCTTTGATAACTGTGTACAAATAAGTATCGTTTTAACTTTGTTTTGCATTCATATCAATAGAGTGTTCTAGACTTTTCTTTGAACGTAATCATTGTGTATTTCGAAAGAGGGTTGACCAAGTTATATTGTCGATTTATATAATCGCTGTTTATTAACACTATTGGTAAATATATATTTGAATTTTAATTCAATGACAAGTTTTTTAGAAAACTAATTACGTTATAAGTACTAAATCGAACAAATACAGTGAATTAAGTTATGAGTTTAATTCCAAAAGACTTGTATTAATATCTAATTAATAGATGTATTCATTTGTTTCAACAATTTATGGTACATAAAAATCAACTTCAGGGTAATTAATTTCTTCCGAGCGATCTAAAACATTGAAAAACATCGATGACGGGTATTTACGAATATTAGTCATCTAAATTTATAATCAAATTCGAATAGGAATGGCAAAAATAGAAGGCAATTTCCCGATAGCAGTTCACGGAGGAAAATTAATTTCCGAATCACAACAATGCCATTCTATAAGGCTTGAAAAATTTGAAGCTTGATCTTCGAAATCAAAGCTTGCCTTCAAAAGTTGAAATTAGAAATTACAATTGCACGTGTCCAGTGATTAACCAAGACCAACGATGTATTTAATTATAAGCCATACACGTGCAAGGTAGTTACGTCCAGGGCATTAGATTAAAACGGATTTATTAGCAAAATGTTGTTTTAAAGGGTCATAGGAAAACAGAGCTTTAAGTCTCTTTCGTGAAGGTCAAAATTAATAGGATGTAAGACGTCTTTCAATATTGTATCTACGAGATTAAGCTCACACAGGTAGTGGTGAAGCTCTAGGCTTAATGGAATTACAACTACATTGTGTGACCAATCATGAATCTAAACGTAGAAATCAGAGAGAGCTGTTATACTAGTTGCAATAAAAATATATTTTTTTAGTATCATTGTAAATCTGTGTAATGAAAGACGAAAATTATTATTAAACACAAATTAGTCTTTTTGGTCGCGTCCCAACCTATTACCACAGATGATACTAAATCTACAGATAAAATATTAAAATAATACTGTTTTCTTTTTTATACCTATTTAGCGTTCCGTAGTACACATGTCAATTTTTATCTCATAGTAGTTTTTTTTGAATTTGCTAGATCAGTAGTAGAATATACCAATGATTAATAAAATTGGTATAAGAAAATATAATACACATTTTATTTCAACAAAATTAATGTTTTGTAATACAATTTTAAGTTTATTATCTAATAGTGTAATATATAGTAATCTGGGTGAAGGAAAATAATTTTCTTCTTTACTTAGTGCGTGCAAAAAAAAAAATCCATGCCTTTGCATAGATGTTGGTACGGTGATTTAAATGTTAAAACATCGGTACGGGTTTGAGCTCCCTGTGTCATTTTTTTTTCAACCGGAAATATTGTTTTCAATTTATTCTTGATCTTTTCAGGTACACATCAGCTACTTTCAAGTAGTGGAAACCATGATCAGGTCAAATTAAAAGTGTTTACTTCACTGAATCTGACTAGCACGGTCACTTGTGACTAATGAGTATAGTGTTAAAGAAATGAGTTTTCTATCGTCTTTGAGTCAGTATGTGGCCGGGGTGGCTGACAGTGTGGCGGGGCTGGCTCTCTCGCCACGTCGGGTGCCACCATCTAGACATCGGTCGGCTGAGGAATCGCAGCAGCAGCCGCAATCCTCAGCTGCTACTATGAGAGGTGAGCATTTAACTTTCTTCAACTTGCCTGGCATGAAAGAAAATTTTCACTATCTTCATCAATCGATAGTAATAAGTAATTTTATATCGTTTTCAAAGGATACAATTAGAATTGAAAAGAATAGAAAATAAAACATTTATTATACAACACAAGCCATTTAATAAACAAAATATATATAGAATTACAAATAAAATATTAATTTACTAAGTAGATATAAAACAGTAAAAAAAATAAATAGTTGTCTCCGAAAAGGAGCCCACTCAACTACGTTGGGACTAATGTCGCAAAACAGATATACTGTGGTCCCTTCAGAGGCCGAACTAACACAAGTGAGACAATTCCACATTCTGTCAATTTAGTACACAAACACATAATAGCAACCAAATTACATTAATTTATAGGTACACAGTGTAAACAAATGCTTAACTTGCACTTACGTTTCTTTTTTAGTTTAACACTTAAAGATTATGTTTACATTTCCATGATTGTTCATAAAGTGGTGGTGGATATATCAAAAAAATTGGTACTGTAATGTAGATTTGTGAATTGAATAGGACTGTCGCGGCCATTTTGCCAAGTAAGCAAGCTACCTTCGGATAGACGGAAAAAAACCGGAGGGATTTGTGACCCATGTATAAGATTTTATTTTAATTTTTTTTTTCATGTAAATAAAATAAAATAATAAAGTTAATTTATACATATTAGTCCGACGCGTCAACACAAGTTAAAGGTGTCTAAGTTCTAAGAAATATCTCAATGCTAGGAAGATCACGCTACAATATAAGAGCAAAAAAATTAAATTCGAAAAAAAAGCATGAGATTCGCATACATCGTTGCTGAATAATAAGGTAATCCCATATCTTTCAGTGAATTTAGTTTTACAATATTTATGCCCGTATTAGCCAAGTTTAGGCGTGCTGTTTAGTTCGAGAGTATAATGTCATATATATATTTTTAAGGCTTAACATTATGGTACGATTTTATGTATATACGATAAACCCTAGTTGGTTTATCATATACTACGTTTTGAGTAAATTGTATTAAAAGAATATTAACTAAAGTCTCGTTCTGCAAACAAATGTAACAACATTATTTTCCGTTCGTAAGCGCTGTTATAAGTGTATTTTTGAATTGAAAATGATGAAAGAAAGTTTTAAAGCAAGCTAGATGAGATTATGTTTTAACTTTTTAAAAGTATTACCCGTGATATAAAAATTGTGATCTAGCTTATTATACATATGTCTAACGGTTTAGGGGAACGGGTAGGGTTGATCGAAACGTCCTAAAATATTGTCTACGACATTTATTTACATTTTCTCATAAACACATGTACAAAGGTCTCAAACATGTATCATTTGCTAGTTTACTTCTTGATGAACTGAGCGTAGGCGAGGGGAGCAGCAGAGTAGTAGGGGGAGGAGTAGATGGAAGCAGCTGGGTATGTTGAGTAGGCAGACACAAAAGGCGCAGCAGCGGTGTACGCTGTTGGTGCGATGTAAGAGGCAGCTGGCACGACCAGAGGAGCGGAGCGTTTCTTGATGAAGTGAGCTGCGGTGTACAGGGGAGAAGAGTGGACAAGAGGTGCCCCGTATGTAGTGGCTATGGGGGCAGAGTAGGTAGTAGCGAGAGGACCGGCAGCGTAGGTGGTGGCCCAAGGAGCGCTGTAGGTGGCCGCATAGCTAGTGGCTACAGGGGCAGAGATGTAGCTGCTAACTACGGGCACAGAACGTTTCTTGATAAGGTGCGCGAATCCAAGATGTCCGGGGTATGCAACAGGAGATGAGTAGACCAAGGGAGCTGGGTTGTAGATTGGGCCAGCTGCGCTGTAGGTGGTCACAGCAGGAGCATATCCAGCGGAGTAGGCCAAGGGATAAGTGAAATGAGCTGGGTCCGGTGACGCGGTGGCCACGGCAACGCAAGCGAGGACTGCTACAAACTTGAACATCTTTCTGTTGTTACTTCAACGAACAAATGTTTATTGATGCCCTGTTCAAGTCGCATACGATATTTATAGCGGGCACTTGTAACAAACAAATGCTTAACAGAACCGGTGTAGAAAGGAGCTGATATTTACATAGAAGGTCGCCTGCTCAGCAGTTCATCACAGATAAAGGATTAATTGCTCTTTTTACTGTTGTTGGATTATAGTTTTCACTTCCGCGTTAACTTTGCAGTGGTTTCGTTCAATTTCACAATTAAAAAACTTTATCTGAATGGAATCTGATAATACGTTTGTGCTTTAAATCAGTCTAATTATTATTAATTCCGCTATACTATATTTTTCCCGAACGCTAGCAAAAGTAATTTTGCACTACTATTTTGGTTACAGATTTATATAGTTATACAGAATATACTATTTCATTTAATTTGGAATAATAAAAAAACTATTCATTTCTTGTTGCAGGCGGAACCTTGCCCTGACTTAAACTTGCCCTTACTTAGTCTTGTTATGTATCTCGTATTGAATATATTCTTTAATGTTCTAACTACTATTGAATTTACCAGGATTTCCGCGAGTACTACCAACAGAAGGTGCATCAGCCCTAAATGCTCGACGGAGGACGTTAGACTGTTTAGCACCGGCAACAACACCGCGACGTGGTGGTTCACTGCGGGTACCACGTCAACAGCAACCACCAGAGAAGCCCGCCATGGCTTTCTGCAAGCGCCGTTTGTCTTGGCCTGAGGTTGATAACTCCGTAAATTCTGGGTAAGGCATCTTGAAACAGTTAATGTAGTTTTTTAAGTCTATTTTTTAACTTTCTCATTTGTCTTATTTATAGCAGCCACATTCGAGTTATAAACTGATATACTATGTACGTAGTATGAAAATTCTCTTTTACTTCAGGTAGTTACTTATGCTCACAATTTTTCGTAAGGATTCTATTTTTTAATTGATACAGCAAAATTTAACATATATATTACTAATACATACTATTTATGTATGCAACATTGTTCTAAAAAATAATTTTCAAGTTAAGCACCTCCGTATTTTGTTTCTATCTTCTATTATGTATATTCTACGCTTGCGCTTAAAATCAGTCTTTCAAGCGCTAGAGTGGAATAAAAGCAAAATCATTGCTCTTCTTCATTATCGTCGGTTAGAAACGAAAAGATTTGTCAATAAATACTATTTCATTCCTTTGTGCCGATACTGTATCGTCCTTTAGTATTATTCAGTAAACAAAGCCTCGAAGATCGTACAATAGCTAATTATTTGGTATTCCAACGGGAAAACCACATCAAAACAGTTATCGTGAATCACCGGGGAATCGGGAATCAATGATGCCTTAATATGGCAATATGTCAATGACAGCGAACGGAGACGTCCTAATGAACTTGCGAGCTTAGGACGTTGACAAATCCATTATTCTGGAGGCAATTCTCAATTAAGTGTCACAAGATTTACGCCGAAATAAATCGCAAATTAATTTGTCAATATTGTATATAGTGTTAGAATACTTTAATATTTTATTCTATATTTGTTAAAACTCGAATATACATTGAATTACGACACGGGCAGGACTTGAACCGGCTTCCACAGCATCCCGTGCTAATACTCTAACCAATTGAGCTACCGTGTTCTCCTGCCGTGACCAGGTTTTTAATTGTATATTGTGATTAAAAAATCGAAAATAAATTGAAAAAGTTTTCGACTCTGGCAGAATTTGAACCGGCATCGTCAGCGTTCCGTGCTGTTGCTCTACCAAGTCAGCTACCAAATCAAGAATTTTTTAAAAGATTTATTTTCGATTTTGAAATTAGTGCCTTTATGTGCAAAAACATAAAAATATTTTACTAGAATCCGAAACAGCAATGCAATTGTAATAACAATATAACAAGTTATAGTCTTTCTGATTATGATAAAAGATGATAAAAATCCATGTTGGCACCAATATTTAAAGTTAGAAATATATTTTTTTACATAAATAATTTATAAGTAGTTAGCATTTAAACATATGTTAATAAACAAGAAAGGGTGCATGTAGATTTAATTACAAGGTAAACATAGCACTTACGTAAAGAAAAGTTATAATAATTGTACAAGTTAAAAACACCTAGTTAAAAACAAAAACTTTACTGTGAAATTAATATTAAAAGTTACAAAGAAATTTATTCTACATAACGGGCTGGGCTAATTGGACAGGCTGTGGGATCGATCCCCACCGGGTCCAACATATTTCGAATTCATTTACGTCTACACTCGTTAATTCGAAACTTGAGGGACTCTTAAAATATTACGAATATGAAGTTTGAAATATCAAGGTTCGAAATTTGAGAGGAAATAAATAAAACTTCGAATTACTAAGTATTGTTCAATAATTAGAACTGCTATGCTAAAACAATGGAAAGTTTAGCATGTCCATACATATATGTTCATACCAACAAAAGGCTGTAACTGAAATATAACTAAACAAACCAATTGGAGTTAGATGAGTTGAGTAATCATAAAAAAAACAAAGGCTCGTACGTTGATACAATTTGAACTCCGCAAAATGTAAACTTTGAATTGTGAGCGTTGGACGAAAATAGTTAATTAAGGTGCTTATTATAAAGCAATGATTTTTTCGTTCGAATTACCAAATGCATAAAAATGATATGTATTCGAAATTTGAAGAGATTTTGTTGGGTATGTGATAACTTTGAATTAAGTGAGGTTCGAATATGAGGTTGGAATTAACGAGGAGTCCATATTTTTTTTTAACATGTTGGACTTCATCTCGAAATCTGGATATTAATGGGTGGTAGGGATATCGATATTCCGTTCGGGTCCACAGATAAAGAAGCCGTCAAGTGTAATCGCGTTTCCAATCCAAATCCAAAATAGGGCAACAGCGCATCTTGTTTAAATGTAATATTGTTGGGATACCTACCATCAGGTGAACGCTATACATGTCTGTCTTCCTCCATCATAAAAAACGTACAATTACAAAATACATTTATGATTAGGTACTAATTAAGAATATAAATAATGATAATCGTGCTTAAATATATTGTAGGGCTGCGAGCATGTTGATATAGGTAACATGGTTCATGCCTCGGTCTCCCGCAGCTAGATGAGTTTATTTATCAACAGGGGCTTCATCCAATCGAATGGATATTTGATTAAAACTCCGGGTGCCTATTACCCTGTTGTTTACCCAAACCTTCTAAATGTCATCATTTTTAACGTACGTAAGTTGACGTTTATAGGTAAAATGAGAGCGAAAAATTAACAGTTAAATTAAAAAAAAATCGATTATAAAATGAAAAAAAATACGACTGGCGCCGGACTTGAACCGGCACCTCAGCGTTCTGTGCTGTTGTTCTAACCAATTGAGCTACCGAGTTGTATGTATTGTTTTTTTCAATTTATGATCGATTTTTACTTTTATAATTGGCCATCATGTGAAAAATTTATTATGATTAGATTTTCCAAGCCAATATAGGTCGGCGCATCTTGCTTTCGCTGTTATGTGGTTGGGGTATTCTATCAACCCCCTGCTTATTTAATTTCCTCTGTCAGAAATTTTTTTTAATATTGTGAAAAAGTCGCTAAAATAATACATACGTGAGCCGTGAACGACGCATTACAGATGTCAAATGTTGAGCGAAAAAAGTGGATGAGAAGATGACTGTTTATTTATTTCACGTTCATTTATATTTAATACAAAACCATATTTATTGAAGTGTCTTTGTTGAGTGAAACGTTCTTTTGCCACAAGATAGAGAAATACTGTCGCGGACAATTTTTTCGATTTAAAAAATAAAATATTTTTGGAATCTAAAATCGTGAAATGATGCGAAAACCTACTTTCTTCACTCCTATTGGACAGTCACAATCAAAGTCTTTTATTAAAATCAAACCAATATTTCCTGAGATAGGCGCGTTCAAACAAACTCTTCAGCTTTTTATTATTAATTTGGATGTATTTGTTTTACACCGTCCTTTAATATACGTTCAAGAATTTACAAACTTTAATAAAAACATACATTTAATTAAATGAATTACGCATATTTAAAGCAAGAATCCTGATCGCTTTATACATAACGAGAGCAATTATGGAAGCAGCGACGAGTCTATGCTCTACTCATGAGAAATCCAATTACTCCGCTCTTGATACAGTTTATCTATTTATTGAGGTAGCCAATATTCAATTAAGCAACACGTTGACAGTTTGCAGGACGTTATTAAATCTTAAGATCGTATATCAGAACAAGCATAGGCTTTTATTGAGTTAACGGGTGCAAAGATTTGAAAAATATTGAAAGAATAAAACAACAGATGTTAACAGAATAAAAACGTTTTAAGATTTTAAAAAATACGAAAGACTTGTACCGACATCCACAACGTACTGTGCTGTTGCTTTATCCAATAGATCGATAGCTACCGTGTCCTATACGTCTTCATCGAATTTTTTCACCTCTAGCACGATGTAACAATTTTTGAACAATACAACAGTTCAATGTCTTAGGCAGCTTAAGGAAATCATTGAAGAAGAAATTATAGGCGTTTAACATTTGACAATTTTTATTAAACAACCTTTAAAACCGAAATGTATAATTTGTATTGTCATAATTCAAAATGATTTACACATAGATAATCAGACATACAATAAAACTAATTTTGAAAATTAAAATTGGAACAATAGACGATATCTTAGCTTTTTTAGTAGAGAGAAATTTTCAAAAACAAAAAAAAACCGACATTTTAAAATATTTATAAACATATCCATTGCAATTAGTGTTCAAGAATAACCGTAATAAGAGAATCCTCGACTGACTTGAATTTATAGCGTGACATAAACACGCATAAAATAACCATAACATACAGTGTCGGGTCACAGGGACGTGCAACAGGTCGTAATGTCGTCCCATGACCTATTTACAATAATTAGTAAACAGTATATTAGTTATGCTAAAACAATTCAATATGATCGCACTTTAAATCTATAATATAAAGGTGAAAAAAAAATAAAGGTGAAGAGTTTGTTTGAACGCGCTAATCTCACGAACTACCGCTTCGAATTGAAAAATGATGTATTACTTAGAGCATTTATTGAGGAAGTATTTAGGCTATAAAACATTAATATCATTTTATTTGTCAGACCATAAATCCATCAGTTTCTTAAAATTAATTAAATCTAATGAGTGTTAGTTGGGTTAGTAACAAATTGCGCTGGGACTTATAGGAGTGAAGAAACAGCGGGAAATGTGAAAAAAACGGGGAAAATTAATCATCCTTGTGAGTTTCAGTTGCGTATACTGCGAAACCGGTTCAAGATATTAAAAAAATATGTATCAAAGAATGATTTCTCTTTAAATTATCTAAAAAAATGTCCACGATATGTCTATCTTTTAAGATTAAGTTGCAAGAACGACAGGACGCGTTAGACGTCATGACACAGTAAGTTACGTATAAATATAATTTGAGGATGATATTTCATTTGGACCCATATTTGGTCTAGTACCTTTGAATTTCTTGGGTAAGTTTCGTTTGAGTTTGGTTACGTTTAGACAAATACGATTATAAGGGTTACTGTCGTGATACCAAACAAACTGTACATTAGGATTGTTTTCACATTTATTTGCACATGAGACCTTATTAATGAAAGTAATAAGTATTAAAATTTAAAAACTTTAACATTATTCCAATCTTATCGTACGCGATGACATTATATAAATAAAAAACAATTCAGCTTGAAAAAGAAAATGAGTTAACTCGATTGGTTAGTGAAGCAACACGGAACGCTGTGAATGCCGGTTCAAGCCACGACCTTGTCTATTTTTTTTAATCTGAATAGATTAATCAATTCTAAAACTATGAAGATCTAAAAAGACGACGAAATTACAGCCTATGCGCAAGTTCAAATTTCACTCCTGTCATTTTATTTTTACCTTCAAAAATTATTAACATAAGTAAAAGGTTTCTGTTATAATAGTTCTTAGGATATTCAACTAAAACATAGGCTGAAAAATTATTATTTTTCTTCTAGTTTTAAATTTAAAATTCAAATTCAACTATTTTAAATAAAAAGTACTGTCTATAGTTTACGCGAGTAATACACATTTAAATAAAACACTTTATCGGTTTAAAACGCGATATGTTAGTTAAACTTATTTGAAAATGATTTTTAACTGCCAGTTTCGCCAAACACCAACTTCGACGGAACAGATGGCGCTAGCGTAGCAATTTTTTATACTTTGACGTCAGAGACATCCTCCATCTTTAGTCTCCCCGTGACCACGGCTGCTGCAAAGCACCCGAAACGTCGGGCCGAAGTTAAAAATCATATATCGCGTTTTAAACCGTTAAAGTGTTCCGTTTAAATGAATAAGCTTTTCTTTAAAATATCTGCGTTGTCAGAGACATATAGATATACCTTATAAAAAGGTATACTTAAAATAAGATATACATATAAAAATGTATAATATTGAATGAAAGCAACCAGGAGGAAAATCGAACGTAGTTTAGTCCAAAGAAAATAATTCAAACAAATTCGCATACAAGTGTTGAAAAACCTTTCTTCCTACCTTCAATACGAAATAATGTATTGAAAGAATGATGTATAGAAAATGCGAATAAATGCGAACTTGTAAAGGACTATGAGCAAAAAAGAGCGGAATATTCCAGAGGAAATAAAGATCCTGTGTTTGGAATTTGAAAATATCAGCTATATGAAGTACCCGGCCTTTGTAAGGGCTTTTCTCTGATGGATTTATATTTACATGAAATCGTATGACATCGCTGTGTGTGTAACTGTGAGGAATTCACGTGGCGTTATACGAAATAAATGTACATTCTAATATTATAATCCGAAAGGTTTTGATTTTCAGTCCCTTTTGACGACCACACTAAGCAAGGGATCATTTAAAATAGTTTATATTTAAATAAAATACTTTAACGGTTTAAAGGGCGATATGTTTTAGTTAAAAGTTTTAACGGAGACGGCTGCTGCAAAGAAACCGAAACGTCGGGCCGTAGTTAAAAATAATTTTCAAACAAGGTTCACTAAAATATATCGCGTTTTGAACCGTTAAAGTGTTTTATTTTAATGTGTACTACTCGCGTAAACTTCATACAGTATAGTTTATATTTACAGGTATTAATCGTGAAACGAAAGAACAATTAGTAGAGATGTAATATCGATATTTATCGTTCAGGCATTTTAAAGTGATAAATCATTCTTAATACTTTTTGTTTACTCTTCATTATGTGCTTAATTATGCCTTCGTGAGAGAAAATTGACATTTTACTCTCTGCTATATTAAACGAGGATAGTTAAAATAAAACACTATTAACGGTTTAAAACGCGCAAAATATTTTATTATAATAATACGTTTGGGGTCCTTTGCAGTAACCGTTGTCACTGGGGGATTTAAGTTACAGGCAGATAGCACAGTAAAAATTGCTAAGCCGTCATCTAACTTTTGACGGTTTTAAACCGTTTAAAATGTATTTTTTTATAAATATGTAATACTCGCGTAAATTACAGACTTACGAATGTTTTTTCTAGATCGCTTTCAGGCGACATCTATTGTTATTACGCACATTATAAGAGGCAATCAAACGCGTGACTGAGCTAGCTTCATTTTGTGGAAAGGTTTGTTTATCGACGGTTCACTAGTTTTGGGGCCTCTCAATCTGTTTTATGCTTAAGTACATACGCCTCAACGCCCACACACTAATTTACTTTCTTCAATAGAGATTGCACTCTGTTTTACGAAGGCACAAGGCTTACAACAATAATAATATATACATACTTTATTTATACGTATATTACAGTATATATTTATTAATTTATTTTAAAGGTTGAAATTACTTTGCGCGAGAGATGCATAGGTTGTAAAAAATCGCTTTTATTTCACTACACAGAGCATTAATAAATAAGGAGAGGAAAGAAACGTTATTCGTCTAATAGTTGTCTGGCTAAATAAATTATTTAATGAAATATAAATGGCCCAAACGTTTTTTTGTCATTACAATAATCAGCTAACAAGTTTTAAATTGTAACGTTTACAAAGTGAAAAATTCTGTGAAGTTTGGTTGGCAAGTGATAAACAATCAAGCAATAGGTATTTCACGTTAGTTAATTTGGTCAGAGCAACAACACGGAACACTGTGGTTGCCGCTTCAAGTCCTGGCCGTGTCATATTTTTTTTTCAATGTTAAATCGGTTCCTAACATATATTTCATTTAAATGAAATACTTTAACGGTTTAAATGCGGCAAATATTAAGTAGGTGTACTAGATATGTACTCGAATTAAAAATATGAAACTGTCAATTTTAAAATAGACTACTACTGGGCATTGCATTTTTTTAATTATCACAAGCAACTATACGCCTTAACAATCGAATTTATAACCATAGTGTTACTTTTTTTTATCTTTTGAGTACTTATGACAAACTTCATAAGTTTCAGTTAGTTGAAGTGGAAGAATGAAATCATAAAATGTACAAATATACTCTCCTCTACGCTTTTCACGTGTAACATCGAAGGATAGTTTTAAGATTATTTGACGTCATTTTTCTCGTACCTCTAGGATAACAAGAAATTCTTAGAATTCTGAGTGAAAGCTTTCAAGGTACTATATTTTATAGTATTATATTTATCGATTATTTAATTTAAAATATTAAGGTTTAACAGCAAAATTAAAACGTAAGAATCTGTATAATATAAAAGAGTTACACGAAAAAAAAACTGCTGCAATCAATTTGGAATATGAAGGAATCAACGTACGATTTGATTAATTTATTAATTAGTATTATTACATTTTTGTTAAAAAAAATAAGATAAGGTACACCATGGGAACGTGCAGGTCATGCGAAGCTTAACAATACACAAAAATATCTATTTACACACAAATTGAAAAGTTGCAAACTGAATATTATTTCTTATATGTTTAAAGGGTTCAAGATACAGACGGTTCTTACTTCGAGAGCTTCACGGCGTTATCCTGGCGTCAAGAAAATAGACGACTCGCAGCGTTACGCTTGGCAGAAGCACGTGCTGAACGTCCACCCCCAGCGCCTCATGAACTAGGCTTGCCTAGTGTCTCTGCCCATCTTTCACATAAAGAACATGAACATCTTTATACTGAGGTAAATACAGCTAATAAATAAGAAAATAAGGGAGAGCAAGTCTTAAGAGGAGATTTTTAATATCAACGTTTGTTACGAGCTTAAATAAATTGCTTTTTCTTCAATACAACAAAACGTTAATAATGAACAGTAAGACCCATTAAACAATAAAACAAAACTTTTTTTTTCTAAAAAATTAAAGAAGTGATTTTAATTTACTGTTTTTCTTAATTTTTTTGTATTATAGATCACTGTTTTAAGATAGGAAGAAACGAAAACAAATATAAATGTTAGACAAAACAAAATCGAGAACCGAGGTGTATTCTTACTTGGCTATACGAGCCATATAAATACTAATATTAGTTAGTTAATTTGTTGTTTTTTTATGTATATATACTTTAAATTTTGGAACAATACCTATAGAACATAATGTTTACATAAATACCTAGTAAAATGGAAGAACATTAAGTACAAATCAAATTAAACATTATTTTTCAGTATACAAGAATAAATAATTTTTTTGATTTACAGATTTGATGACACTTATGAACATCATAACAGTTAAAAGTGTAAAACTCTAAATTTACAGTTACTATCAGTTCAAGTTAAGGTCGTAGAATGAACGAGAAGAACTGGCAAAAAACTCGCCGCCACTCCTTTTGTTGTGAAGTTTTGTTACAATGATTACGCACATAATGTTTACACCTCCTTCCTTTTTAGAGCGGGTTTCTACATACCCCAAGCATTGTTATCATTCAAATATTGATTTACGTTACATAACATTGACATACGCTACTTAACTGTTTTTCTATAATTTAATGTGACAGTAAACGATTCAATGTAAAATAACACAGATTATATATGATACATATATAAAATAAAGAATTCCTTTTTCAACATAGTTTAGCGAAGTTATCTGTCCTTTCCTCATTATAACAGACTCGGGATGCAGCGAGACGTAGTTTGATGCATCACTGCAAATAATCATTATTTCTGACTTGTAAATATAACTTGAGAGTTTTCGTAAATCAAATAAAACAATTTGGAAGGATTACAACACATAATTATTGTATCATTAGTAAGACATTTTTCGTTTCCCGACACATATGCTCGGAGTTTTGAATTTAAAAACATCTTAGTATTTCGGTTACCCTGTTTCCTTTTAATTTGTCAATACAAAGAAAACAAGGTAATCAAATTAAATTAGTATTGTACTTTTTCTTTCTTGTTTTTTGGTAAACAAACACAAAATTTACATGAAAACGTGATTTTCTCACAATTTTTATTGATTTACACTGAAAACACGTTGAGACACTAGATTATATATTAAACCTTTGAACTACTTCAAATTTACTTAGTAAAAAACTATAATATCATGCTAAAACTAACAAATTTAATTAGTGTATTTGCACAGAATTAAATTTCTTTAGTTTGACATTTACATAAGGTCGCGTAGTAAGCAAACGCAACGAAAATAGAAGGTAAAAATTAAATAACAATAATATAAAAAAGTCGTTATAAAAGTGATTCTGAATATTGAAGCTATGCCATATATTGGATCCAATATATATATAATCGATATTTCTTTAAACTTGTGTCATCTGTGGCAATGACTGCACTCTATAAAATATGGCCGATTTCAAACTATAGAGAACTAAGTTCACTAGTAAGTTGAAATATATCTCTGCCTGACCTGAAGTATTTATTACAGGTTCTTTACTGTATTGAAAACGCCGTTGGAGCCCCAGCACCTGGTGGACAATTCGCATCCTATAAGGAAGAGGTGATAGAATACGCCCGTCGCGCTTTTAGGGTGTCACCGGAAGTACACGCGCGAGCACTTCGTGCAGCGGACAGCGAGCGTCCCCCAACTGTTGTGTTAGGCTGCACTGTCATAGAAGCCGATGGTCTTGAAGCCAAAGATGCCAACGGTAAGCTTTGCCTTCCAATATAGATTTGCAGTCGCGTATTTATACCAATATTATAAAGCTGAATAGTTTTTTATTGTTTCTTGGAAAGTTATATTTGTGTTGGTCAAACATTATACTACGATTAATAGAAGCGAAGAAACATTGGAAAATCTGAAAAAAACGAGGAATCTCATTTATCTTTGAGGGTTTCCGTTGCGTAAATCCGAAACTATCATGCATAGTGCATAAAAGAATGATTTTTGCACTATGCACACCACAACCAAGCCACATTATGTCCTTATTTTAAGATTATCTCACAATTATCCTTTTTATAGCAATAAAATGTTAGTCAAAATACTTTGTATGACAATAACGTTTGCCAGGTGAGCTAGTTTATCATATACCTAATTGTAACCCCCGACTTCGTCCGCATTGAGTAGCTTTCCATACCATGAATGTTTTTTTTCGAGTTCTGCACCCAAAATGTACATTTGTGCGCGAGTCAGTCTCGCCGCTAGTCGGTTAAAAAACTGACCACATATAAAGTATTTATTTCATATAGCAAGGAACGACATTATTTTTAAGTATTATCTGTCGACAGCATTAATTAACTATATTCTATGAATATTACTCCCAACAAAGTTCTTAGAAGTAAGTTGCACTGTTTATTTTATAATGATCAATTAGAACAGTTCGTAATCCTACACTCTCGCGCTAATTGTTGCTGCAGGGCTTAAAAGCCTTTAGGTAATTACATTTGATGCTATTGTGTTTATTAAAACTACTTTAACGCGTAAATAAGTTCTGCGTAAATAACGTAAACGTTTTGAGTGCTTTTTAGATGCTAGAGCGTCGGGTCGTAGAATACATAATAACATAATTTCTTTTCAACTTCTTTATAGTAAATTAAAAATCTATTTAGATTGAAAAAAATTACGACACAAGCGGGATTTGAACTTGCTGTAAGTCTAACCAATCAATACGTAACTTACGTAACGTAAGTTTTACTGTTGAAGTTACATTACGCTAGTGGTTCATGTATTATAGAAGTGGAAAAAATCAACGATGACGCAAACATGCAAGCATGGAACGCTATCTATGAATGCCGGTTCAAGCCCCGCCCGTCACGTACATTTTTTTCAATCTAAATCGATTCTTTAATTTATATAATGCCATCATGTATTATAACATAAAATATTAAAGAATTCATAATGGTTCTATACAGTGCATAACCACAAATAGAACCTGATATTGTGGTTATTTTATATAAAATTCTGTCCCATAACTCTCAATTGTCAAATTTATCGGAATAAGAATCTCCATGAACGTGACAATAATTTTTCAAACTCTGTTAGCCCTCGGCGACGAAACTTGGTAAGTAAACCGTGAAATTCCCCTGTCACACTACTTTTCATACTACACGGCTCGTTGGTATTAGAAAAAACTTTTTCGATTGACAGAGAGATATGTATTTACTATATATTTAGATATTTACAGTACAAAGTATCAGTCGTTTACAATAATAATACTCGTTGTTCCAGCGAATGGGTAATAAAGATCGGGTTGTGGGATCAAACCATACCAGGTCCAACATAAATGTAATATCATTTTCTGTTCTGATCCGAAATGAACGTTAAATGCTGAAATTCGCCAAGGTTACAAAACATAATCCAACGATTGCGGATTTGTTAATTTAGGTTTTAAGTAGATTTCCAAAAGCCAAAATAGTTTGCCAGCAGATCGTAATTGAATGTAACATGATAACGGCTTTTCCCCTTCCGTCAAAATGCTTGTCTGCTTGTCTCTATCAAAAAATAAAATAAGTTGAAAGATGAGAAAAGTCTCATAACAAACGTTGTAACAATTTTTATAGACAGAAAAGGGAACAATGAAATAACAATGTAGTTTTTATTATTACACGCGTTTTATTTGAGCGTACAAATAAAACGAATTTCTCGTATAGATGTTCACAATATTATTTATTACTCTGCTTACTAAGAACTCGAGAGCTTAAGCTATTTTCATAATATAATTGGCTTCTAACATTCTGCGCGAATGTGGGCGGGCGGGACTTCATTAAAAACCAATATTAAAAATTGTAATGCTTACAATTCTTGTCATATTTACATATAGTTTCCATGTTTGACGGAAAAAATTATCATATTTATTTGTTGCACTAAGGTTAATAAGTATTTGTTGAAACCGCTTTCATGTCTCTATATAATCTAGTAGGCAACGGTAGTAACCGTTACCGTTGCCTACTAGATTCTGGGGACATATTAAAATTTCAAATGGTCACGGTAGGTGAAGCAGAATTTGATTTTGTAGAGAAAGGATAACTGATATTTGCCGCTCAATGTCGTGACAAGGCGGCTCGTTAGTAATTAAAAATATCGTTTATTTAATAAAATATTCACGTCCTTCTGGGGCTTGAAACTTCATCGTAAGTCCTTGCTTAAACTTTGTTACGTCAGCCGCAAGGGAATTCAAATTCAGTCTCTAAGCGACGAGGGAAGATCTAAAACCATCTCATTAAAAATGGAGGTTCTAATGAACGTTACATATAATAAGATACGTGTTACATTTCGTGGTTTCATTACATTGTTTCGTGATCAATGCAAAGCAGCTGCTGTCAAAGATATAAAATTGTATAGCATGACCTACAAATTTCGTCTCTAGTTCTTGAATAATAAAGATTATTTTAACGTAAAACTTGACAACCTCGTTGGTCTAATGGTAGCTATTTATAGCTAATATTTAACGAGTCTAGGGTTCGATTCCCACCGGTGGGTATTTATAATATATAATTTTTCAATTCATATTTTTTCTGAAACATGTTGGACTTCGTCTGGACGTAAAATGGTTGGTAGGAATATCGGAATACCACCGTCCACAGATGAAAAAGCCGTGAAGTTTAATCACGTTTCAGTTTCAGTCTGTGGATTTTCGAATATCCAAAGTCAAAGAAGATCGTCAGCGCATCTTGTTTAGATTCTATAGGCTGGAGTATGTTACCTACGACCAAGTGTATCCCAAGCTTAGATATATAGGCATCTCTGCATGACAATAGTTTGTTACTCACCGGATAATAAACCAGGGTCAAATCAAGCGAGTATTTCCCCTGAAAACATGTCAACCTATTTTATCTATATTAGTTTCACATGTTCTGAAGTTGGTGTAGCATATATAAATTACATAAAGGGATTTCCTTGTTAGGGGAGATAAACTTGGTTATATTTTGTGTTCGTGAATGTATAGAAGAAGTATACTTATATACTTTGTATTTTAGAACTCTAGGTAAAGATTTCTTGTTTTTTTTCTTTAGGCTTTAACACAATGTTAGTACCTCTCTCTTATAATTATAATCATTTTTATATTTACACCAGCCATTTCCCAATAACTTACTGAATCAAAAAAATTCTTAGAATTAGATAATTAGCTTCCACGAATAGATTACTAGGCCGGTGATTTGTTTAGTTTTCATTATGTATAAAAGTTTTCACGTTGGAAAAGCTAATACAGAAGTATGTTTGTTTTACTAGCGCTTCGTTTTCTGATGGATTGAAAGTTGTCGAGGAAAATATTTTCTCGGGTAATCTGGCGTGTATTTGAGTTAAATTATTTGAAAGTAGATCGGAGACTATTTAATATTGATACTATTTATAAATAAATATACTTAAATCTTTTTTTAAAACGGCCTTACAAGGGTGACATGATAGCTGAATGGGTTCGAGTCCCACCTGTGTTTTGATGTTTACGATGTAAGAGCCTTGATGAGGTCAATATCATTTTCCTAATTTATTAATTTATAATTATCGTTTTATCTACATCAAGATGAGTTTAATTAAATGCGATGCGTTTGTATATCTTAAGTTTGTAATTTTCTTACCTCCTATGTAATTTGGGAATCTGTTTTATTTTGAATTACAATATTAAAGCACTAGATCAAGGTCTGGAAGAACTACCTATTTAGGCTTTTGTTCAAGATTCACTTTATTTAGGCTGAAACAGCACTGCACCAGAGGAACTTGTATATAATTATTTTAATGTACTACTTTTATCAGTTCACATGATTTGATTTAAAATGGCTCTCGTGTTTTGTTACCAGGGTTTAGCGATCCGTATTGCATGTTGGGCATTCAGCCGGCGTCCCTGCCCGCTTCCCCCAGGGCCTCCGAGGACGAGGGTCGCAAACATGGCTTCCGGCTGAGTTTCAAGCGGCGCGACGGGCGACAACAGCGTGACAGCCTGGGCCGGCTGCCGGCGAGGTATATCCGCGCTACAAGTGTGCGACCTCACACTTTGTCGCCCAAATGGAATGAGACATTTAAATTGTAAGTTGTTTTATATAAGCATTAGTTATTTTTTTAAATTTTTTGCATTAGTAAAGTCGTTTTTTCTTAGGCTTATATGAAGCTAGAGGCAGAATGACCTAACAAAGAACATGATTTTCAATAAGGAGGAAAATAAAAATGCACACTTAACTTACGCCCGACGTTTCAGATGCTTGTCTCCCCGTGACCTCGGCTGCTGCGAAGCACCCGAAACGTCGATACGTAGTTAAAATTATATTCAAATAAGTTTAACTAATGCATATCGCGTTTTAAACCGTTATAGTGTTTTATTTAAATGTGTACTGCTGGCGTCAACTACAAACAGTGTTTGTATCTAGTATTACAATTTCCTTTAACGTATTGTTTTTATTCAGTGACATTGACGACATATCATCAGACGTCCTACATCTTGACATCTGGGATCATGACGATGAGAGTTCGGTCCTGGATGCTGTATCCCGGCTCAATGAAGTTCGGGGAGTACGAGGACTTGGGCGATTCTTCAAACAAGTCTGTCAGAGTGCCCGACAAGGCAGTCAAGATGATTTCCTTGGTTGGTATCTTAAAAGTGCTTGCCACAGAGTATAAGTATGTATAGAATGTATTATTTCAATAATTTACTTTTCGATTATTCAATTGACTAACTTAATAAGGAATTCCAATAACAACCTGCAATTATTAATATATATATTTATTTTACATTATATATATATATATTTTATACTATACATTTTTAAACTCAATTAAAATAGCATTGTTATAGCATATGCATGTAGACATTGTTTTAAATTATTTATCATCTATCTGTACTGATATATAAAGCTGAATAGTTTGTTTGTTTAGTTTGAGCGCGCTAATATCAGGAACTTACGGGTTCGTAAATGAATCTTTTTAAGTTCGATCAGAGCATTTGTCAAAAAGGCCATAAAACATCGCCTGGGACTAATAGCAAGCGAAGCTACAGCAAGAAATGTGAAAAAAATTGGAAAATTCATTATCCTTATGTCTTTCCGAACCGTACGCTGCAAAAACGGTTTAAAAACCCAAGAAATGTATGAATGCATTTCTTTGAATTATCTAAAATAAAAGCAACAACAGTAGTTGACTCAGGTAGTAATTTATATATTTTTTCGGTCAATAACAATAAATAACGAAGTTAAAATTACTTACATACTTTTATATTTTTTTATATCGGTTTACACTTAACAATCAATTGTTTTAAGCTTATCCTAAAAGTATAATAACATATATATATTTCCTCGAAACATTTCAAAGACTCCTTTCAACATTCAAGTGTTAGAACAATAATATTTGTACAAAGGAAGATAAGTATATATTCTGCGTAAATACGAAAACAATCGGTTTATTTTTGTTACTTGTACGTTCAGTTGTTTGTATTTAAGTTGATAATTGCGTTCATTAAATTTACCGACAATCGGCTTATAGAATGAAATCATAAATGATATATTATCTTAATAATTTATACTCTGTGCCATTGTTTTATTTTACGTTGTTCTCGAACACGAATTTTGCTGTAAAGCAATATTCTGAAACCTTCACGGCGGGATCAAATGCGAGTTGAAAAATTGGATGTAACAAAATTGATGGTAGAGCGAAGATTCAATATTTATTTACCTGTGAAAGCAGCGTTTGAAATTCTCGTGAAACTGGAAATTATTCGCTAACATGTTTCGATGGCAAAGGTTACTCTGATAGCATAAAAACTTGACGAATTTGTACTGTAACTGAAACTACTGTGCTATTTCTACCTACAATTTTAACTATGCAATATTTGTTAGTATGATGACATTTAATTAAAACACTTTTAATGGTTTGAAACGTGAAATGTTGTAATCTAGTAGCTGTGGTCACCGGAGGACACCACCACCACCATCACCACAGCTAGTGTAAGCATAAATAAATTGACTAAATTATTTCACGTTTTAAAGCGATAAAAGTGTTTTATTTAATTGTGCACTACCCACGTAAACTTTAAATCTAAGCCTAAATTTATTAATATGACGATGACCTACTAATACTTGTATCATATATTTGATATTTTATATAAAAGCTTAGCAAAATAAATACATTTTATTTTACCAAATACTAAAAAAGGACATTATTACAAATAAATAATTATACCTACCATCCTATATTTAATATCTAAATTCGCAAGTATTTTTTAATTTTATTTGTCGATTCTTTTAATGGAAAACTACATCCTTTTTGAACAGTGATTTGTAAATAAGATGAATAGGACTAGGGTAGACTTAGGAATCTCAAAAAAATCTAGAATTGTATACATTACGTAAAATTAGATACTTTAAACTTACAAAGCACCAGAAACATCGAATCTTTTTAACCTGATTAAATTTCACGTTTCAACTATTTTCTGTAGATTATTACTTGGTAGAGCAACAACACGGAATTCTGTGGTTCGTGGGTTCAAGTGGCAACTTGTTATATATATTTCTATCTTAACTAAGTAACTTTCAAGTCCTTTTTATTAATTAACAAGTCTAAACCAGGTTGTGTCAACATTCCTCTGCGAGAAATCCCATCAACTGGCGTGGAAGCTTGGTATAAACTAGATGCAAGGTCCCAACGGTCTTCTGTTCAAGGGCGGATCCGACTAAGGCTGTGGTTATCAGCCAGGGAAGCTGGGAGGCACGACGATGACAACTGGCAACAGGTACTTAGACAATATGATAGATATATAAATATTATCTTTCCAACTCTTAATTTTGCTTCTCTCTTACTTGCTACTTTTACGAAGTACCTTTGCTTTTTGTTTATTATTCCTTACTCCTACCCACTTAATAAGCGTTTTTTTGTATTATTTTTTTCATGCTAAATTACATATGCTAAGTGATGCCTAGAGAGATATACAATAATATAATGGAGAAAAAATAACTTAAAAATGATTAAAAACTTAAATATTCGGCCGAATAGTGTATAAGACGATGGATACCGAATATTGGTTGCAAGCCTAATATCTATTTCATTGTGAATAATTTTAATGATAATATAATGAATATCTTATTGAAAAGCCATTCCTCATAACACTATTGACCAACAAGTAGTCGGGACACTAAAGTTATATGAGGATTAATATGGAGGGTAAATTGTTATAAGGACATAAACAGCTGTTGACCGCACATAACCTATGGCTATACGATTTAATAGCTTTCAGCGTGAGGCGTATAAAAGTTTTACGCCTTACGCAGTAGTTTAGCAGATTGGCAATATGCCTTGAAGCGCTATAATGCAATGTTATTAAGGACATACCGACTTTAATTGCGCTGTTATATCAGGATTATTACAGACGTATTCCTCGTTATATGGGACTTTTATTCTCCAGTTTTCAGATTCAATAAATGCTTCTTTACTTCATTATTTCATTCGTTTCTATCACAGAAATATCGGCTTAAAAATTTAACAAAAAGATATGATTACTATTTTCTATTGGGGGTACTGATGGAATGTCAGGTCAGTCTACATTATCTGCTGATTCCCCATTTTCTCTTCCTCAATAGAAATAGTATGTAGCAGACAATATTTTGTAATTGTCATGAGTCCTTTAAAAGTTGAGCCTGGGTCTAAATAAGAGTAGGGTATGACACATCGGACATCGTGTGTCAGAACGTAAAGAAAGATGATAAGTAGACATCAAAACAGCAGTCCCGTGCACATGCTACTAGACCACTAGCATATAGTATTAACTGTGCCCGCGAGTTCGTCTGTCGCAGGATAGTTATCTTAGGCAACAATTTTATAAATTATAGCCGTTACATATATCGCGACACGTCCTTCTTGCGGGTTAAACTAAAACGATAGATCTATATCTATCTCGAATATTTTTAAATGATCTAAAGAAGAATCATTTTTTCTATATATTTTTTTGTTTTTTTTTAAACCGTTCTCGATTTATGATTTTTTCTGTTGTTTCCACATTTGCCATTGTTCTTTCGCTCCTATTGATCGCAGCATGATGTTTTATAGCTTAAAACATTCCTCGATAAATTATCTGACTAACACAAAAAACAAATTTTCAATTCAAAGCAGTATTTTATATACCAACAAACAAACTTTTCAGCTTTATAACATTAGTACAGACGATCTTACCTATAACTTAGTACACGTCTTGTCTTGTACATATCTTGTCTTTGTTGTTTTTAAGGCGTATAATAAGATCTATGTCATGTACGTCTTTCATCAAAACATGAGACATCATACACGGCATTTTGAATGTCATTCCCAGGCCCTCGCCTCCTATATCCGCCGAGTGAACATCGTTGGTCTCGCGTAATAAGTGAGCCGGCGACTGAAGCGAAATTGCGATTACACGATAAATCCAATTCATTCCGCCGACGTACTTTATTCACTTTACATTCAATGGGACCGATTTTTTTACGCATCGCAAGTTTTTTCCTTATAACGAGTAGATGCGAATATTAGTTCGGATAGATACCGAATTTACCGAATATTTGATTTAGTGTAAAATCTAGATTCTCTGAGCTACAAAGCGTTCAACTTTGACGGACTATTTGCAATTGTAGCAATGTATGTCGTGGATTCGATTCCCACCAGGTCCAACATGTAACATGGCTGGGGGTATTTCAGCTATCATCAAATGAACGCCACGCTTGTCTATTCTCCTCTATCATAAAAGCCTTATTACTGAAGTACTTATTAATGTATATAATGTATTTACTGAAAAATATTTTGCTTACCTGAATTTAGCCCATTGCTAATTAAGATTATCTCTGTGAAAAGCGTAAATTAAATAAGAGGAAATTTTGATAATCCAAACTAGTTTTTACTTTTTTAAAGTATTCATGATTAATACGTATCTAAGTAGATTAAGATATTAAGATTATATTGTAATTTTCAATTAATAAATGTACTGTACTGTACCGAAACGTAATTTATATTATTTACAGATATTTAGATATCTCTTTACTTAAACGGACTTAACGGATAGCTTTACAAAATTTACAGCTTAATGTGTCTTTATAGAACGCTAAAATTAAAATTTCTATGGAATATATATTAGGTAGACTGTGTGAAATTAAATTTTTTCTCTCCATGAGGCGAACAAATGTATGTACAGGTAGCCGATCAGAAGTTAGTACCTGCCATCTAAAAAAAACATTATTGTTTCTACAGGATTCGAACTCAGGTCCTCTCGCACTTAACGCAATGGTAGCGATGTAATCTATGAGCTGCAGGGGCGGACCGAAGACCGTATACACCCTGAACAAAGAAAACAAAACAGAACAAATACTGTATACGCGAGTAGTACACATTTAAATAAAACACTTTAACGGTTTAAAACACGATATATTAGTTAAACTTATTTGAAAATGATTTTTAACTTCGGCCCGACGTTTCGGATGTTTGCAGCAGCCGTGGTTCGTGACCAGGCTGTATGAAAAATCATTTTCAAATAAGTTTAACTAATATATCGCGTTTTAAACCGTTAAAGTGTTTTATTTAAAAAACAGAACAATATTTACAATGATTTATGTTTTTAGAACGAAAAGCCGGGAGATCTTAGGAAATTGCAACGTCTATCGTTTCTTCAATTTGCGCTTCCAATGATGATTTAAAGACAATTAATGGCAGGTAGCGTGCCGGAGTAATTTTAAACGTAATTGATGTGCAGGCACGTAGCGACGCTGCGATGATTCGCAGACATTTACAATATCGGGCACGTCTTTTCCTAAGTAATTATTGTTTTAGATCAATGTACTTGGGGGTATTTACAATCTAGGCTACAATCTTTTATGATAGAGAACGACAGACAAGCTTAAGTTCCATTTGATGAAAGATGAAAAGCCTCGTATAACTCTGAACCAAATGCAACTACCTATTTCGGCTCTGGACATTCGGAAATCCACAGATTGAACCCGAGACGCGATTAAACCTAACGGTTTTTAATCTGTGAACGGTCGTTCGTGACCCGGACGGAACTTCGACACCACCTATTTAGTATCTAGATTTCTCGACGAATGTTTCAGATCAATTATAAATTTATTAAGAACGTACGTTTTACGTATATAATATGGAGATTTCCAGACGAAGTCCAACACGTTTTAGACAAGTAATGAATTAATTAACAACACGTTGGTGATTATTCAGATGGGGGGTCTAGTCCACGACCCATTGATTATTACTAGTAGCCATACATCGCTTAATTAAAAAAGATTAGTATAAAAGACACAGAGAAATGTCCGCCGTAAAAAAAGGCGGAATTTTACTTTTATATATGTAACATGGCGCACGGAATTTCACGCAGGGTATATTTGAATGTATATAAAATCTCATTCATATTGGTAAACCGTATTCGGGGAATAGAATAAATTGCTTTCGTTTCGCACGGGGTCTCTGAAAACATTTGTTGTTTGTAAATAGTATCTTAATATCTCATGAACTCAACATAATAATATTTATAATAGGTAAACCATATCAACCAAGAATTTATTATTGAACTCCGACGTTTCGGATGTTTAGCAGCAGCCGTGGTCATAGGTTCACGGGGAACCACTATATTTTATATATAGGTATATATATCTCATGTTTGAAACTGTAAAAAGTGTTTTATATAATCGTGCTAACTACAGATAGTACTTAGTTAATATTAATTAATTGCAAGCTAAAAATGAAAATAATATTATCACTTTTTACTTTTTTAACAATTTACAAAGACAATTTTGGACAATCTTCAACAGGTTCGGCAGCACGAGCGTCTTTTCGGTGTTCTCCTCGCTCACGAGGTCGAAACGGCTGCAAATTTGGTCAGCGATGGTGCTGAGAGTGACAGCCATGCCTGGGAAGGGGATCTTTGTAGCGCTGCACAGACATTACTCCACCAGCACGCTGTGCAAGGCGATTTAAGCTCACTGCAAGCCGCGATCGCACGTTATGCAGCCGCTTGCAGGCTCAACAGCGACGCTCCACTTGATCCTAAGTAAGGCTAACGATATTATATGTCATATCATAAAATTATTATACAAAGTCAACGTCAACGTGAACGTCAACTTTAAAAATCATTTACTCTCGTAGATACTTATGAACAACACATCAGCAAAAAACTAAAGACCCCCTTAATTTATATTTACTATTAGTTGTCAAATCAAGGGTGTAGAACGAACGCGAATAACTGGCAAGAAACTCGCCGCCACTCCTTTTATCGAAAAAAGATTTGCATAAAAATTGAAATTCTGTTCTCCCGTGGTGTTTCTGTGTTTGTGTCACTACTTGTTTCTTTTAAGATTGATCAAACTTTTTCTTATGATCGATATTGCTTTCCCGGAATTCGAAACTATTGGACGTCTCGCGTTTAACGCAGTGCTTCACCACTTCGCTACAGTGACGGTCAATTTTCAAATTTCAATGTTAAGATTATTTATGGTTAGGTATTATTATTATATTACAGAAATATAAAAGAAGTAAACTGATATAGAAAGCGATATATGTATAACAGCAGTGTAACTATGTTATATCTAACAGCGACAGTTTATAACCGACAAAATCTTACACGATACTTTATTATTAAGGCAAGAGATTTGATGGAAGACTTTTGCTTCGTCCCACATAAGTACATCAACGCCTTGTTGCGGCCAAGGCCTTGTATATTACTAGCTAAAACTAAGTAGTACAATTCAGAACTAACGTATACGTACTTTTAACGTATTACAATAGGTTTTTACGAGCCTAAGTAGGTATTTATTTTTCGCTAAACAGCTTTCTATGTTTGCCAGTTCGAAATTTAAAATCAACCTTTGATATGTTGCCTCTTTGGTCGCCATGTTGCGATGTAGAAGAACATTCCATTTTTAAATTACACGATAAATATGATTTTAGATATAAAACTTATTTTACCGCTAAACACGACAGATATGAATTTTCATACAACTATTGCCGCCAGCAAGTTCGATTTGTCTCGAAGAAGGTTGTCAAAATAATACTCATATCTCCTAGCATGTTTGAGAAAATAATATTACGTCTAGTAATGATTTATTCTTTGTGATATCATCCTACCTGGAAATTGAAGATTAGGGAATTCGTTAAAGTAATACTTTTGAGCGACGATAACGATAAATTCAATTAAGTATCGACCCCTAACATTTCGCAGAAATACATTTCGCTGCGGAATAATTATCGTATAATTTCGTTTCCTTTATCTTTCTCCACCATAAATGAGATGTTTCCACCGGCATCCTGCCCCGAATTAATTTAATCATGACTCGATGTGATCCACAAATTGAATCACGTGAATAAATGCATACCCGCTAGAGTGACTTTGTTCTCATAGATTGCATTACTGGTGACGTAAATGCATCTGCAATACAATTTCCCGAGTATAATTAATCGAAGGGAACATATAGTCACGTTGCTTATGTTCTTGACGTGTTATTAACAGTTGCGCTGTATTAAAACGATTTAAAAAATGACTAGCTTATTAACGTGTTTTAAAAATTTCAATATACATATAATATAGCGCTTTCAAATACACTGACTTTATGTTAGAATGAGCAGTGTAAAATAAACCAAAAAGATTGGAATACATATGCAAATCTTTCTAATCTGAAACTTTTTATGAAATATTTTAAATCTCAAAATAATTGTTTTGGCTGGATCTTGCTTCTGGTAGAATTGGTACTACCAGATGAAACATGGCACAAATTGCATGACGTTGGCATGCATTATGCATACACGGCATTATGTTATAAAGGCTATAAGTCGCACGTAATCCTAATAAGAGAAGGAGTGACTTGTAATACCGGTAAAGACTGAATTTCGAAGTTTCAAAGTTTGCCTCCAGGTGTCAGCTATTATGGGACCGTAACTTGCTCCAACTTAGTGTCATGCCTTCGATTACTATATTATATTTGTTAATTATTGTTCCACGATCTTTGACCAATTATTTGGATTGAATGTTCTACGAAGCAGTGAAAACTAATGAAGAATGTCGAAGTGTGTTTATATAGTCTACATTAAATAATTTCTTTATTAGTTTTACTGCACATAAGATCTTCTTTAAATTAAAAAATATTTTTTTTCTTCAACAAGGTATATGTTTAAACTTCTTAATGAACTGGAGAGGGCGTGGTGTGCCAGTGAATCTCTTCTTGGAAGCGGTAGTGGTGACGCCGGCGCTTGCGCATCAAGGGACGAAGAGCGCTGGCTAGCAGACTGCTTCGGAGAGTTTGTGGATCGAGCCTTACATCAACTTCGACTCCACAGAGACTTATATCCAGTACTGCATCATCTCAGTCTAAACAAGTAAGCCAAGTACTTTTGAAATCACCGAATCTTTTATTAATAATAACAACTTAATATTGCCTAATTGTATCATTGATATAATATCTACAAGTATATTGTACAATTATTTGATTAAAAAACACTATTATACCAATTTATTTAAAGTTTCTGCGAAATAAATAGAGATGACGTTGCTGAATATGTCGTCAAGTTTTCTATAACTAATGCGAGAATTTATTGTAGCTTAACGCGTTTCGATTCTCGTCCGATCAGATAAAAATATTTTAAAAGAATTGTTCTATGCTTTACAATGTTTTAATTCGATGCATATTTTGTATTGAATAACCCTTAAAATGTTCTTTATTTAGTAACTATTCGTATAAATTAAACCCAGGAAGTTCGCCCAACGAGGTTGGACGTGTTATCGTTTAGTTTGATATCATTGGTTTAACTGACCGACTATTTTGTAAAGCTGGCACTTTGATCTTTATCTCGCACGCAAGACAAATTATATTTTAAGCAAGTATTTATAGCAAAAAGTATTTTTAGTAGAAGATACGCTTGAATTTTACGTATTAACAAACAATTTAAAACATATGACGTCTACATTATTAAGTAGGCTTGTCATAAATAAAACCTAAACAAAGTCGCATTATTATATTGGAAAGCTTGACAAATATTTGCTTCAGGTAAAATCATTTATAACTTTACAGATTAGAATATCTTCTTCGTTGTTTGAACCAGTTATCGCAGATGAAGGCTTTTTGGCGATGCTGTCCCTTTAGCAAGGAAATGAGGTAAGGAAGGAATATTTGAAAATTATACACTTGAAGGTAAACTACAAACACTTACACGTGTACTTTTGTTGTTTTAAAATTACTTTTGTAGCGTTGCCGTAGTCATTTGGATACACCTACTGTTATTTACGACGCCTTGTATCTATTTTGAGCAAAAACAATTAGTGATTTTGAGACCGGTATTTTTTGAGGGGTATATCTCTTATAAAAGAAATATTATGCCTTCTTATTATATGGGTTCAAATTAAACGATTTTCGCCTTAACTATGAATACGCTTACAATCTCTGTAATGATCTTTTACTTTGTGTCAACGTAATCTTCAAAGGGAAAGATATTTTTACTGAAAAAACCAATGAATAACAGCACCCAATAAAACTCAATAAATACATATTTCACAAAAGCGATTGAATGTAAATCAAAGTTTTAATTATTATTAGTTTTCCGCTCTGCCGCTTCAGTGAATACGCATCCGTATATCCCGATAATATTGTTGATTTAGGGGGAAACCTTTAAAGGCACTATTAATTAAGGAGAGACGAGACGAGTCCTTGATACCGCAATTAATCGGATTCAAAGGTACGAGTCTATCTTAATTGATCTTTATTTCGCTATCGGAGATTAAATTCTTAGAGATAAAACATCTTTTCATTCTTGGATAAATCGGTCCGTTGCGTAACAAATTATTGAAGTAGGACAATCTAACATCTAAAAGTCTATCGCCTATATGAAATTCGTAACTCTTACAATACCAAAAAGATATTTTTAATAGCGTTCGACGATTAGCTGATAATAGGTCGTGGCTTCGATCCCCTCCGGGTCTAACATGTTTGTAATACATTTATAGTTTTTATGAAACATGGATTCATCGGAATATCAAAAATTTCTAGTCTAGATTTCCGAATGTCCAAAACCGACATGATGATGAGATAATGAATCGAGAGTTTTGCTTTTGACGTTATCCATTAGACACAAAAATATGTACGTGTGTCTTTCTTTTCTAACAAACGGTTTTATCTTCAGTCGCCGGTACAATTTAAATCCGACCTCTGTTCTTAAAAGCTTTTGGACTATATGTGTGTTCGTCTTTTTGCTACATAGGAGTGAAATTGTCGGCACGCTACGGAAGGGCACAGCTGAATGGTACGAGGCGTTATGTGCTCAAGATACAGAGTCGGAGCGCGGAGAAGATCTCGTCAATCTCATCACGCTGGTCCAAATTGACCTGCAGCAGGGACTCACTTATTATCATCCTCTATTTGAGACGTGAGTACCAATATGACCGAAAGATCCGATGGGCTCGTTGGTCTAATGGTAGCAATGTACAATCAACGGGTCGTGGGTTTGATGTCCACCGCATCCAATAAATCTACAATGTTTCAGAAACATTTTGGGGGGGGTTTGGGGGGAAACCCGGCAAAAAGGGGGGGGGAGGAAAAAAAAAAATCCCCCCGGGCCACGAACCACTGTCCACAGATGGAAAAGCTGTGCTTTCAGAGAACATGTTGGATTTCCACGAATATCCAAAGCCGAAATAGGTCAATAGGCTGAGTAAACCTTATGCTTGTCTGTCCTCCTCTACCATTAAAAAAAGATCTCCACAGACTTTTTTAGACCATCAATGCCTCTGTAGCTAAATGGTTAATCGTGAGTGCGAGAGGTCCTGGGTTCGAATACAGAAGTCTGATCAACTACTTGTAAAAGAACTGATAAGCAAAACGGACATAGACATTGGTTGCGGGTTTGAGGGTAGCGGGATTTCACATGTTTATCTTTGAGCATAAAACTTGTGTTTTATGTAAATACTACAGTGTTATAATGACCATCGAATTTCTGTCTTTCTTTCGGTATTATTCTTTTTCAATACTATAAACTATATTTCTCACAATCATATTTTGGTCTTGTCATGGTACGTTACAGTAGATAATTACCATAACATAATCTTTCTTTCTATTAGCTAATTCGTCCTTCATAATTTCGTATTTATAATGGTTACTTATCTGTATTTTCTTTTTGTTTCTTTTAGGACAAACGCCGTCCCATACTTCAACGTTGTTTTCACACAGATCGACAAAATGGTGAGTTTTATTTATAAACATTTGTACTTGCATTTGTTTTAGTAGCGTAGCTTTGAATATGCAAAACGGAAAATTCAAATTCCAAATACATTCGAGGTAAAATAGCGTTTTAACAAACTGACATCGAGGCCTCGGGGCGTGTGAATCTACATGTTATAACAACTGAGCCAAGCTTCTATGAACATAAACTCTTCCCTTTGATGAATTATTAAATTTCTATTCATAATTTCCTATGTCTTTCGACGGAGTACTATAAAAATAAAATAAAAATTAATGAGCATTAAATTTACTTAATATATTTTCGGTTCCGTTTTCAGTTTATTTATTGAGTCAAAGGTTCTTAATGTCAGGTCCCCATTTTGTGGTAAGAGCCTCCTCCATACGCTTACACTTCTTTCTGTGTTTTACGCTTCGTTTCCAGAACACGCCAAAAGTTCGCCATCTTTCGATGGAGTACTAAGTTGTGTTATTTAACTTAAACATCGATTTTTGAAAAATATTTTCGACACGGGCACGCCTTGAAGCAGCATCCACAGCGTTCCGTGCTGTTGCACTAACCAATTGAACTACCGTGTCCACACACACGTCATCTCTTTTTTCAATATGTGCGCCGCTCGCGTTATTATTAATACCGTAGGTAGTACAAAATTTAAAAAAAACAATTGCACCAAATTTTGACACTTCAGTATCCCCTGAAGACCATCGTGTATTTATTTTATTTAAAATATAAAACGTATTTTTCTTTGTGTTTGGTCTAACATATTTGCGATATAAAATAAACGACGTTACTATAAATGAGTCAGTACGCTCGATAACTGACCTTTAATTGGCCGAAGTATAGAATTAGTGCTTATAACATTTTATATTTATTTGTTAGCGATGCAACCACAGCTGTCGATCGATATTGTACTAACGAGGCTACAGAAATTATTACGTGCAAGAACTCACTATATCGTTGTAAAATTAACACTTCATCGATTTTCTTGTATATGACTCAGAATTGCATGATGATATACAAAATCAAACGTCATTGGATGTCTTGTTAAATACTAAATTACAAATAAGTGAAAATATAAATTCATACTTAAGTAAAGATACTTGGAGTTCAAGAAACCTTGCTATTAGAAACAATCATTGGCTTTATTAGGTACATTGCCTAGCATTGCGTTTAAAACTAGAATAAATCGTTTAGTCATAGAACAAAAGTCTGTTCTTATTAATCGAATGGGTGGTAAATAAAGAAATTCCGACCACCACGTCCGTAGATGAAAAAACCGTGAAGCTTAATCGCGTTTCGGTTTCAGTCTGTGGATTTCCAAATATTCAAAGCCAAAGGCTGACAGCGCATCTTGTTTAAATGCTTTAGGCTGGGGTTTGTCACCTAAAAAAATATTTACATTAAAATGCTTAGATTACATGGGTGTCAGCAGACCTATTATTACTGAAAATTAGAGAAATATTAATATGGTTTACTGAATATTAACTATTGTGTAGTGTATTTTAGACAGCTTAAAGTTACGTAAATTGAACTTGAAACAATATCAAAATACACATGTTAACTTTATCTGTATGTTCTGAATTATGTTTCATATATAAATCTTCTATTAGAAAGATAAGTGAAATGCTTCTGCACATTCTGTGGATTCTTTAGCCGACGCAGCTTTTACGACATCAAACCGTAGTAAGAATGCTATAAAACCGAAATAATGTTAAAACAACGACGAAGCGTGGGCGGTGAGGTATTGCTTCCAGACCATTTCGCTTACATAAATATGTATTTTTCTTTAGGCGCCGCCAATCTAAATTACAAATAAGTGAAAATATAAATTCATAATATACATCATTCATATAAAATTATTAGTGAAACAATAATACTTTAGATGGTTTCTGAAAAAGTAGTAAACATCACATAACCAAACAATACTTAAATACTGTCTATAGTTTACGCGAGTAGTACACATTTAAATAAAACACTTTAACGGTCTCCCCGCGACTACGGCTGCTGCAAAGCATCCGAAATGTTGGGCCGAAGTTAAAAATCATTTTCAAATAAGTTTAACTGATATATCGCGTTTCAAACCGTTATAGTGTTCTATTTAAACAAACAATACTTTTAATTCTTACCTAACTAATACAACTGTGTACCTAACACTAATCTTGCAACATTATCTTAACTGAAAAAGAAACGACAGTAAAAGATTAATTTTTGCACTTTTTAGGAACTAAACAATGTTGTTACATAATATTTCGATACAAGCACAGATTAATATCATTCTATTAGTTTGAATGACAGATTATATTATAATTGACGCGCGCCACTAGTTTAAGGGTTTGTCGCAAGGTGGCGCGCCGGTGGCATACTCATTATAATATAATCTGTCATTCAAACTATGAGAATGATATTAATCTGTGTTTAAGAGAATATACTTTAAGTTCTATAAACCTTGTTATTTTTTTGTTACAATGCAACTCATTGTTTCAATATAATACAATACATTACTACATAACATATTAATACAATACATTTTTCTCCAGAAGCGGTGGCGTCAAGGGCCACTAAAAATCAGTGTTTTGATACAAGTATGTGGGTGACATTATGAGTGGCTCCTATTTCAGGAGTTGCAATAGTTGATTTTTCTATTGAAACCTTGAGTATTTATATAACCTGTTTAAGTTTAGTTATTAAGTTAATCTTAGATGATGTTTTTTATTTTTGTGTCCAACTTCAATAAATGATGTTTTATTATTTTTATTTATTTGTTTTCGTTACTCAATGATTGGAATATATTGCGTTAGAAACTATAATAAATCTTTTGATCATAGAATAAACGTCTGTTCAACTACTTGGCAGTAAATAAAATTCAATCAGTATAAATATTCAGGGTGACAAAATATCGTTCTCATTCTAGGGTAAATTCGAAACAGATTTGTGTAAGCCTCCGTTCCCACAAATCCATCCAAATTTGTATATCATATTTACCTTTATTTAACAGGTATCAGAAGATGTGAAACAATGTGTCGAGCATTGGATATCGGAGGGCTGGTGCGGTGTAGCGGAAGAGGAGGGCTTTGATGAACATGGTATGCATTATTGTTTGACATTTACTAAACTTATTTATTAAATTCATACTGTCTATAGTTTCCCCGAGTAGCACACATAATAAACACTTTAACGGTTTAAATCATGAAATATATTTGATAAACTTATTTTTTTATTTCGACACCCTCCGTTTTTAGTTTTCCCGTGACCAAGGCTGCTGCAAAACGTCGGGCCATAGTTTAAATAGTTTTCATATAAGTTTCACTAATATATTTCGCGTTTTTAACCGTTAACGTAAAACACGTTATTTAAATATTAAATTAATTACTAAGCATCTGAGAAAGCTTTCATATTTGAAACTTTCTGCTAGGTTGTCACGACTCGTTTTAATTTTTTTTATTCTATTTTAATTCCTTTGTCTGAAATTTATGTGTTTCTAATAATTATGCTTAAATTGATGAATTTAATTTTAAGTTATGACCACAGATAGTAAAACTATGACTCGATCTAGCCTGTAGCTAAAATATTTACAGCTATTATATTTGCGAGGTACCTACATAAAAAATTTCTTTCATTTCTAATTGATATGATGTATATAGTTAATATAAACTAATTTAATTGTAATCAAAGTGTGCAACGTGGTGTCAGCGAAGACGCTACCGTTTGAAGTATTGGCTGCGGTAAGGGAACTTTGCGCGGCGGCTGCGCCTGCGCCGCTAACGCACCCACATGATCCACCACCCCAACTGATAGAAGTCTATCAGTAAGTATATCAACTGAGATCTTTGATACATTTTTATAAAAAAATATGTAGCACGCGTAATTGGCTAATCATCGCCATCTAACACGGCAAAATAGAAACAGTAATAGTACTAACCGACAAATAAAAAAAGAATAATTACAGTTTTTAAGCTTTATTTACAAACGTACGAATCAATACAATGATGTTATGTACAAAATAAGGAATATCACGTTTGCTTAAAGTTTGTCCAAAAAGTTAGTTGACTGAACGACTGCTGAAATTCTTCATTTCTTGATGAATTGGGCGTAGGCGAAGGGAGAGGCAGGGTAGTAGGGAGATGAGTAAATAGAAGCAGCTGGGTATGTGGAGTAGGCAGAAACGAGGGGTGCGGCAGCAGAGTAGGCAGCTGGTGCGATGTAGGGGGCAGATGGCACGACCAGAGGAGCGGAGCGTTTCTTGATAAAGTGAGCGGCGGTGTACACGGGGGAAGAGTGAACGAGGGGAGCGCCGTAGGTGGTCGCTATGGGAGCAGTGTAAGCTAGAGGACCGGCAGCGTAGGTTGTGGCCCATGGAGCGTTGTAAGTGGCCGCATAGCTAGTGGCCAGAGGAGCAGAAGCGACGTAGTTACTGACTACGGGAACGGAGCGTTTCTTGATAAGGTGCGCGTATCCCAGCTGTCCAGGGTATGTAACGGGTGATGAGTAGACGAGGGGGGCCGAGTTGTAGATAGGGCCGGCGGCGCTGTAAGCGGCTACAGCAGGAGCATATCCAGCTGAGTAGGCCAAGGGGTAGGTGAAATGAGCTGGATCCGGTGACGCGGCGGCCACGGCTAGGCAAGCGACGACAGCTACAAACTTGAACATGTTGGTTGATTGTTGTTCGAATCGGAATCGACTGATACCCAACGACGGTCCGGCTTGGTTTTTATAGACAGACGACTTTTTTTAAGGGCGTATACCGGTGCAAAAAGGTTGTCCAGGAAGCTGATATTTACGCCTAGCAAGGTCGCGCCAAACCTCGTGTAGCCTCGTATATCATCCAAGCGAAGAAATGAACCAATTAAATGTCAACTCAGCGCTGTTAGAGTTGTTTTAATATGAACGCTGCAGATATGTGATAATGGACATTCACGTGCAAAGTAGTTGCCAAAGACAAGTGACATTTAAAACCTACGATAGTTTTTTTGCCCTCATTTGTCTTAGTAATAATAAAGGATGTAAAAGGACGTCTGTTAGCTAAGACATTTAACGTTTTTTAGGATAGATTAAATATCGAAAATAAATAAAACAAATTTTGGCTTGGCAAAAGAGCTACCGAGTCAATTGGTTAGAGTAACCGCACGGAATGCTAATGATGCCGGTTCAAGTCCTGCCCGAGCCAACAGTTTGTTTAATTTATTTTCGAGTTTTAATCTATATATTGCCATAATGTGCAATAACATGTAAAAAATATTAAAGTTTTCAAACGTTTTTTAAGATTTCGAACAAATAATTCCAATTATAAGACCTCTATCGTTGTCTTAGAAAAAAAAACATAGCCAAGAAATCAATGTATCTACTATCTTATTTTATTAGCTTGATCTTTGAGTTTTCTCCCAAAGCTTAAATACATAATACTGTTATTAAAAAGTTGTAAGCAAATTAAAAAAAGGAAATTGTAATTAACTCAATGTTGAACAGCGATGTAAACACGGCTTATAAAAGTTAGGTGTAAACAGTAATAAGCTTTGCATGTTTATCGTGATAACGTCGGAAAATAAAATATACAATTCTTTATTCGCTAAATTTATAAAGCCGAGCAGTTAAACGGACATAGAAATGTTCAAATAAGTATAGAAGTAATTGGAAGGACACACACAACTTTATTTTAAATACACACACTTATTATATAATCATATGTGTTTAAAACACGCTTTCTTCGTAATCTTTTGATCTGGTGTACCAAATCATTTTTAAGAATTGGAATATAGCTATACAAGGCTTAAGACATAACATTTCTAGAATCTAGATCATAATATCTTTATGTTCTGTAGCATGCATTACAGAACATAAAGACATTTGACATAGACTATCTCAATAGCGGAAACAGCAGTAAGGATGTAATTTTCTATTATCTGTAGGTATTGTTTTTATTATCAAAAAGTATAAAACGGTTAATTTTTTTCTTCAATATTACCATTAAAAATGGTGTGTATGAAATGTTGTTCTGAACAAGACATAATTCTGTGGACTCTGAACCCAGGATTCATGCGTGATAATGTGCTTGATCATCGAGCCACAGTGCTGGTATTTTCAAATATAGCTCATTTGTTAATTATACATTCGTAAAGGTGTCTCATTTATTTTATCAGACCGCATTGCAGAGCACTTACACGACACTTTCCGGTATACGTCTAGTTGATTTAAGTGGAATTGATAAAAAGAGTAAAATATTATTTTAAAACATTAAAATTGTGGCTATTATATCAACTCTTTTGCCGAATAAATTGGTATAAGTTATTTATTCGAGAAATGTTCTAAGCAATTCCGGATATTTAAAAAAAACAAACAGGTACAAAGCTATTATTTTTATTAATGTACTAAATGACTAATGTCCACGGCTATGATTGATTCACCCACACTATAGTCTGTGTTATATAGAATAATAAGTTTGACAATTTTAGTCATATTATTAAATACTGTCTGTAGTTTACGCGAGTGGAACAGAGTAAAACGCGATATTTATTAGTTAAACTCCCCCGCGACAGGCTGCTGCAAAGCATCCGAAACATGGCGCCGTAGTTAAAATAATTTTCAAATAAGTTTGACTGATATATATCGCGTTTTAAACAGTTAAAGTGTTTTTAAATCATAATGTTAATTCCAATAAAACCCAGTTTAATGCCTTGCAAAAGAATCAACAAATCATGATTGGCTCATACAATTAATTACACAACTAAGATAATACTTACTGTTACACAATGAAAAAGTATTTTATAGTTATAAACATAAACTATTAATTTAATATATATACCGCGTCACTATTTCTACATTATACTTATCATCCTATATTAGACAAAGTGTGATCGGGTAGATTCGTATTAATGTTTGCGTTTAAGCTCTCTTTAAAAGTCAAGGTCTATCGTTAAAAGCGTATTGTGCTCATGTGTGACAAAGTTATTATGTGCTGTCAGATGGTTCGAGCCGCTGATCGATCGCTGGTTGGCCGTCACTAAAACTATGGCCCTGCAGAGAGTCCGAGCAGCCGTGGAACTAGGTATGTATGACTCGCTAGTAAAAAAGCCGGCTAAGACAGAGTTGGGTAGAATAAATTTGCCGTTGATTGATACACTACTTTTTAAAGATTTATGAAAATAAAGAATGCTTTAAAATTCGAAAATAAATTGAATTTAATTGATACATGATGATGCACCTCTCGCGCCATAACTTAAAAAATTCGACGATGAGGTGTAGGACTCGGTTGCTCAATTGGTAAAGCAACAGCACGGAACGCTGACGATGCCGGCTCCAGTCCTGCCCGAGTGGAAAATTTTTAAATTTGTTTTCGATTTTTAAATTATACAGTGCCATCATGTACAAATAACATGTAAAAAATATTAAACTTTCAAATATAGAATGCTTAGTAAATTTTCATTGTTCGATCCTGCGGTACGGCCTGATGACAGTGAGTCTTAATCCGTATTACCTCTTGGGTACGGAACCCAAAAACGTTTAGGAATTCATGACAGCGGGTAGCTTCTTATCAAACTTGACAAATCGTAATGGACTTTGCGTGTCCAAATTTACGCATTTCAAATAATTAAGCCTAGAGGATTTCGTCACAAAAAGTTTCCCACCCTTAGACGTCTAGAAACTCTTAAATCCCTCACGCTTTAAATACAATATTTACACGGTAGAAAGTAAACAATGAAACAATAGAAAAAAAATATAGGGAGAAGGCAAACAAAAATGATCAGCTGAAATGAAAGGGCATACCTAATTGTTGTGGGGGCGAAAGGGGAAAGTTAACACCCCAAGCTAGGGTACCCATTTAGATAAGAATCGTATTCTAAACGGTAGAATAACACGAAAGCTTTTATTTGTCCGAAACAAATAAAAGATTGCCGTATAATCTTCGTATGATACCTTGGATTTTAAAGGACACTATCTTTTTTGTCTTCTTAGCCGTAATTGGCTTGGAATCCTGTTTCTTATTTACCAAGGTTACTCTTCAAAGACTTATGAAGCTGCACAGGTATCCAACAAGTGGGTAGTAAAAGTTAAAACATTAATATGGGACTTTCGCATACGTGTTTATAATTTTATCATCATATCGGAGGTCCTAAATGTATGTTTTGTTTTAATTTCTAGACCGCCCTGTTGATGGAGAGCATATCGTAAAACACAGTACATCGTCAGTGGATACCGCTGCTTGGTAAGTGCTGCATTTTACTAGTCATATTTCCGCAAAAGGTAGTTAAACTAATAAACAGTCGGGTTTTTGTTTTCGTTTTTTTTTTCCAAACCTTCTTCGAGATAAATAGAACTTGCTTCACTGTTCGAGCAGCAGCCGGCAATAGCTATCTGAAAATCTAAATCTGTCGTGTATAGGGACCAAATAAATTACTATGGGAAATCATATTTGTCGTGTAATTTAAAAATGGAACGATTTTCTACTCCGTAACATGGCGACTAAAGAGGTAACTAAAAAAGGTAATGAAAAAAATATTGTGGCGCGTAAAAAACTGTTGTTATTACTTCTTCGTCAACTTCGTCATTGGTTTTAAAGTTCTGCTTTGCACTACTAACTTTTAATTTTAGCGTTTGTTTGAGAAGAGTCCTATGTAAGCCTTGACCGCAACTAGGCATCGATGGACTTACGTATGTAGGTATTCACACGTCCGTTCATCAATGTCTCTCTTGCCAGCCGCTGCATGCATGCATATGCAATGCACTATATTTTGTTAAAAAAAATAATAATAATATTCCATTGTTTAAAAATTAAAATTGCGTGACAATGCATTGCTAGTTGCTCTTTTGAAACAGTTCCTTAGCTTAAAATCACAATAAGAATACGTATAGTTACCCTCTACGTATAGTTTTTGAAACTTCTGCGAATCTTCTGTGTGTATTCATATCTAATAAATCTAATTCCAAAGCTCCTCTGTATACCCTCGACTCTGTTTATGCGGAGGGTTCAGGTGCGCTCGCCAAAATAACTAATATTCCAACAATAACCCATTGTGTGGCTCACGCTTATTTTATAACACAGAATTGAAGCCAAATTTATAACTACATAATAATTATAAATTGAAAAGCCTTTCTGTTCGTATTTGTCTTTCTCTAAACGACTTTTTTTATTTACTCGTATTGTAATGTCCAAGTAACCGATAAACTAAATGACGAGGAATTCTTTATTTTATTATAAAGGAGGATCAGATCACTTGACGGTATTCTGTTTTAGCTTTGGATATTCGGAATACCATAACTGAAAGCGAAACTCAATTAAAACTGAACGGCTGTTTACATCTGTAGTGATGGTTCGTAATCCTGACGGAATTTCGATAATAATATCTAGATTTCCAAACAAGGTCCAGCATATGTCTGCAAAATTATAAGTTGATAAGAAAAATGTTTGATCCGGTTGGTATCGAGCCCGCGACCCGTTGATTGCCATAATTGCTACCAATACGCCCGTCAAAAATTAACCACACCTACAATATTCAAGGCGTATATCATCATTTTAATAGTGACAAAACTATGTAGACATTCAAATACTGTTTATAGTTTACGCGAGTAGTACACATCTAAATAAAACACTTTAACGGTCTAAAACGCGATATATTAGTTAAACTTATTTGAGTGAATTATTTAAACGTCGGGCCGAAGTTAAAAATCATTTTCAAATAAGTTTAACTAATATATCGCGTTTTAAACCGTTAAAGTGTTTTATTTAAAAATATTACTTAGTTATATTTTTGAAACTTTATATTATGGAGTCGTAAGTACTTAACTGTTCTACTAATTCATATATTTTCATCAATAAAATTAAATGTTTCAACTACATAATAACAATAAAACTTAACTACTTACTTCCGCTAGTTTATACCACATGCGACTGGTGTGGCGATCTATTGGGGGCATAGAAGAAGGAACTCTAGGAGGCAGTGTGAGGCTCTTGGAAGCAGCTTGCGCAACTGCCCTGCATTATGCTGATTTGGTACACGGGGCCCTAGCTGACCAAGGATATTACGAGAGTCATGGTATGTGTGGTGGGTTATATATTAAGTTTTTCTATATTTTATACGAGTAACACGTCCAAAAACTGAATCTGGTGAATTACTTATTTAAAAGAAAAAGCATACGGTAAAACGATATTATGTTATAAGCTATGTTAGACGGTACCACTTTAAGAAGAGGAGGCTCTAGAGACAGAAGGACGGAGGACGGACGAGCTTCATGTTTACATATATATACGTTGCACTGATACTAAAATATATTAATTACAAATACCTTGGATGTTACTCTGTCTTAGGAGAGAAGAGAAGTCAGAAGAAAACCATCTTTTCATTATGTCTTTTAATAATTTGAAAATAGATCCTGGAGATTCTACAACATCTTTTTATTTTAAATGTAAAAAGTATTGCCTGCCAATATTTAAATAGAACAAACTCGAATCCACTCAAAACTAGGATAGAAAATCTAACGAATTATAATATTATTATAGTATTATAATAAAATAAGTGTTGATTAATTATAATACGTAAATAATAATTGTCACATCGAATTTAATCCTTAAATAAGATCAAATTCCATAATACATTTATTTTCCTTTCTCCGTAAACTGTAGCAGATTTTCAGTGCCAACTGAGATTACTTAATAATTTTAGCCGAGAGTCTAGTTGAAAGGTCCCTACTGTGTTGTATACACTTACGCTCATCTCACCGAGGTACTTACCTGTCGGTTGTTTACAGCCACTTTGCTTTAGTACCAGCACGTACCAAACATAGTTACTTTATTAGTAGCGTTGGCCGATTTAGTTAATACCTAAAGAACTCTGTGTTTAGAATGAAATAATAATAACTCTCTTAGCACAAATATTTGCGAATAAATCTATAGTAATACCTGCTAAAGAGTTAATGTGCTGAAGAGTTTGTTTGTTTGTTTGAAAGCGCTTATCTCAAAAATTACTGATGGGAATTGAAAAATTCTTAAATTTTGTCAAGAAATGTCATAATTGAACTTGAAATTTAAGTGCTTTTTATCGTGCCGTTAATTGAGTTTCTTTTACAGCACAAAATAAAACTACAGAGGAAATATGCACAATTGTAAATAACTTGGAATACGTACGTCGCTCACTCTCGGAATACGACGACGATCACATGTAAGTTATAAAGTGAAATTCACAACAAATACCACGTATATAAACGCTTTTATATAGCTCGACCCATACGGAATTTATTTATTTGGATCAAAATTAGAAATTGAAATTTAAGCACCTTCCCGTCGGTCTCCCAAGATGGCCGCCGATACAAAATGGCGGACTACATATTTTTCCTTAACCCCCTCAATAATTATTATTGGTTAAAATTATTGTACCGTCATTGTCGCCACGCTGATAATCAGTTATAAAACAAAGCCGTAAATTTTTTTACATTGAACAAACACTAAAAGGAAATAGAGTACAGCAGTACTGAATATTATAAACACACGATAAGTTCCCTTCATTCATAGAAAACAATATATCATAAAACGTATATGTCTCACGTTTCTATCGTATCTACACTGATTTCCGGCGATGAATGATCGATATACAAAATCGATACGGATTACAAGGTAAGACGGATTATCGAATGTTTTCCGCGCACGCTTGTTTATTTTTTATCGAGGCTGTCATTTTTCAGATAATATTTGGCCAATGATCGATTTAGGTACTTAAGTACTTATTACTTAGTAATTACGAAAGTATGAATATAATGAACATATAAATAAAACATGTTTTGAAAAAATAACAAGATTTAAGCGTAAGAATTTAGGAAGATTTTAATCCCCTTAGAATAAAATATATTTTAAGGCAGAGAAAGACTGGACAACTGTTTGCTTGTATTTCCAATTAACGAAACAGATATACACAGACTTGTTCAATGTAGGCCACTTTTACAATCACAATTTATATTTTTATTTGCGCGTGTATACATTTTCAAAATACTAATTATACTTCCTTCTAAAAATAATTGACCTTCCGAACGACTTATTTATAAATATTAATCGTTATTGACCGCTTTTTATATAATGTATGTATCACTGTACTTCAGTTTTTTATTTCAAAGACAAATGTAACTTTATTAATAACACCTTACACGCAATGTTGACAAAATATTAACACATAATGTGAGAACGTAAAGTATCGTTAAAAGTTGAATCTATACTAATATATAAAGCTGAAGAGATTGTTTGTTGTTTATTTAACTAATCTCAACTTGTTATGTCCGTCAAATTGTTAGCCCAAATATTAATTAGTATATCAAGAACATTGATTTTAAAAAAAAAAAAAAAAAAAAAACCCCCCACACAAAAAAACAACCTTTTAAGAAACGGGAAGAGACGCGATCGACGTCATGGCTAACAGCTTAAGTTTATAAAGATGACGGGGTTCAAAAATAATAATTTATCCACCGTTCTCGCGGACCGGGGGGGGGGGGGGGGGGGGGGGAGGGGAAGGGGGGGGGGGGGGGGGGGGGAAAAAAAAAGGGGAAAAAAAAAAAAAATTTGGGGGGGGGGTGTTTTAAAAAAAAAAAAAAAAAAAAAAAAAGGGAGGGGGGGGGGGGGGGGGGGGGAAAACCCAGGGGGGGTTGTTACGCCCAACGGGGGAGGAAAATCTATGTCTATATGTATGTCCGCCAATTTAGCCCAAATATTAATTTATAACAAAAATAATAATACTTCAAAAGTTAGGTCACTAAAGACCATAGAGGTAGATAGTGAAGGAATAGTTCGATTCTCATTACAAACGCGCTGTAGCAATTTTTACGTGGATTATTAAAGATAAGAGATAATTATGTTGTGCGTAATATCAGTGGCTAATTAATTATTGTATTCACGATTATTTTCATATCTTTTTCTAATCTACTGTCTTGCGATGTGTTAATGTTGTATTGATAAAATAATATTTACTCACGTGATATTAAGGAATAATTGTTACACGTTTGCTAATAACTTTGCCACATTTTATTTTATTTTGCTATACGTATAAATATTATCGATTTTAATATCTATTGCCCTGTAACCACTTATTTTCTTTGTCAAATTGTATGAAACTGTGAGCTTTCGGCTTCGAAACATTAAGTGCCGGCTCCCAAATCTGTGGGGTTTTCTAAGTTTTAATTCGTAAAGAAAACCTAAGAGCGTGAACCGCTTCTGTAGCTAAATGGTTAAACTGCCTAACATTGCGTTAAGCGCAAGGTACTGGGTTCGAATCGCGGGGGAAACAATAGATTTTTTTCACTTCACTGTAAATAAAACCGATCAACGGGCAAATCGTGAAACGCACGAAAAAATGTGTCCGCCTCATACCCCACGAGGGGAAACGGGATTTTACTATACTATTAGTAAAAATGTAAATTATATTATGTTTATGTATAGTTAAAACCATACGTAGAAATTACTTTAGCGTAATACTAACTTCATCAACACTGAAATTTTGAGCTCTGTTTGAAAAATCTAGCTTAGATTATAATGTTTTATTATTACTGTTACATTTCACGATAACAATGACAATTATTTTAAACAAATGATGTAAACTTTTTTACGGTATCATGTAATAGTAAAAGAAACAAAGATATATGCTTTTACCAGTTTGAATGACGAAAATTCAAGACAACTAGTACGTGGTGCGTTGGGGACGCTTGAATGTCGGTCAGTTCGCGCCGCTGTTCCTCTAGCTGTTCGTGCCCGACCCCCCCTTCGAAAAGCTGTCTTTCATCTTGCCTGGTCACCTGACTCACTTCCGACTCAGCAGGTAAGAATTGATGACTATGTTTAAGTAAATAACTTAGTAAACAAACAGCTGAATTAGACGAAAGCCCGCAATCAAAAATATATTTATGAACACTTTATGTATCTCAGAATATTTTTTAAGTAAGAATGACTAGACCACTGCTGCAGTGGTCTGTCATTTAATGACGTAACATGATTATTGTTTTAAGTACGAAGTGGGTTTATTGACATTCACTCTCGACGAACATAAATTTACGTTAAAATAAAGGAATAATCCTTACTACTTAAACATTAAAATACTTAATACCGAGACCACGGCCGCTGCAAAGCATCCGAAACATCGGGGCGTACTTAAAATTAATTTTCAAACAAGTTCAACTAATATATTTCGCGTTTTAAACCGTAAAGTGTTTTATTTAAAGTAACACTTAGTTGTATTTTTACATTAGAGGGATTGTATAGTGTTACAACAAATATTAGTAGATGTTTTTATAGATCTTGATTAAGAGATATTAAATTACCGATTTTCAGTTTCTAGAAAGTAAAATAAAGTTTTCGTGCTCTAGAGGGATTGTATAGTGTTACAACAAATATTAGTAGATGTTTTTATAGATCTTGATTAAGAGATATTAAATTACCGATTTTCAGTTTCTAGAAAGTAAAATAAAGTTTTCGTGCTCTAATGTACCCATGTGTAACTTCTATAGACTAGCTGTTATATTTGCGAAGCGCGACTATTAACAGATTTTCTTCTCAGCGTCACGCCAAATATTTTACGGACGGAAAGAGTTTCATGAAGCCAACACTTTACAAGCTATAAAGGCTTAACTCGACTACGCTATTACTATGAAACTAATTTTGTTATGACAGTGCAGCACTTTGTCCTACTTTACAACTCAGTTTGATAGGACGTCGGAATTTAAAGTGCGCTCCTTCTAACGAAACGTGAGTTAATTTTTTCACGCACACGAAGGAGCTCATAAAAGCAATTTAACTTTTTCAAAAACTCGGTCACAATTTTTAATCAACTTTCAAAACAATCCTGAACACATCGATGAAAGCTCAAAGCAGTCTGTGACAGAAGCTTTATAGCTATGTAGGGAATAAATAATTTGTTTTCCCCATTTATTTTTAGAATGGCTTTTTATTTATTACGTATTAGCTGGACTTGCGTCTGTGATCTGTAGACAGTACTGTCAATAGTTTACGCGAGTAGTACACATTAAAATAAATTAATTTTAACGGTTTAAAATGCGATTTTAGCGACATCGTTCACCTTCAGACCCCAGTGACCACGGTTGCTGCAGAGCATCCGAAACCTCGGGCCGTACTAAAGCATGTACGGTCCGAGTGTAATGTATGTAATTAAGTAATACGTTTTAAACCGTTAAATGGATTGTATTTAAATATTTAGATAGAATAAATGAAACAGAACTTATAACGAGTTTTTTTTATATATATAGCCCATTTTATATATAACCAACAAGGTCCCAAAAATATATTGATGTTGTGTTGAATTTATTTTTTACTAATAATAATTAATTACGTCTTAACAGGCCATAACACCCTTGCTCGAGTTCCTGGACCAACACTTGTCGTCGTTAAACACTTGGCTGTTGCCGCGAGCTTTCACGAGAGCTTTGGCAGCGTGCTGGAACGCTGTGCTGAAGGAAGTTTCAAGTCAAGCGGATTCAGGGGGCGCTGAAAAGCCGAGGGTGTATCATCACAGGCTAAAAGAAGCACTAGATCTACTCGCAGAATTTTTCCATGCTGAAGGAAAAGGTTTTTAAATACTGCTTGTAGTTTACGCGAGTAGTACACATTAAAATAAAACACTTAAATAGTTTAAAACTCTATATATATTACTTAAACTTATTTAAAAATGATTGTTTCCCCTTGACCACGGCTGCTGCAAAGCATCCGAAACGTCAGGCCGTAGTTAAAATAAATTTAACTAATATATATCGCGTTTTAAACCGTTAAAGTGTTTTATTTAAATATATTATACGTACAATAGTTATTTTGCACACCTCCTCCTCATCTTTATAACCTGTAGTTGTTACTTCATTTATGTAGTTTTATTGCAATAGTAAACATGAGTTATTTGAAAAATGCAAAGTAATACATATCTTCAATAGATTTAACTTTTTTTTATTTATGCGAAGACATAGGTCATATCCAAGAATTAGAAGTAAAAAAAAGACCAGATAATTTAAGACCCCTCCACTATTTGCCTAGATATGTTCTGCCCCCTTTGAACAATGCTTACGGAGAGCGCACACGAACTTATCTATTGCCCTTGCTTCTAAAAGAGTTAGATGAACACACGCACAGTAAACTAGTAAAAGATCCGGGAAGAAGCAAGGCAATTCTTAAGCCGTTTTATGCTAGCTAGTTATAGACTATATTTATATATTAGTTAATACTGTTATATTGTTTGCCTTTTTTGTATTGTTAATTTTAGTTATAATAAGTTAATATTGGAGTCTATATGACTCGAGTAGCGGATAAAAAAACCATTATAACGCTGTAAAAATGTTTTTAAATTGTATTGTATATTAGTTTTGGTGTACAAAAAAAAACTTACAATGTGGTCCGCGTCCCGTCGTTATTGCAAGTTAATATTCAAAGATATATACATATATTGTCCCAGACATTATTTAGATCGTATTAGAAATCATTCTTTCATATGTATTATTTTGGGTATCATAAACAGTTTTCTCAACGCACGTAACGGAAACCCGCTAAGATAAATAATTTTCCCAGTTTGTTCCACGTTTCCCACTATTTCATCTCTCGTTCGTTCTAACACAAATATTTTTAATGGAACCAGCAGTTCCTGAGATTAGCGCAGCTCGAACAAACTTTTCAGCTTTATTAAATAAGTATACATTTTCTGTATTAAACGGCGTAAGTTAACAAAACAAAATGCAGGAATATTTTTATACGCACTTGTATTATCAATAGGTCTTCCAATGACCGACGTTCATAATACTGAATGGAAGCGCCTAGAGCAACGGATGCAATATCATCAGGCTCCAACTGAAGAACTGCTGGAGCTGTGGCTTGAAGACCGACTCGCTGACCAGGCTCGCACCCCATTGCCATCACCTTACGGTTCCATACTAATAAGGTTATTTTATTTTTTATATGATTTTAAATTAATTAAACTCTAAGAAGAATACTTAAAACACGGTTAATGTCTAATCTAAAATTTAAATAATAAGTTGAATTTGAATTATCTGTTAGTCTTAGAGGGTTTAAACTGATGAAGGAACTTATCACAGTTCTAATAACCCAAATAAGCGAAAAATTTGCAAAGAGGATTGAGAGAGAGAATTTTCAGAAACCTTGAATGGAGATTTATCGGTTAAAAGTTGCAGTATAACGACAGTTTGACAAGGGTTTCCAAGGTTTGAAATATGATTAAATAACTTTGTTAACATTTTAATAAATATTTCGCACTAAGGCATTACTTTGCTACTATTTGCTATTTCTTTTTAAGGTGGCATAGTTTAGTTTATTCAAACAATAGAGGTTTAAATTATAATATTATATTTAGTACTCGTCGAAGTTTGACCTCTTCGCGAGGTTCTGGGATAAAATCCCTGAGATTCGACTGGAAATCTGTATATAAATAGTGTTGGAATATAGGAAATTCCGTCTGGGATCACCATCCACGGACAAAAAAGTCGTGATTTTTAATCGCGTTTCGGTCTGTGGGTTTCCAAATATCCAAAGCTCACATAGGCGGACAGCACATCTTGTTTTGATGTTATATGGCTGGAGTATTTCACCTACTATCAAGTATACCTCATGCTTATCTGCCCTCCACTATCATAACAAAAATCACAATAATTGCAGGGTCTACTTCAATCACGACTCGCTCTGTGTGGAAATATTGTCCGCGCGTGACGTGATCCCGCTGGACCCAAACGGATTAAGCGATCCATTCGTGGTCCTCGAGTTGTTACCTAAGCGGCTGTTTCCAAAAACACATGAACAGAGCACCAATGTACAGAAGGTAAGCTATAAACGTGTGCCTGCGACGTAATTATTGATTATTCAATTTTTATAACCTGGCATTTACAATATGTTCAATATGTAACAATATGTAAAAACGGTAATTATCTAAATAATAACTCATATTTCAATAAATCACGTCGTTCAATAATTTTATTTTCCTTTAAAAGTAATCATGGTATTATTTATTAATAACATTATTTACTGTGCTCATAAATCCATTTACTACAATATCCTATACGATTAAAAATTCATAATCTAAATCGATAAAAATCGTAAGTAATTTAATAGAATAAACGGTCGATTGTCTTGACAATGGTTCAATCTCTAGCCTAGATCTCTGTCCCGCGCACCTCGCTCTTACCACCATGAACATCCTAAGAAACATTTCTGCGCAGCGTTTCGCGCTAAGATCAGACTTGCCAAGTTACGTCGGTCGTATTATACAATTATATTAGGTGAATTCAGAAAGCATCAAAACGAATATTAATGACTATTTTTGCAGACAACGAGTGAAACCTCCTTTGAGTAAAACCATAGATTTCAATTTGCACTCGTGCCCGCGTTTGATTTAATTCGTCCTTTGTTTCACTTACCAAATAAATGTGGAGTGCCACGGGGCTGTTTGATTAATTCTTTCCCTTACCCGCTTGGTCTTTCATATTTGTATACTTAGGTTCCTAATACTTAGCGGGTTAATTGAACATGCATTAATATCGAAATGCCGACGACAAAGTCCCTTGATATTTTGCAAATAAAAAACGTAGTTTAGTACCGTCTGTAGTTTACGCGAGTTTAACGTTTTAAAACGCGATATATATTAGTTAAACTTATTTGAAAATTTTAACTACGGCCCGACGTTTCGGATGCTTTGCAGCAGCAGTCTCACCGTGACCACGGCTGCCCCAAAGCATTTCTCAATCATAATTTTCAATCAATATCAATAGACGACAGACCGTTTACCTCTAATACATCTGTTCGATTCTCTTACTAAATATTTAGAAACTTGGTTTTAGAGGAAAAGGTAAAATGGTGAGATAGTTTGCAAGGATTTAAACATCATCATATATTCCTGTCCAGTAACACACGTTACGTTCAGAACAGTAGGCGATTTAAGGCACGTTTCGAATCTACACTTATATCCACATTACTAACCTGTTTTTTCATGTAATAGCATTTCGAATTCGGTCGACTGCGTTTCTACTTTAGATGTAATATGGTTGCTAGTCTGTCCCGCTCTATCATAAAAAAATAAGATATCTTTTATTCTAAACAACAACTAAATCATTACTTTTAATCAAAATACTAAAATATATATCAATATGCTAAGATTACCATTTCAAACAACATTATAATCAAATTTTTAGCGTTTAAGCTTGTATGTTTAGCTGTATCAACATGCCCTTCGTGACCTGTGACTTTTCTTATAATAGAAAACTCTAAATCCTGTCTGGGACGAGTGCTTTGAGTTCGCGGTATCCCTGGAAGCGTGCCGGTCGCCACAGGCCACCCTGGCGCTCTCCGTGTGGGACAGAGATGTGTTGACCGCGGACGATTTCGCCGGGGAGGCATTCGTGCCGATCTCTCGTGTCCCAGGGGTCAACAGTCACGCTCCGCCCGACCCGCTGAGACCCATCGAGTTACCGTTAATGCAATTACATGATCGGGGTAAGCCGTTTTTATGATCTATGTATACTTTAACGGTTTAAAACGATAAATATATTAGTTAGACTTGTTTACACATTAATTTTCACTACACCGACGTTTCGATACTTTGCAAACATCGGGCCGTAACTGTTTTAAACGGTTAAAGTAATTAATATATATCGTGAATCCTTTGATTCTAATGTTTTTATCACACTCTTAAAATATTGATAGTACAAACGAAATCTATTCCGCGACAGAATCCGTGCCCAATTTGATATGACATATTGTTTCCCTTATATCGTCTGTCGATAAGGCATACAAAGACAAATGGCTAAAATTTGGTTGGAATAAATAATGTTGGAAGACTTTATTTGTTTGTTTCACTATTATTAGTTACGTGACTGACAATTGTGACGTTGTGATCGGTATTTGTTTTCAATTTTCACGCTTGTTTTTCCTTACTTTTCATGACTTCGCATTCACTTAGATAGTTGCAAGCTTAATACGAATCGAACAACATAATTATGATTGATACGAGACATATTGATAAGGACAACACAATTAAAGACACTATTATCACTCCAATTATTATAAATCTGTAATTACAATCCGCTTTTTTTATCTTAAGCTGTCTGTTGTTGAATTTGCAAACATTGAAGCTATATTTAAAAACAGTATTAATATTTTCTACATGACGTCACTATATAAATTAAAAATCGACTATAAATTGAAAAAAAAACATTACGACTCTGTCAGGTCTTGATCCGGCATCTACAGCGTTCCACGCTGTTGCTCTAACCAATTGACCTACCGGGTCCGTAGTCGTAGAAATTTTTCAAGCTATGGATACATACCTCTCTCGCAAGTCCAGTTCAAGTCCTGCCCGAGTCGTAATTTTTTTAAAATTTATAATCGATTTTTAATTTAACCATACAAGAATAACAAAATACAGTAATTACAGATAAAAAAACAAGAAGGTACATATTAGTTTATATAAAAGAGACTGGTTGGATAAGTCAAGTTCCGGGTTTGAACGTATGACAGTAACAAATAAAACAACACTACATGAAGATTAACACAATATAAAAGAAAAAAGTCACAGTGATGAGAAAGCAAACACATCTATAGACACATCTCAATCTATTACTACTCTTTTTAAAAATTTGGGAAAACCCCTTTCCCCCTGGGGGGCATTGTGCGAACACACTTTTGCGTTCGATTTACTGTTTCGTTAACAGGCAAGTTATTTGATCAGACTTCTGTGCCCTGCCCGACCGAAACAATTTTTTGTTTCCCTAGGATTCAAACCCAGGACGTCTCGCGCTTAATGTAATGCTAGGCAATACGATTTAACCATTTGGCTACAGAGGGCAATATACAGAATATAATAATAAAAAATTTAAAAAGCGGAAGGCGAGCGAGAGTGAATTCTATGCAAACACGACCATCATTATTTTTGGGTGTAGGTATAGTGGTCACACTAATAATTGTGTATCATCGTGTTAATTAAGCAAATGAATAGATAATCTAAAAACTCTGGTGTTTTCAGGTCACCCAATCTTGCAGATTCTGGAATCACGAAACACCGACAAAATGGCGATTGAATTTGTGAAAAAACAAAAATTGCGTTTCGCCGAATAACTCGACGGTGTTTAGTCTTACTCAATTTTATATTAATAATTAAATGTGTCTATTATCTGTTTCTGTCTCTGCACAACGTCCATTTAAACATTTCGACAATATATAACAAGTATATTTTGAAAAGATTTCGATGTATTTAAACTATGTTGATTTTACAAACATATTATATTGATTAAGAAAGTTTTATCAGTATTAAATATAGATATATAAATTTTAATTATTATTAATGTGTACCAAAGACTGTGTAATTCTTGTATCTATGAGAGAATATTGTGTATGTTTGTTTTCTAATATGTATATTACGTGTAAAACTGTATAGCCTGCACTCTCAGAGCTTATGTCCCTAGTTGTTAGAAGTCTAGTAGAACTACCCGACCAAGTACTATTGTAAGACGTGTATATCTTATTTTTGTAGGACAATCGTAGATAAGGCCAAATACAGACGTGACAATTTATTTCATATACCAAACGCGTACTAGCCAATGTTGCAAGAAAACTTAAAGGTGAGGAATTACGACAAGTTTAACAGAATCGTCTATAAAGACGATTTTATAACTATAAAGTTATATTTAATAACATATCGTATAAGTCTTACATATCATAAACTGCCTATATTTAAAAACAATATTTTTCTAAACATTCAGAAGAATAATAAGTCTATACATATTTTATCTGATCCAGTCTGCGAGGCACGACATGTTGTCGCCAATTGTCCTTTGTCTCTCAATGTATCCTCAGTAATATGGTCACCGATATATCTCTCTTTCATTGAAATAAGGCATAATTAGTCGACTACATTTGGTAGAAGATTTACATGAAAGATACTACAAATAGGAGTACAAATAGGTTCGGGCTAGTAATATCGCCTCGGCTGTAATTTTCAACTTACCGCACTTATATCATAATGTACTATAAACACAGTGACAATTCAAGTTTACAGTCGAAAGAGAGATATTTCGTTGCGCACAGTCAGCGCGCTTGATAAGAAACAACTTGTTACGTTTGTACGGCGCTTCAGTAGAAGTAACACGTTTTATAATATTTTTTAAACACTTTATAGATGTTTATTTTATGAAATAGGAATCTAAAGTCTGCTTTTGCACACCACGAATTACCTAACGAGCACAGTTGCCGCATGTCCTTGTGCCACAATACCCAAGCTTTAAAAAGAGCTTTTAATCTCAAAGCTAACACGTTTCCTATCATATCTTGGGCCGACGCTAAGTTAACAATTGCAAACCAATGACATCAGTTCGAAAACAATGTTTGAAATGACGTAGGATGTATTTCAATACACTATTAACATTTACAGTAATATGCGATCGTTTTGTAAAAAATATTGTTAACTTGACGGCCCTCTAGTTCGCGTTGTCGTAACGACTGATTTTTCATTGTTAGCATTTAAAATATTTGTAATTATATAGATATTTGGTATTTTATAATCGATGTGAAAATTTTCAATGTATACAAGTGTATTAATGTAGCGAAATTGTATTGATGTTTATAGATGTAACTGTAGGTATGTAAGTTTTATAATTATGTGATGTTGATTCAATATTAATGTTTCGCTTGATTTGAAGATTGCAATTCCTAGTAATCTTACTGAATTTCGATAAAAATATAAAATTGGTTGATAGCATAACATAAATGTTGTAAAATGCTTCCCTGATCGATCATAAGGAAAGATCTAACAAAAAATTATAATTAAAACAAAAATCGTAATGCAATTTTATATTTTATTATTATCATTATATATGTACGTTATATATCAGGTATCGGTTAAATACTGTCTATAGTTTACGCGAGTAGTACACATTTAAATAAAACACTTTAACGGTTTAAAACGCGATATATATTAGTTAAACTTATTTGAAAATGATTAATAACTTCGGCCCAACGTTTCGGATGCTTTACAGCAGCCGTGGTCACGGTGAGACTTCCGTATATATCGCGTTTTAAACCGCTAAAGTATTTTATATAAAAGGTATCGGTTTCAGTGATTTCCAAATGTTTTCCTTATTTACACGAATAGAATTTAAACAAGAAGCTATGAATAAATACAAATAATATATTTTAGCTTACAGGCTATGATTAGGTTAATTAAATCGGAATATTTTATATTTTTATTCACAGATAACGAGTGTAAGCTGTGTTTTTTAACACGCAATCTTAAGGGAAAACCAGGGCTTTTAGTTAGTATAGAATCACTTTTTGAAAGTCATTAACTAGAACTATAATTAAAAAAGTTATCAAAAACTTAAAATTCCTATTCTTATAGTCTTATCTATTTTGTTATTTATACGACGACTTACAAGTAGATATTTTATGTCTCCCCAGACGCATCAACGAGTTGAAAGTTTAATACAAATTTTAAAATATCTATTCAAGTCAATTAAAGTTAAGGCTATACAAATTGTTATATGTAATAAATTTTAGTAATTCTTATTATATTGCAGAGATACAATATTTTTTCATCTTTTTACCACAACACAGCTTATTTACATAATCTAAAAGTATACAGATAACAAACAGATGGCATATTTTGGCCAGAATTTTTATTTATTTTACCTCTGAAAAACATAAACGAATGACGATTTAACAAGTATATAATTGCAAATACTTCAGCTGTTAGTATTTATTAATAATATCCAATTGAATGTTGTGTTAATGTAGTATATAATATAGGATACTCGAAAGACAACTCGATCACCCACTGTACTATTCTGCTTTTCTAATGTTTCCAGTAGTTGAACGAAATAATTCATGTATTTGTTACAAAATTTGTAGTTGATGTATATTGCATAAATGTTTTGTGATGTTTACGTTTATAGCACATAAACTGTATGATAATATTCTTCTTTTGCTGTGGCCAATAAAGAACAATAAAAATCATACGCTTGTTTTTGTCTATGGAGTTGTGATAATTTGTTTTTATGCATTGTAATTAAAAATTTCTATTGAGTTTTAAAAATCGAAAATAAATTGAAAAAATTGAACTTCGACTCGTGCAGCTTTCCGTGCTGTTGCTCTGAACGCTGACGGAAAGCTGACGATGCCGGTTCAAGTCCTGCCCGAGTCGAAAATTTTTTCAATTTATTTTCGATTTTTAAAATTATATAGTGCCTTCATGTGCAATAACATGTGAAAAATATTAATGTTTTCAAATTCTATTGAGTTTCTGTCTCGATCTTGTAAATTTGTTTTGAAATACCGTATCTGTCCCTGTTTCACATTTTTTGCCCTTTCCTTTCCTGTTTCATGCCGCTAACCTGTTTCACATTTCTTTGGTTATACTTGTTGATTTAATATACTGAAAGTATAAAGTAAATAATGACTCCTAATCTTAGGGTAATATTATAGGGCACCAACTATAATATTATTTCCCTTTCACAAAATTATTTTTAACAAAATGTCATGCATTGCGTTTAATTGCAGAGTTTAATCCTTATAGGCGTTCATTAGTTTATTATAAGCATATTTTTTCTAAAACTCCATTTGGTATTCGGTTTCGGCATCTGTATGTTTGTAAATGGACCGTAGTGCGTATTTTATGCATTCGAGTGTTTGAATTTTTGCTTTGGCATGTCCGTAGCACTGGTTTGCTACGAGGATACGATGCTACGGAAACCTAATTTGTCGAGGTAAGAGTTTAATTATTACGTAAATAATTAATGAGATACTCGACAGCGTTGGAATATTGATTGGAAGTGTTTACATAAAGTGACTTGTCACATTCAAAAATATAATTTCCCATTATATATTTTTCTTCTTTTACAAGTCGTACCTAAGGCTGCTAAAACTTGCCCTTGCATTAAAACCATAATTGTCTTAAACGAATAATAATAAAACTCAAAATAATTAACTTAAAATACATGAATAAGTATTTATTTTCTAGAGTTTTCAATTCTTCTTATATCACTTATAATTCTATCGTACAGAACTGTTTTTGCATTTATACCCCACATAAAATCAACGTGGCTGAAGGTTCTTTCTTCTATGAGAATCATTTCCTTGGGGGCATCCAGGGCATCATATAGGACGCGAACATCTCCTTCGTGGATCCTTACATCACCATGTGAGTAGTGGAGAAAGACCGGGCTTTTAATGTTCTTCAGATTGTAAGCTGGTGGCTCTGCCGTCCCATAACGTAGTAAGTTTTCAACTGTACCAAAGTCGTATCGACGGAAGTTCTTTGAAGCTACATTCTGGGTCATATGCGCGAACTGCCTTACACCGGAGCCCGCTGGTGTGTGTGCTAGCTTCACTGGCAGTAATGTCTAGAACAAATTGTATTTTTTTTTAGTTTGGTCAATTATAAAACTTCCGTCTTTAAAAGTGGAATTCATAACCTTACCGCGTTATGTTGACTTTCACTCCATCCGCCGATCATAAACAGCAGAGCGCTGCAAATAGGTTGAGTCGAAGTTCCATCAGCACAAAATGTACGTGCAATAAAAGCCATAAGATCACTCTTCGGCGCCATTTCACCAATCCCAAAGTCAGTTAAAGATGACTGAAAAATTAAGCATTAATTTAAATGTAATTCAAGAAATAAATTGTACTTGTCAACTAATTTTAATATTACCATAATAGCAGCTGCAATAGGAGATAGAGCATCCAGCATAGGATTTCTATTAGCAACGGTAAAAACAACGGGGGCTAACATGTGTGCTGCAGCAATTTTTTCACTGAAATCAGGTCTTAGTGAACCCAACACAAAGAAAACGGATGTTCCTTGTGAGTGTCCTATGTAGTGCAAGTTAGGTCTGCCTGTTACGCGCAGAATATAGTCAATAGACGATGATAGATCCAGATTGCCCATTTCGTCTAAAGAGTACTGCCAAAAGGCGGTGCTGTTGGCATCATCAGGGTTTAAAGTTAGATGTCTTCTTGAATAATAATTACCACGGTTGTTTCCTAGCCATACATCAAATCCTTCTTCAGCGAGGATGTAACCTGAAAGTATTAAATAAATGTTTAAAGTGCAATTTATATAAAAAAATAATTAGGTGCCTCAAAACGACATTTAATAAACAGTTTTTAATGGTTTTAAGCACGAAATAAATTAAGAGTTCATAAATTTTCAACCATCACCGCAATGAATAAAATACCTAGCCCTACTCCAGGTCCAGTAAGTACCCAATCAGCAGAAGAACACACAACACCATGCATGACAAACACGACAGGTTTGTTTCCAGCTTGGTTATTATTAAAACGACCATGTGGAATGCGATGTAATTCTAATATGTATCCATCTAAGGTGATGACGTTGTGTTTCTCCAGTGGATATCCGTACTTTCTGACTAGTTCTGGCTGCAAAAGAATAAAACTTATAAGTAGTTCCTATCTATCACTTTTCGACACATTTCGAAGCTGTTTTTAAGCCCAGTTCTCATCTCCCTCATGGCTTTAAGATCATTACCACCCGGATTAATGCTACTAAATGTATGATAATAACTGGGACCATCGGGTTTACCTACGCTTTACTAAATAACTGGACGAACAAGTGGACTACAGATCTGAAGCTTTACGCATATACGGCGAAATTTATGGATTGTACATACCACATCTAGTGTCGCATCCTCAAGAACATTTTGTGGAACTGGCCCAAATACATTATTTCTGACTAGTTCCTCCACATACTTGACGTTCGGTGATCCAGTGGCACCCACTAGAAATATACACAACAGCCCCACGACTAGCAGCATTTTCGGTCCGTATGCTAGGAATGCTAAAATATTGCGATTTATGAACTTATATATAAGCTAACAAGAGATAAACAAATCTAATAATCGCAATTTTATCTTTTTTTAAGATTGTATTTTGAGTTTTGTTGATGTAATTATTAAAAATCGCAGTCTGTAATTTTTATCGACCGACGACATATATAAACATCCGTCTTTGGCAGCCAGATATGAATAATAAAGTTCAATCTAACAAGGAATACAAAAAAAAAAACTTAAAAATAGATAAAATTTTACACATTTATTTACTATAAGTTTTAAGAGAGAGGCAAGAAGGAAAGTAAAGAAGTTTTTAGATTATACATCAAATAGCAATGAAACAAAAGGGGCTTTTAATCTTTAATTTTTTAAACGATACACTTTATTAAAATTAACTACCTACATTACTCGCGTACTTTGTTTATTTAGTGTATAATATATAATATCATTAAATATTCCAAAGTGGATTCCCTAAATGTTGTCTTCTTTGAAATGTAATTTTATAACTGATCGTCCTTCACTGTAAACCATATTGTTGTTCTTGTCGAAATCCAGAGCAGAGCCGTCATCTAAAGATATTAATTTCGTGACTTCCATATTATCAACATGAACCGAATAAATTCCATCTCGGGCCACTAAATATGGTACATCATTTATATCAGTCGATAATCCTCGTACGTTGTCCACAGTATTAGAGAACCATACAGGACCGAACTCACAATTTTCAATATCCAAGTAATACAATCCGTTTGAATTGGATAATATTAAGTAGTTCCCAGCGAAAGTAAAGTGTTGTATACCATGATCATCTATAGACGCTACAGCCAATTTCTTTTCATCTTTTAAAAGGTACAAATCTAAATTAAAAGTATCAATAAAATACAGGTAATCCTTAAACTTCATGTCGAATACATCGACTTGCCCAATAATTGGTGACTTGTCTATATCATTTGAGGAATAGTTATATTTAAAGATTCCATCACTACCTCCGAGAAACACTGCACCATTTTCGTTGTCCACAGCACTAGCAAAACCATTTCGGATACTTGGTACGACGCTTGCGACACCTGTGTCTAAATCAAGTATTGCAGATCGAAAGCTTTGATCACAAAATTCATCAGCATTGATGCAAAAAAATAATTTGTTTCTTGCTCTATCTATTGAAAACTTGTACGGTACGTTAACATCTTCTAACATAACTTGTTTCTTCAATACGTTTGTAGACAACATATTTCTTTCTCGCATTATTTCTTTTTACAATTTTTACGAGATAAAATGACAGATGTGATTGTTTGCACAAACTAAACAATCACATCTGTCAATATACAGGCAATAAAAAAAATTGTCATAGATACAATAAGATGTTTAGTTTTTGGATTTTCGAGCTATATTCGAACATTTTGCGACCATTCTGCCAATGTATGCACACTTTTGACAAAAGCGGTTGATAACGATTGTATACAAGGTTATTCTTTGTTGATACTAAAGCTGAAACACGCCAAACGTCTTTTTATTCGCAGATTCAGGATAAAAAACCAAAATAAAAAAAAAATGAAAACTTATGAAGTTATTAAATTGTTTCATGTTATTGTTTATCCCGCATTATCATGGTCACTGAGCAGGCGCCGACGCAGCGCGCTATCTCGCACACCACTTATATTTAACTTTCTTAAAATAAAACGATTATTTTTAATTTGTCATAAATGTCGTTTTTTTCTCTCAGATCTTCTTCATTCTGAGGTTAAGTATCGTTAACAAATTTGTTTGACATGGCCCCAAATAAAAATCTAAAGAGTGAATGGCGACCTAGGCGGCCAGCTGTCGGTCCACCTCTACCAATCTACTGTCTCCATCTCTCTATTTAAGTGCTAACGTATTATACGCGAATAGTGTGCTGGTGCACCGTCCATGATACTAAGATCCAAATTGTTCATGATAACGTCTCACTGCTTCGGCAACATTATCACCACACAAAGAAGTGTTCCACCATTTCCACACACACATTGTAATTGGTATAATTGTAAGACATGTTTGTTTAACACACTAAAAAAAACACCGCGAAACTACGAGATGCGCGTGAAATGCGCAATCGCTTGCTTGGAATTCGGAAGAAACTTGTTACGTAATCACCTCGAAAGGGTAGCGCGAGGCCCCGGTCGCGGTGGGGGTTTAGGCTACCCTTTTTTTTTGGAGTGCGGGGTGGCGCGCGTGCGCGAAAGCGGTTAGTACAAAGGTCAGCCGCCACCGCGGATTCCCCGAATTTTTCAACCTATTTAGTTATACATACTTATGTTTCAAATAATTTTGACAAAAATATAACGTGGTATAAAAACTATTGGAATGGATTCTGCTACTGATTCTGAACAAACTGCTTTCAGGTTTCGCAAGAAGTAGGAATAACCTTGTATAAATGATATCTAAATATATTATTATTTTAATAACTATTTATATTTAACTAAAGTAATGTATTTTTGCTTTTTACTGTACTATTTTTAGGTGATTATTATTATTAAGATTGGCAATATAATCTTGCTTTCTTAGGGGCGTGCCCTTGCGCTTAAATTGTTTTTAAAATGATTGTGATGTTTGGATTAAATGTTTTGAGTTTGATCAACTTTTTGTGCCCTTCCCGACCAAAGGGATTTTTTTTATTCTTTCTCGGAGGCTCAAGTCCAGAACTAGTGCAATGCAAGGACACATGCATAGTTTGAAACAGGAATCCGCAGTAGGACGTGTTATGTACCTATATGATATGGGGCCGCTAGAACCCGGGTAGCCTAACTCCCTAAGTCATGACTTGAGTTATTAAAAATGGAGGAAGTCTGACAAGCATGGGGTTCGAGTAGGTGATGTACCCCAGCCCAAGATCAATCAAAACAAGTCGATCTATTCTTGCTTCGGATATTTGGATATCCACAGGCTGAAACCGAAACGCGTCAAACAATAGACGATGGTTCGTGACCCGGCCGGAATTTTGATATTCCTACCACATGTTTAATAACATATAGACGGATATTAATTTCTTTCTTATTAAAATCATGTTTTTTGTTATAAGGCCACTGTGCCTCTAGCAGTCTCATATATGACTGATTAAGACTATCTTAAATAAAACAAATACATAATACTTTTAGTACACATTTAATTGAAGGATTGACACTATTTTATTTTAGCAGAGCGAGTAAAACTGCAGAGATTCGTTTTTTATGTCGATACTGTTATCCCTTCAGTCATTTTCATAAAAAAAAAAACGGTTTTAAACGGTTGTACGATCTAAGACGAAAGTTAACGTTAACTTTGTCATTTCAGTTCAAACTCTTCATTATTTGAATCATCGCATCATACACCAAGGTCTTCGAGTCAATAGCCCATAGGAAATCGAAATGGCTGAAAGTTTTGTGTGGTATGCGTATTCTGGTGGGTGTCCCCCCTAATTCACTGAAGAGCCTATCTACATCGATAACGTCGGCTAGAGGGTCACTCTCGGAGTAGTGTAGGTAGACCGGACAGTTGATTCTTGATAGGTCGTATCTTGGTGGTTCCCCGCTACCATACCTTAACATGTTTTGTACCCAACCGTGGTCGTAACGACGAAAGATTCCACTGGTTATGCCCTGTCCGTAGTGTGCCAATTGGCGTATTGAAGCACCCGCGGGAATGTGTCCGAACTTTACAGGCAACAGAGTCTGAAATAACCATAAATAAACCAATTATTTAAAAGTTACACAGTTACAAGGACAAACCTATTTAATAATTATGAAACAAATATATATGACGCTTAAATTCGTTTTTAATGATGGTAGGTGAAATACAAGGGGTATTTCATCAAAATGGCATCTAAGCAAAATGTGCTGTGGATCTATCTTGGCTTTGAATATTCAGAAATTCCATAGACTGCAAGTGAACGGTGGTTTGTCACCCGGACGGAATTTCGATATTCCTATCAACCATTTAATAAACAGATTTACAGACGAAGTCCAACATGTTTCAGAAAAACCAATCCAGTAGGGAGCTTATTAGCGATATATTGCTACCATTAGAGCAACGACGATAATAGCAACTCCTAAAACAGGAGTCACTCAGATTTGCAGTGGCCTATGACGCCACCGCTTCTATAGGATTAAAATAAGTTGAAAATGTTTAATGAACTAAAGTAAAACATAGATATTTAAATGGTTAAATCAACTCACAAAGTAATACAACAACTAAAATATAGAAAAAAATCATTTCAACGGTTTTAAATGCGAAATATATTTAACTTAACAGTTTAAAGTGTTATATTTAAATGTGTCCTACTCGCATAACCCACAGACAATACTTAAATAAAATTTAATTTTACCTATATGGCACATATTTACAAGTATTTCATATTTATCTGATTTATTTATCTGCAGAACCGATAATATTTGTTGTTTCCCTATATTCAAACCCAGGAATTACTTCATTTAACATATTGGTCTTCAATATGGATGACACATTGGTGTCAAACTATTGATCGTAAAATTATACGTTCTTTTTCGTTTATTTCCGTTACCACCAAAAAATGTTTGTTGTTTGCATTAGGGCTCCTTTCATGAGAAACAACTAGTAACATTGTGACGATGATATAACTAGAAAAAGAAGAAAGATATAATAGTGAATATACGTACCGAATTAAATTGATCTTTATTTACTCCTCCAAAGAAGAAAAATAGCTGTCGGCAGACTATTTGCAATGGGTCCTGGTCTTTGCAGACATTCTGTCCCATCCACGTCCAAAATATATTATTTGGTAGGTATTCTCCTAGACCAATTAAGTTTGATAATGCCTAAAAAATAAAAACAATTGTGTTAATCTTATCACACGATAACTGACGACAAACAATATTAATTATTTTTTTAATAGTTCAATATATTTAATTTCGATTTCTTTACGATAGAAAGAAGGTGGGTCAGACAAACATGGGTTCCACTTGATGGTAGGTGGAATACTCCAGCCATATAACGTCTTAACAAGATGCGCTGCTGACCTGAGGCTTTGGATCTTCGAAAATCCACAACCTGGGCGGCATCTCGATTTTTCTACAGTATTTAATACCTTCATGTTTAGAAAGTTATAATTGTTTAGAATATGGAATCAAACCTCGTTCCACATTTGTGTGTCTCACATTCTTCAAGAACCCCATGTTTATCGTCCTCCTATCAAATTTGATGGACAAAGCTGGCATCATTTCGTTCAGTAAGATACAAGAATAGATCAAACGAAAACTGGACAAGAATAAGACTTTAGAATTCTGTTTATTCACTCGTGTGTTAACAATCGAACAGTAAAACGGACACAGAAATGTCTTTGCCCCAATGCTTATGGAAAGGGGATTTACGTTCACACACAAGAGACTATAGAATTTTATAATTGCAAAAAAAAATTACCGCTATATTCGTTGCAAATGGCGCTAAAGCTTGGAAGAGAATATTTTTGCTATGCTTCATATACGCTACGGGGGCTAAGGCTTGCATCGAAATTATTTTCCGATTATAATCCGGCCGAAGTGATCCCATCACGAAAAACGACGTCGTCCCTTGGGACATCCCGATGTAATGTAGAGCAGTTTTACCAGTCTGACCTAATACATAGTCTATCATAGTTGGTAAATCGATGTTTCCTATTTCGTCCCAGGAGAATTCCCAAAATGTTATGTTCCCGAAAATGTTGGGGTTTAGTAATAAATGTTTCCGGGAATAATAATTCCCACGAGCGTTACCAAGCCAAACATCATAGCCTTCTTCTGCCAGGATATAACCTGAGAATAATTCGTTAGTTAACATTTGTAATTATGTAGTTTATGAATGAAAATTAAGAATTTAGATCCTAAGTAGAGTATCAATGATAATCAAAGTTGCTTAAGCAGTTAACACAAATGTTAGAATCGAGGAGAATCATAGCAGTATCATGTTTCTAAATAAAATATTTTAACAAAACTGAAACTGAAATATGTCTGCATAGAAATTAATTTGATATTGATACAAGGTTTCTCCTCACCTAAGCCATTTCCAGGGCCCGACAGTATGTAATCAGCCGAAGAACCTAATAGCCCGTGCATTACTAGGACGGCTGGTCGATCTCCAGGTCTATTATTCTTGTCTCTTCCATGAGGAATGCGGTGCATACCCAGTAAATAGCCATCCGGAGTCAAGACTGTGTGTTCTTCTATAGGATAATTGTACCTTCTTGCTAGTCCTGGCTGGAAAATTAAATTTGAAAAATTACAAATGATACCATAACAGTGATAAAAGAAAATTTTTAACTTCAACAAAACTATTCTTAAATTGTTCAGAAAATATACGCCAGGGCCATTATCTGAAGAAATATTTCTTAATGATTGCAAAACTTGATCATAACACTTTTTCAATTGAAGAGAATGAATATTGAGATTGTTTTAATAATATTGAAGTACTCACCACATCCAAAATAGCATCTTGGACTAAATCGTCAGAAAATGTAGGCCCAAAGTCCTGATTTTGGACTAATTTGATGACCAAATCAGCATGAGGTGACAACCCAGCGGATGTTAAAGAGATTAAAGCTACAACGTTTAAATATAACAGCAGCATTTTGAAACTATGTGCGATCGTGAAATGAATGTTTACTTGTTTTTAAATCTCATATATTAATACCTGATTTCTGATAACGAGCTGTCTAAATCGACGATAAATAATCATTACAATAAATTAGGGTTGCTTCCATAATAAGATGATAAGATATCTATTAAAAATAATATATTTAAAATATAAATAAACATATATATACATTTTGATTTTCTTGGACATTTTCAAGAAAAATTTTTGTCACCATTAATAATACTTCTATTTTACGATCTAAATTACAGAACCCTACGAATAGACAAATATCCGCATATGTAATTCAGTAACGATAGAAGAAATAATTACTTCATTTACACTATCTTATCCACTAGAGGGGCATGAGATTTCCTGTAAGTAAATACCGTTTTGTGGTTTCGATAAAACATAGTATTAATAGATAACAATCGACTGTAATAATGTTCGTTTGATATCTATTATATATTTTTCAAATCTTGATAACCTTGTCTTTGACCTTACTATTTAGCTTTGATCGGGTCATTGTTTTCCGCAAAGTGGAAAATGCATAGCACATTATAATCATAAGTAAATACTAATGGTACTATTGAAACAAACAATACGCAACTGTCTTTTATTGGGTCTAAACTCTAAACGTTTAAAGAATCCATCGCACGAAGAAAGTTTATAACTCTATTATAAACTAAAGTTCTCGCATCAATACCGTATACAAAATCTAGATGACTGAAGTCGACATCTTGTATTTTGAATTTGCCTACTGGATTTCTGAGTTCCTTAAACAATTTATCGACATCATTCACGTGAGCGAGAGGATCATTCACTGAATAGTGTAGGAAGACTGGTGTTGTTATTTTTCCCAAGTCGTAATCCGGTGCGCCTATTCTGCCATATACTCTTAGATTTTTTAACATGCCAAAATCGAAGCGACGGAATTTGTTTCCAGCAATTCCTTGTCCATAATGAGCGAATTGCCTTACAGAAGCTCCTGCTGGTGTGTGGCCAAAGATTACAGGCATCATCGTCTAAAATAAAACACTGGTTTGTTACTCTTAATGTTAAAGAGTTTTCTGTAAAGCTCTTCCTCTAAAGAAGAAAGTACTCTCGAGATGAATTTTGTAACATACCGAATTATGCTGCTTCTCATTCCAACCTCCGACCAAAAACAGAATGCTGCTACAAATTGGTTGGAAAATAACTTGATCTCTACATAAAGCTTGTCCGGCCCAAGTGAAAATAAGACTATTAGGCATAAATTCGCCAATTCCAATTAGATTCGCCAACCTCTATAAGAAAAGGAAATGCAAATTTAAAATGTGTGAATACTAGTTATATAATAAAAAAAAAACAAAGTAAGAAAGTCACCGTTAAAGTTCTAGAAAAGGGAGCTAATGCGTTGAAAAGAAGATTTCTGTTGTTTGCCATATAAGCGACGGGCGCTAACGCATGCATAGATATAATTTTATCGTTGTACTCCGGTTTGAGAGAAGCTAAAACAAAGAAAGTCGTCGTCCCTTGAGAGAACCCAATGTAATGTAATCGTGACCTTCCAGTGTGCTCTAGCGCATAATCTATCATGGCTGCTACATCAATATTTCCAATTTCATCCCACGAGAAATCCCAAAATTCTGTGTTAAGCAACGCGTCGGGACGTAGTCTTTTATGTTTACGGGAATAGTAGTTTCCACGTCCATTTCCCATCCAAACGTCGAAGCCTTCTTCGGCTAAGATATAACCTGAAATATTAGAGTGAAACTAAAATACTAGTAAATGAGATAACAAAAACACGTTATAATAAAATGAGTAGAAAGTTAATTTTTAACCTAATAGCACTTTAATCAAAAAAGAAGGTATTTAAGTCAAAAGACCCACCTATACTAGATCCAGGGCCCATAAGCACATAATCAGCAGAGGAACTTAGGAGTCCGTGCATCAAGAAGACAACTGGTCGGTTTCTTTCATCTTTATTGTCACGACCATACGGTATACGATGCACTCCCAGGATGTAGCCATCGGATGTCTCTACGGTGTGTTCCTCTAAGGGGTACCCGTACTTCCTCACCAGTTCGGGCTTTCGAGAAATATTAAGAGGAAATATACATAAGAATAGTTATTAGAATAAAATCTTTGTTCAAGTACCATGTTTCTGCCGTCATCATTCATTCTTTTTTTGTAATTTTATTGCGGTAAATTCTCTATCACTTCTACTATAGCTATGTAATATTAATGATACCTATGTATGACGTCATACGTTCCTTTTTCTGGTTATGATATAAATTTTTTTAGAACACGTTTCTTATAAACCTCTATTTAATAATATCTCTTGTGAACTTTACATGAAAATTTAATACATACCACATCTAAAGTAGCATCTTCTTCAATATTGTCAGAAAATCGCCCCTCGCTGTAATGTTCTAATAATTCCTCCACATATGCAGCATTAGGGGAGCGACCAGCATACACAGTAACAACACAGAAAAATAGTCCTAGTGAACGCAACATTTTTAGTATAAGTGAAGCAATTTTCGCTATTAAAAGTACGTCTTTTATAATATTGCGATATAAGATAAAAATCTTTAAGATATAACTTGCTTTGATAAGAATTATTAATCAATTATTATTAATTGTTAATTATTTGTATTGTAGGCCCAATCTAGAAATCATTCTTATTAACAAGCATTGATAGTGTTTTCTAAGTATTGTATTAGTTGCTACCCCATTTTTAAATAGCCCTTATAAGGTAAAATTATCGCCTATGGGTAAGTTGATATTTTATTCCGTTATCTTCTAAGTAGTTCTTATAAGGATAGATTGAGCTTGGTGGTCCATTCCTCTTTTTCTTAGAATACTAATTTTAATAAATTGTGTAAGGCTTTCAAGTTTTTCGATTTCATAATTCTTCGAGCAATCGAGGAGATAATATCTTCTGATGATGCCGTCCGCTCGTGATGGCGAAACGTCGAGAACTTCTCGCACACGTCGGCCGAACACCGCGCAAACGATGATATGGTGTTAATGTTAATTTACACATAAACCATAATAGATTATATTAGTAACTATGCTATAAAATTAAAAATTACTAGGTTTCAATCAGTTATACCAAACAATTATATTTCTTTTCCTATGTTTCCCCCCTTATCATATTAACTAGTGCGACTGTAACTCGTAATGCAGGGTTTTATAAGATTCTAAAGTAACTTTCGTAGTAATAAGTAGTTTGCGGTGTCGTAATCCTAAAAGATTTATACTAATAGTTTATGTAATTTAGGATGTGGGTTAAGACTAAGCATGTCCTCCTATTTTGGTAACCATTCATTTGGGATTAACGCTAATTGAGTTTAAATTAATTGATTTCATATTTTTGTAAAAATGTGTTTTGTAGTAGGTATATACAAAATAGCAAAATGACGTAGTAACAGTTAGTATATCTGCCATTAAAACAAATAAAATTATGCAACTGTCTTTTATTTGGTTCGATCGTTTAGCATTTGAATTAGGAACGCATAGAACGAAGTAAGTTAACGACTCGATTATAAACAAAATTTCTCGCATCTATACCGTATACGAAATCTAAGTGACTAAATTTCTGGTCTTGAATCCTGTATTTGCCAACTGGGTTCCTCAGCTCCCTATATAATCTCTCAACGTCATTAACGTGAGCTAGAGGATCACTAGCCGAATAATGTAGGAAGACAGGTATTGTTATTTTTCCCAAATCGTAATCCGGTGCGCGCGATTGGCCGTACAACCTTCTGTTCTTTGACGAACCAAAATCATAACGCTGGAACTGGTTCCTTGCAATGCCTTGTCCGTAGTGGGCGAATTGCCTTACAGATGATCCCGCTGGTGTGTGCCCGAAGATGACAGGCATCATCGTCTGAAAGGAAGAGTATTTTAATGAAATAAATATGATAAAACATATACAAATGGGGTTCGAACATACAACCAACAGCAGATCATGACGATCGACCGACGGAGGTCACATTATCATCACACATTATACAATATTTCATAATGTGATGTCGGGCCCGATATCACAACTACGATATTACAAATATTTGTAACACAGCAACGGACATGTATTGTAAGCAAAAACAAATACTATTGAAATCATTATTGTTACACACCGAGTTATGCTGCTTCTCGTTCCATCCTCCGATCAAAAACAGGATACTGCTGCAAATTGGTTGGAAAATAACTTGATCTCTACATAAAGCTTGTCCAGCCCAAGTGAAAATAAGACTATTAGGCATAAATTCGCCAATTCCAATTAGATTCGCCAACCTCTGTCAGGAAAATAAAATAATAATGTAAGTATTTAAAAACTTTAATACTTTTTGTACATATAACTTAAAATCGAAAATAAATAAAAAAAAAAAATTTCAGACTCGGGCAGGACTTGAAGCGGCATCGTCTGCGTTCCGTGCTGTTGCTCTATCAATTGAGAGCTCAATCAGTAGAACAACATCACGGAAGTTCGAGTTGCCCGAGTCGAAAAAACATATTTTCAATTTTTTTCGTTTTAAATTAAATAATGTAAGTTTTTTCTCATTAAATTGAATAATGTCCTAATATAAAAAGACACTTACCTCTAGACTTCTCGAAAAAGGTGCCAATGCGTTGAATAGGAGATTTTTGTTGTGTGCCATATAAGCGACCGGCGCCAACGCATGCATGGATATTATTTTATTGTTATACTCTGGTCTAAGAGAAGCTAAAACAAAGAAAGTCGTCGTCCCTTGGGAGAACCCAATATAATGTAATCTTGACCTTCCGGTGTGTCTTAGAGCATAATCGATCATGGCGGCGACATCTATGTGTCCTATTTCATCCCAAGAGAAGTCCCAAAAGTCAGTGTTCAATAACGCGTCGGGGCGTAGTCTTCTGTGTTTTCTAGAATAGTAGTTTCCGCGAGCGTTTCCCATCCAAACGTCATAGCCCTCTTCGGCTAAGATGTAACCTTCAATAATGGAGCAGTATGTTGAGCTACAAATAAACTTAAAAAACAGCCAAGTGCGAGTCGGAGTTGGGCACGAAAGTTGACAAAAAGGCAACTGTTAAACAACTAGCTCGTTTAACAATTTTCTTTTCTCAACTTTGAAATTCATGACTCCATGAATTATAAAATTGTCATGTCTCTAGATCTATTCGGTTTTAGCTTACCTAAACTAGATCCAGGGCCCATTAGAACATAATCCGCAGAGGAACTCAGGAGTCCGTGCATCAAGAAGACAACTGGTCGGTTTCTTCTATCTCTATTGTCACGACCATACGGTATACGGTGCACTCCCAAGATGTAACCATCTGATGTCCACGGTGTGTTCCTCTAAGGGATATCTATACTTTCTCACCAGGTCAGGCTATGAACAACAAAAAATAGATAAAAGTAACCTAAATGAGCTTAAGCTTAAGACACAGAAACAAAAGTTTGTTTTAAACAGTGATTCCTTTGATAAGTTTTTTACATAAAAGTATAGTTTTCTGCATGTTTTATTCCAACGTAGAAAAAAGGATTTGCTATTGTTGACACCGATTTCCGGATGAATAACCTATATTAGCTGATAAGTAAATGTTTTAAAGAATAAATTAATAATTCTGCAAATTAATTAAATTAATGATTCCCATATAATAAACTCATTTTAAAATATCATACCACATCCAAAGACGCGTCTTCCCTAACGTTATCCGAAGCCATTGCCATAATTTTCCAATAGTTCCTCCACGTAGGCTGCATTAGGAGAGCGTCCAGCGTACGCCGTAACGACAAAAAACAACAGCCCTAGTAACTGCAACATTCTTGAAATTAATATCATTTTTTGCTGTACCAAGGACTTTTTATATAATTATGCAATATCGGAGATAGAATCTTTAGGATATAATTACCTTTCGCTTTGATAAGATTATCAATTTATAAGACGACTATTTTAATTATTTATTGTTTTTTCAGGCGTTATCCGAAAAAAACAGATCATTTGCATAGAAGATTCGAGCCCTGATTGTTATCGCACCTCGTGCTGGTCTAAAGTATTATTTTTGACATCGTTAGATTAATTAAGTGTTATCCGATTTATATAACATGGAAGTAAAATGTTATCTATCATTCCGTTGATTGTTGTTGCATTATATTTTGGTATAACCTTTTTTAATTTTTCGGTAACGAAATTGATGATACAAGGACGATTCGATTTTACAATTAAAAGCCTTTTTACCCGCCGTGGTCATCCCCGTGTTCGTTGTTTTCTTAACAAGAATATGTTATGATACTTATAATAATAATCAACTCAACTTTTCAGCGCATAAATAACAAAGAAAAATATATTTAGTTAATGTAATTCTTATATCTATACTAATATATAAAGCTGAAGACTTTGTTTGTTTGAGCGCGCTAATCTCAGGAATTACGGGTTCGATTTGGAAGACCTTTTTGTGTTAGCTAAAGCATTTATCAAGAAAGGCTTGAAGGCTATAAAACATCGCGCTGTGACTAATAGGAGCGAAGATACAGCGGGATATGTGAACAAAACGGGGGAAATTATTCACAATATAGGTTACCGAGCCGTAAAAAAATATGAATGAAAAATTACTCCTCTAGATACCCAAAATAACGATCTCGCGGACGAAGTCGCTGGCACAGCTAGAACTAATCTATATACTAATATATACAGCTGAAGAGTTTGTTTGTTTGTTTGTTTGAACGCGTTAATCTCAGGAAAACGGTTTCGAATTAAAAAAATCTTTTTGTGTTGGTTAGAGCATTTATCGAGGAAGGTTATAGGCTAACATATTGCGATGTGACGAATAGAAGCGAAGATACAGCGAGAAATGTGAACACAACGGGGGATTTTTTTCATCTCTGTAGGTTTCAAATGCGTACGCTGCGAAAACGGTTCAAGATACCTAAAAATTGTGTATGAAAGAATGATTCTCCTTTAAATGATCTAAATAGTCCGCAATGCTATATGTCTATCTTTTAAGATTAACTTGCAAGAACGATCTGAACGACGAGATACGAATATCGTGGGTGGTATGCTATCTACACTAATATTATAAAGATGAAAAATTTTTAATTTTGTATGTAACGGATAAACTCGAAAAGTACTAGACCGATTTTAATAATTATTTTTTCATTAGACAGCTACATTATCATTGAGTAAAATACTTAGTACTAGATTAGAAATTTCTATTAAAAGCAACGGGAAGTGTAAAAAAAATTGCCATAAAATGTCTTTCATCGCATACGCTGCGAAGAGTAGGTAGATGATAGAACAAACAAAATGTTCTTAAAATATAAAGAAATTATCCATATTCATATGATATTGTCATATGAATACCTTAATAAACTATTTGCAGTGGAACACTGTATTTACACATGCGTCTTATTAAATTAATAAAAAAATTAAAATAAATAAACAGCCTAAATTATTGAAAAATTGTGGACGAAGTCGCGGGCACTGCTAGTAATATATAAAGCTGATAATAGCTTTGTTTGTTTGCTACATTACATCGCCCTGTGACTAATACAATCGAAAAATTATTCATCATTTTGGATTTCCGAAGCGTACGCTGCAAAATCGGTTCAAGATGTCCAAAAAATATTATAAAAGAATTATTTCTCTTTAAATGATCTAAAAAAAGTCCGAGGCGCTATATGTCTATCTTTTAAGATTACCCTGCAAGAACAACGGTAAGGGACGCGATCGACTTATAAAGGAAGGGGTTTGCAAAAACGAATTTATTAGATGCCCGAAATAACGATTCTCGCCGATGAAGTCGCTGGCACAGCTAGTAAGAAATAAACGGAACAAGCGGGACTTGAACCTGCATCCCCGTTCCCTGTTGCTAGTTTAATCTAATTGAGTTACCGTGTCTTTTTTTACTATAGCAAATTTATTCAATCGGGTGCCAATCCCGTTATGTCATAGTTGTTATAAATTTACTTAAATTATTAAATTCACTATACATATACCTAACGGTTGAGACATTGAAGGTGCCTTGAATGTGTAAAATCCCGTTTCCCCGTGTAATATAGGAAAAACACAAGAACAGGTTTAATAAAAAGTATTTGACCTGACTCCTGTGCTCTGCCTGACGGAAAAAAAATCAGTTTCCCGGGATTCGAACGTGCTAAATGCAACGTTGCGGAAACGGTATTAGCGCATACGACAAACATATGAATACATGATGCCATACAAGCTGGAACTTGTAGACTCGACGGAGTCCCGCCCTGCCTCGTGTTACCATTTGTACTATATTTCATGCCGAAGGGACCCGACCGATATCGTAGGTAACCGCTATAATTTATAAAGACGAAGGTATGCAAAAATAAAATTTAACGCCAAAATAACTACGCGGGCGAACTCGTTAATACAGCTAGTATTAAATAATATTTGAAGAGTTAAATTTTTCACAGGTACGCCTAAAATTTAATGTCGATTAATTTTTTTTCGGCATCGTCACCCGTGGGTGCTCGGAAAGCTACAACTTCTAAGTTCCCAGGATATTGTTTTCAAAATATTCTTTTTTTGTATTATAGATTTCTGAGATCTCCAAATGAGAATATGCTAAATTAAGTCTTCCATTTTCTTCAGGTATGTTAAAACTTCTAGGTGGCTTTTTAATTTTTTTTTAATAGTGGCAAGTACTAGCAATTATTGAATGATACCTTGGTTAGCCCTTAGCAGATGTATCTCAAAAGTTAGGTCACCACTGGACTGTACCTATATCCTATAAGCAGTATACACCAAGATTGAGTTGACATAACAATATTTATAAATAACAATGAGATGCTTTTGTCACTGTGGCCTGTCTCCTTCCTATGTCATGTCACAGTGTTGGCACAACTAGGCATCCTACTAACACAATGTGACAGATTCATAAAACAGATCTGATTTGGAACTAAAGCTTTGGGTTTAATAAATTCCACATTTTTAATAAAAGCATGTTTAATCCTTATTATTCTTTAAGTATATTAATGTTACGTGTGTGAGAATTTTTAACACAATTAATAAGATAGGTTAAAGCAGTAAGACAAGACAGAAACAAGAAAGTATACCAGTTCATGAGATTGAAAAACTCAACATCTGTGTACAATGTAATAACTTGTAATTTTTTATAATGTGATTGTAATTTGTGTTAGTTACAGGTAATATATAGGCAATATATTAACAATCACTACAAATCATCTTCATCTGAATCAAGGGCAGCTCTTCTTCTATCAAACTTGACTGTGCTAGTTGATTTAGGCATTTGTTGATTCACCGACTCTAATAATTGAATAAGCTCCTGTTCAGATATCTTCGTGCTTAACTGTCCCATTTGAGCCATTCTGCAGATCATATTTTCAACCATACTTGCCTTTTCCGGTTTACTTAACTTTATTATATTCACTGCAAAATAAGATTTAGTTATGTCATACGCTTGATAGATGTTAAGAATTAATGATTCAATATTTGTATATATGTAAACCAGATAAACAATATTTACGTCTAGCTCTAGCATCTTGACTTAATGCTTGAGATAGTATTGTATGTTTTGCCTCTTCCATGGCCTGCATTCGGTCTTGTTGAGCTTTAGCCTGAGAAGGATCTCCACCCTTAAAAAATAGATAAAATTACAAGGAGTCATAAGCTAAGAAACTAAATTCCATTTAACTAAGACACTATGTTGTCGCTGGTTGCTTGAACGGCGTGAGATTTAAAATTAATCCTAAACTTAAATTAAAGAATATGCAATTAACCTATGAATGAATAGCATCTTTTCACTTACTCCATGTTGAGCTTGCAGTTCAGCTAAGCGCTGCTGCCGAATTCTTTCTAATTCTGGATCATTCATAACGATTTATATTTAATTTCCTACTCTTTTATTGTTACAGTAACTAATAACTATGAGTAAGATTTTAGTCCAAACAATGTTTGTAAGATGTCGGTTGTGACAATTGACAGCTGTCACCATTTGCTTTCGTTCGCAGCAGCATAGACTCTGAAATTATTTTCGTTAACACAGATTACTACACGTCAAACGATTTAGCAAAAATCTCAAATCTTTCGAATAGTTTAAAAGCGCCTAGCAATGTTGCATAGCTTAAATGTCTCATTAGATTTCTGTTTAGGATAGCTACTAACGAAGCTGATAAAGAATTTAAGACTAATAGTTTTTACAATGGTTTTAAAGGTTTCATGGGATTTTATTTAATAAAAAAGAATATTGTAATAATAGTTTTACTATACATATAAAACAATATCTTACTAATATTTCACTTTTTAAATCTTATACTACACTTGGACTGTCATGCCACTGCAATGTCTGATATTCAATTTCACCTACACTATTGAAGTAAGCTAAAACTGCTAGTTTATTTACTGCTACTGATAACCGCCCAAAGGCAACTAAATTAGCTGGGTGAAACTTGCGTCCCATACTCGTACATTTTAACATATACAACGCGTGAAACTTAGCTGGATCACCTAAAAAATAAATGTTATTATGACAAGTTAAATAGATGTTATTGTGTAACTAGGACTAGAATATTTAATTGGGACATTAATAAAGAATTTATGGATCCATCTCCCATGACCAATTCTAATAATAAGTTATTTTGTTCTATACTTTATACCTGGATAAAGTAAATAATCTGATCCAAATTTAGAACCATTTGTGATACTAAATCCTTTTTGCCATAAGTCTTTAAACACTGAGTATTTTATACAATTTTCCTGTGTTATGCTAGGACTTAGAGCTTCAATTGATAACTTCACTTTTTCTGAAAATAGGTTTTATTAAAACTTTAATTTAAGGAATATTCTAACTAATCTCAAATGTCATTGATATGTAAAGAAGCAAACAAATGTTTCATTTAACATATTAAAGCATTTAAATAAAACACTTTAACGGTTCAAAACGCAATATATTAGTTAAGTATTTATATTAAAGCATGTCAAAACTATCTAGAAACTTTTATCAGATTAATGTCACGCAACAAACAATTAAATAACATTACCTTCATTATTAATATGCTGTGTTGGTAAATGCACAAGTAAATGACCAGGGGCTGCAGTAGGTATTTTATTGATTTCTTGCTCTAATAAAATATCTTTATCTATATTGACATCTGAAAAACAAAACATCCTTGATTAGTTCAGGTTTTACACCTCTCAAGGAACTAAAAACATCACATTTAACAAACCTACGATCCCTTTTGATATCATCTTTTGTCTTTTTCCTGCAACTATAATATCAATTTTTTGTGATAGTTGTTCAATCTTCTTCTTTTTTAAGGCATCAGCCTGTTCCAATGAAATTCTACAAAGATACTAAATGTTAAATCAGTCTTTACAAATATAATATGAAAATTTGTAGGTTTTCACCTATTTTCCAATTCTTCTGTTTCTCGCCTTAAACTATCTGAAGGCTTTTCAATAAGTTTTGGGAGATCATATAGTTCACAAATGCCTTTATCAACCAATAATGCAGCTTCTTCAGTCATAAGAGCTAGTGGAAGACCTAAAGATAAAGTATTATTTTATATTTGGTATCACAATCAACCTATAGTAATATTGAGTAAATAAAGGGCACATCATTATCAAACCTTGTAAATCATTTTGTCGAGGATAAGAAGGAAGAGATCCAATTAAGGCCCCATATATTCGATATTTGGAGCGCAACGTATGCCAGTCTGCAATTGCAATCTTAATTTAGTTTTAATTAGATTTCGAAGCCGGCTTTAGAAATAAAATCTACCTTCAGCATTCCAGACATACGCGACACTGTTCATAACATAAAGTGGTATCATGTTTCTGACTATTTTGTTACTTAAGAATAAGTTACTTAAACAAGTAACAATAATTTTTAAACAAATTTTTAAAGTTTGTTATGATTTATGAATTGTTGACAAAAAGATTGGATAAGTTTGATTTGACAGATTTACATTATACACCCCTACTATACATTAGTATAGTACGGGTTTTAACAATACATGTTTTAACAGTGCGGCCATTAATAAAAAAACAATTTTGCAGTTTTCTGTGTATACTATATACTTCTAACATATTTATATAAAAATTAAAAACATATTTGTTTCAATTGCTTAATAATAATTGACTCAAATTCTCAGCAAACAATATAATAACTACACAAATTAGTTGTTTAGTTTGTTTTGAAATCTGTAGTGCTATAGATTATACTGTATCTTTTAAGATTAACAGCTGATAATGACAAATGTTAAATAATATTTTATTTTGGTACCCGAACAAACTGCATACTTGTGCAATCGTAATGTTTATTTATATTGAAAGTAGACGATAAAGATTGTGATATAAGCAATTATAGTGGCAATAATTATAATTCTGATCCAATATTTCTTCGCTTGGTACATATTATATAATTTATAAATAATGGCATCGAAAACAGTATTAATTGGTATGTATTTTTAAATTTGATATATAGCTACTAGCCGCATTTAATAAATGCCAAGATAATGATCCCTATCAACGAACAAATTAAATTCAATATTTTACACAGGTGGAGGAACCGGCTTTATCGGTAAACGTTTGGGAGAAATATTACATAAAAATAAATATAACGTCCTAAATGTATCACGAATGCCTAGCGCAAATTCTATAACATGGACAACAGTGGAAACTGGCTTACCGGAACAAACTCATGCTGTTGTTAATGTTGCTGGCCAGCAAACTATGGATTTTACCAGAAGTTGGACACCAGGGTTAGTAAATATTGAACATATTTATTTTTATGCAGCATACGTCTGGGATGGCAATATTCTGTTGTGAGTTAACTAGAATGAAGATCAATCAATTCAAGCTCTCTAGAAATAGATCCTGGTAATATAGAGATTTTTAAATTGTTTAGGGCACAGAAGACTAGTTAGTCACCTACTAATCTAACTGAAATAGAAATTAGTTTGAAACCATTAATAATGTTGTTATTCATAACAATAAGTAGACTCTAACAATTTAAACGACCATAAAAAATTAATTGTTGTAGCTTCAAGCAAAATGTTAAAAACTCCAGGGTGTTTACAACCAGAGCGCTCGCTACAGCAATAAACAAAAGTAGTGGTAAACCTAAAGTATATGTTGTAGTAACTGGTGTAGGTGCATATGAACCTTCAGAGACTAATAAATATGATGAAACTAGTCCAACAACGGGAAAAGATTTCTTTTCAAAACTTCTAGTAGAGTGGGAGGAAGCTGCAAAAGTTGATCCTCCTGTCAGACTTGTAAGTTATATGCTATATACTATTGTGAAGAGCAAAATTTTAATTAAAAATGTTTAACTGTATTACCTACTACTACTTTATTATCTGTTTTTCAGGTTATTATCAGATCAGGAGTCGTGCTTGGCCGTGATGGGGGAATGATAAAAAATATGATACTACCATTCTTCTTCGGTCTCGGAGGGCCAATTGGTTCAGGGAAACAGTACCTACCATGGATCCATATTGAAGATTTGACGCGCCTCATAACTTTTGCAATAGAAAATGAAAATGTTAATGGTATTCTAAATGGAGTTGCACCGCATGTTATAACAAATGGAGAATTCACTCAGGTATTCATTGTTGGGAGTTTTTCTCAATAATTATTCTTATGCAAGAGTGAATAATATTATGATCTCATTCTAGTGAGGGTCAACAAAAAAGAACAAATGAAAGTTGACTCTTGAATCATATTTAACTTAATGAATTCTACTGTTAAGTTTTGAGTGCTTTTCACTAACCCTTAAGTTCACCCCTAATGTTGTCGGTATAATGTAAAATACAAATACTTTTGGTTGTTCTCACATCCTTAAACAATCAGTATCAAATTCAGTCGCATCTTCACTACTTATTCTTATTGATGATGATGAAGAATACATTAAGCGGAAGAGGCTCTAGGTTTGAATATAGGGAAACACAAAAAGTATTTTAGTACATACATCTAATCAGCTACTTGCTTGTTCAGAATATTAATCAGTATAAAAGGCAACATTACAATTTACTTGCGCCCCACTTTGGAGTAACAATATATCACATATGGTTTCTAATACTTTTTTATAATTTTTCAGGCGTTTGCAAAGGCACTCTCAAGGCCAGCATTTCTTCCGGTTCCTGAATTTGTGCTTAATTTTCTCTTGCACGAAGAAAGAGCAATGTTGATGACAAAAGGGCAGCATGTCACACCTAAAAGAGTTCTAGATTACGGCTTTAAATACAAGTATGATAAAATTGACGAGGCATGTATGGAATTCGCTCATTTATTTCCAAAGAAATAATGTATTGCATCCTAAATTAAGTTATAAAAAGTACATTTTGGCTTGTAGTCTTCATCAGCTTATCAGTCAATAAATATTTAGATATTTATAAATGCACACGGACGCATATAAAACGGAGGATATTTTAAATTAAATTACCTAATAACTATTTTCACACATTACATTACAATAAATAATAAAAAAAAGACATTATTAGACTAGATCTTATAAGAATATATTTTAAAAGTGACTTAGCAAATGGAATACTATAGTATGTCTATATACATACGGCAATATCACAATTAAAAATTTACGTCTAGTCTTATTTTTTTGCACATAATTTAGAAAACTATTGTCTGCTCCAAATATAATTTTCTCATGTTTAGTTCATTCTCGAATAATGGAGATTTTTTGTTAAATAAACGTATTTACAAATGTTATAAAAATAATTATTTATTTGCTTTGCCTCTGATCATGTCCCGACCAACTGATCTATCTGGCTTGCATTAAGCACGAGGGGTCACAGCTTCGATCCAAAAAATAGCTCTACAGCTTGAAATCAACACTTGCTTATACATACGATTCATCGGTGAAACAGATACAGAATATTAAATATATAAAAGAAACTGCAGGGAAATAATAAAAGCAATTTTATATTAACTAAATTTTTATTTATTAAAACAATTATAAAATCTATCAATAAGTATATAATAAGTTCGTGAGTTTCAAAACTCGCTTTAATTAAATGCTAATAAAAAGTTTTCAATTTGAACTAAAAAACACTTATTTACATATTATAGGACATACAAAGTTGAGTTCGTATGTATTACTTCTAAGTGAAAAGTGATTATACTAATAACAACATTTTAATGAACTGTTTAGAGGGCATAAATACTTTACGTAGACCTTAAGAGGGGAGTGGTTGAAGTTTTATGAATGTGGCACAAGAGTGGAGGATAATGTTCAAAATTTTGTGACGTCACGATACTGTTATATGTATAGTGTATTTTTTTTTACTTGGCAAAAGACCCCAAAAAATATGGCCGACTTTAAACCATAGAGAACTAGTGATGTCTTTTTATACAGATAAGTCGTTTCCACAGATGACACATGGTTAAGTTAAAGTAGATGAGACCAGCTGACCCCCAAAAAAGAGATGTAAAAGTTATATTTCATAATTTATATAGCGGTATTTATTAATATCCTGCAACTGTCTTTATCAATGGACTAAAAAAATTGAATTCTTCACTTTCGTTAAATGTATCTCATTTGGTCCTTTCAATTTTGGCGAATTCAGAAACTAGTCTAGCGATATATTCCCTTAGGAGTTCCTGCCTCATTCTGCCCACGTCCAGAACCTCTTCGTGGTTAGCCTCAGTGTCTGCGTCGTAATTTGTGATGCATTCGTTCGTTATCAACGATAGACCAAACACCTTTATATCGCAGTGTCTTGCTGTTATTACCTGAAAATAAAACGTCAATATTTTATTAAATGTAGGTAGGTTCTAACTGTATTCTTCGTAGCCCTCGTCAAAATCGTTAACAACTCAGTCAATACCGCCGTAGTAGATTATACCAAGGATACGCTTAATGTTCTTGAGACTGAATGTTTAAACCTCTTAACAAACTAAGTATCTAATAGTTAAAAATCGAATATAAATTGAAAAACACGTATGAGACGGGCAGGACATACCGGCATCCACAACTTTCCGTGCTGTTAATCTAATCAATTGAGCTAGCGTATCCTACACGTCACCATTGATTTTTATACCCAATTATTATTATTAAATTTTAGGTAAAAACTTGTACCCCCTTATCTTAGTGACTTCTCTGATTGTTTTTAATAAGTTTAGGCATATTTAGAAAATTTTAATAATTGTACTACGTCACGTCAAGGACATTAAATCAGTTTGGTTCAAATTTATTTGATACTGTATATTCTTACCTCGTGTACAGTCGACATACCCACAGCATCGACACCGACCATCTTCAACATTCTTAATTCGGCTACGGTTTCGAAGTTAGGTCCTCCTAGGCATGTGTATACACCCTCTTTGACGATGTTGTCTAGTTTGAGTTCCTTCGCAACCTGGAATAACGGATAGATACATATAAAATACTGTCTATAGTTTACGCGAGTAGTACACATTTAAATAAAACACTAACGGTTTAAAACGCGTTAAAACGGTCACGGGGAGACTGTCTCCCCGAGACCACGGCTGCTGCAAAGCATCCGAAACGTCGGGCCGAAGTTAAAAATCATTTTCAAATAAGTTTAAATAATATATCGCGTTTTAAACCGTTAAAGTGTTTTATTTAAATAGATACATATATAAAAACAAGTCATTACTTTTTGTGCTAAGTCTCTACTATGTTGTAAGACACTAATGACATCAAAAAATATTATAATTTTCATATCATAACTGTTTTCGAACTGTTATTTATCTATATGGGTTTTGGAGCTTTTCAAAATGGCCGCGAAAGCCTCATACAATGCGGAATTGTAATGTTGTTTTTATATGTTTGCTATACTATGGGAGTCTACTTGTGGCCTAAAATGGGCCTTTACGTTTCTCATAGAATGGAATAAGATAAAATGTGTTATTCTTAGTATTTATTGAAATTATTAGAATTTAAGTATTACAAACCTTTTTTGCGATTTGCCGGTATTCATAATTGTAGGCCTTATTCATTGGCGGGAAACGAGGGCCGAATCTTTCGTCGTTGGGGCCATGCAACGGATTGTTCCCAGCGAAACCCATCATGTTTATATGGTCGTTAACAATCATGAGATCGCCGATTTTGTAATTTGGGTTCAATCCACCGGCTGCGTTCGTGGCTATTAAAGTTTTTATCCCTAACAATTTCATAACTCGGATAGGTAGACAACACTGAAAAAAAAATATAATTTAAGTTAATATATTTAAGTTTATTGTTCCATGCTAGATAACGAAACTACACATGTCCAAATCCAGTAACAAGAAAAACGCAGAAAAACAGCGTTTATCTAACAATTGTTTTGACACAAGATATCTCGAATATATTTATTTAGGTCGCAAATTTAATCGAATATTATTTCCTTGTCATATTTATATAAAAATAGTTTTTCTCGCTTTTCAAGATTTTTAAATGGATTCTATGGTCTAATGTACGAAACGGTAAAGATATGCATTGCGTCATAACTTTGAAATTTTAAAATATTGTAAATCGTGATTCGAGATAAAACATTACTTATCAAAAGAACTTCTTTGACATGTCATGACGTGAGACGAGCGGAGTAAAATGTATTATCTATATGCGCATATCATTTCTCATGGTTCAGCTGATAACCCTGCCTCCAGGGGGGCCGAGCACACGCCCTTGCATCATCCTTGCTTATCAAAGAAAACACTACGAATCTCTTCATACAGAATATTGCTTTTATTTTAAAATATAATGACGTATTATTTTTTACTCGTCTATCAAAAACTCGCCTTATCACAAAATTAAAAATTAAATTGTTTTCTATAATACTTTTGTGTGCTTGTACGTTCAATGTAATTTTCTAAAAGTAACAATAACCAGATTAATTAAGATTATTATTAATTATTTAATGAGTTGAGTCTTGACCTAAATCGAATTGTTCTAGAATTGTGTAAAAACGTCGATGGCCTACGCATATTTTCAATACTTTGCAATTAAAGTTAAGTAATTACATAAATGAAATTTAAATTCGAAGGTTATATACTATTGCTGTTTTGAGATTTTGACATTATCTTAGTTTTGCCGTGGTTTGCAGTATTACTTATGCTGTGTACTTTAAACTTAATTTTGGCGGCAATTTAAAGAATCCAAGATATGCAAATTATGTTTAAAATGGTTTTATAACCAGGCCCTTACATCTTGTTAATAGCCTAGTAATTTTTCGGGCTTCTTAGTGTAATGGTAGCAATGTATTATAATCAATCGGTGGTGGGCTCGACCCCCAAATATGGCCGATGTATTTCACCTTCCATCAAGTAAAGCTTTGCCTTCCCTACCATAAAATATTAAATGTGATAACATCCAAACTTTTACGGCGTTTAACAGGCAAAGAGCCTTTGCTTGCTGTTAGGTCATCATATTTACCTTCCATAAGGGATATCCTTCATAGTAATGGAAGCGGCCCTGCATGGCCACAACTGGAACATCTCCAAGACGACCAAATACCAGCCGACCGTGGTGACCTTCTACTGTGCTCACTGGGAAGTTAGGAATCTCCTCGTATGGTATTTTTTCAGCATCTGTTATAGTCTCAGCTAAGGAACCTGATGTGTAATGTTTAACATTAATAAACTGTGCGCACGAGCATAATACGTTATTATATGTTATGAAGAAAAGCTCCTAAGGAAGCGTTGTTTCAACCTGTCACCGGGTTTAACGTACATTAAATAATGACGAAGCTTTGTTACATAAGATACTGCGTCTCGATACTGTGTTTTAACAGTTAATAACACGAAGAATTTTATTTAATTAACAATATAATGTTACAAGCAAATGATTTCAAAGCGAGTGAAGTATTTAACATGTAAGTACCGTCTTTCCAATACGAACCCATTCCAGACCCGCAAATTATTCCAATTATTGGTCGGATTTTGGTCTTCGTTAAGAGGTAGTCGGACATCTCTACCAGCATTTCATAAGAGTACCTGAAAAACAAAGTTACATTAAAAGATGGCTGACTATGACTTCTATGTGTATTTTAAACTAGTCACCTGCCCCGGCTTCGCACGAGTACAAATTAATTTACTTTAAAAGATACACGTTGTTTTGGTAAGCATTATTTGATTATATTGAAGGGAATATTTGTTTTTAAACTTTGCTTTAATAAAATAATCACGAATTGTTCCATTGTATCGCTTTCCAACAGTGAAACCTTTTTCAAATCAGAGCCTATTGATTTCAATAAGCAATCGGACAATTCCTTTTCATAGTATTAGTATAGATAAGCACATAGAATCGTTTTTATTTACAGGAAGCTAGGATTAACCTTATATACTCTGTCTCATGTATACAAAATGAAAAGCTACGACACAACCGAATGGACAATTAGGTAAGTGCACTAATTTACCTATGCTTTACTTCAATATAATATAGATCACTACAATATTACTTAAATCATTCAATAGTAATATTTAGTACAATATAATGTACATAATTTTATCTTATCTCCAGTGTATTCTAGGATGGCCAAGATCGTTAAAATTATAATAATAACATACAGATATCCGTCAGCTATTTCCCTGTATATGCAGCTGTAAAATTGCAAATATTTTTATCTTATGCAGCTAGTATATAAGGCTATGTAGATTAAATTTTGTATTAAGAATTATAGACTTTTGACCTTTTTTTATCACACATCTAAGCAATATATCAGAGAAATTATTCAACAGGCAGAGAAGAATTGATGAGCGTTGTGAATTTTCAATCAATTTTAAGTCTAAGCAAGTTTTAAAACAATCGTTTATAAATTAATGTGGAGTTGTAGTATTAATGTTTATGTATTGTCCGAGTAAGCGAGATTATACATTAAAATAACACTTAACGGTTTAAAATGCGAAATTAGTTCTTCACCTGCCTATGTTTATGGTTGTACCTGACCGTCTGGTGATTGCGGTTGTATGGTAGTTAAAATTAACAAGTATATTTCTTGTTTTATATCAGTCTAATAACAATTTTGGTGCGGTATATTCTTATATTTTGTATCTATATAAATAATATTTTGATTTCATGGCAACTAATTATGTTTAATACTGTCTATAGTTTACTCGAGTAGTACACATTTAAATAAAACACTTTAACGGTTTAAACCGCGATATATTAGTTAAACTGATTTGAAAATGATTTTTAACTTCGGCCCGACGTTTCGGATGCTTTCCAGCAGCCGTGGTCACGGGGAGACGTCGGGCCGAAGTTAAAAATCATTTTCAAATCAGTTTAACTAATGTATCGCGTTTTAAACCGTTAAAGTGTTTTATTTAAATAATTATGTTTCTCAAAAAAACTGTTATAACTACTTAGTTAATGTTTCAGCTTAAAATCGATTGATATATCATTCAGCTCAGGTGTAAAAAATCACATCAATGGATAGTATAATAATATTGTAAGTATTATCTACTGATAAGCGGGAATTTTATCAGAAAATCTATAGTTGATAAGTAATATGTTTTCTCTATGATTTTTATTTTTACATCTATACTTATATTATAAATCTGAACAACTGTTTAGCATTGATGGCACATGATGGCACTATATAAATTAAAAATCGATTATAAATTGAAAAAAAAGTGTTATTCTTAGCATCTATCGGGGAAGGCTCAAGGCTATAAAACATCAAGGTGCAACTAATAGGAGCTATATAAGCAGGGGGAAATGTAGAAAAAAAATAACTTTTGCGAAAATTGCACAAAAATACGTATAATAGAATGATTCCTATCCAAAAAAGTAGAAAAAAATCCGCGACAGTATTTGTCTATCTTATAGAACTAACTCGCAAGAACAACGGGGCGCGAAGGACGTTATGGGTAACAGCTGAAAATTAAACAGCCGAAGAGGCTGTTAAACAAATAATGTTATATCCAAACTAATTATTCCACGCGGACGAAGTCACAGGCATAGATATTATACTAGGATATGCTAACCAGAAATTAATATTATGATCTATAGTTTATTTGTTATGAACGTGGGAGTTAATTTACATCACGACTTCATACAAGGGTTATCTTGCCTCACAACAACAAGGTCTGTCCTACAGGCACTACCATCTTTCCCCAGAATTGGAACCCAATGCCTGTTGTGCTTGTAGCTATGTATGTTATGTTATGTACGTATGTTACTGTAGATATTTTATCAGCAGGATTGGAAGAAACATGACCTTTTAACACACAGATATGCAGACAAAAAGACCATTCAAGAATTGCGATCTGCTTTACATAATTGATATCCATTTTAAAATCGTGATTTGAAATGACATTAACAAGCAATACGTTTTAAGAAGAATCGAAGAACGAATAATTTTATTCATTAAAACATCTCATTGTATAATTATTGAATGGCGGGTGAAATATTCCATTCAATTTAGTTTTCTTTATCTATTAATTATTCTAATGCGCCAATATTTTATTTCTCCTCATGGGACGTTTCCCGTTTCACCTATTTTCTTGATCTACTATATGATTATCTTATTCTGGTAAACATATATTCCTAACTCGGGTCTTTTGAAAAAAGAATTTCTTAAATACTGTCTGTCTATAGTTTTTTACACATTTAAATAAAACACTTTAACGGTTTAAAACGCGATTTATTATATAACTTATTTGAAAATTATTTTTAACTTCGGCCCGACGTTTCGGCTGCTTTGCAGCAGCCGTGCTGCTCCCCGCTGAACCGTTAGTGTTTTATTTAAAAGAATTTCTTTATAAGAACTCGGAGGCACGGATGCGAACGATACCTTTTTATGTAAAATCTGGTTTCCCACTATGGGGCAAGGAGCGAACCCATTTCCCAGTTCGTTTCGCTGACATTATTTGCAGACAAGTATTTTAAAACACTTCAAAGGTTTAAAACATACAATATATTATTTACCTTTTTTTTTTTTTTTAACTAAGACCCGACGGTTTTATTGCAGTGACCATGGTCAGGGGGTTGCGTAGACTACAACAACTAGTAGATTAGATTTCTCTGCACTGCCCGGCCGAAATTAATGATAATTTCTGCCTAACGTGCCTAACCCAAAGAACCATAAAGATAAAATAAAGTCTTCTTTATGGTATCGTGAATCACAGAGGCGGCCAGTGTTTTTCAATGCAATTACATTGTTCATTTTACCCATGTAGTTTTTGCAAATTATTAATATAACTACCTAAAAGATAAACACTTTGTGTTTTTTTTATTGGTCAAAATCAATCCGTAATCATCAAAAATAATGACTTAATATACAAATGATTGCACATACACTATGTGTTAACTTTTACTTCTCTAAACTGGTTTGCAAGGATTTTATGCACTAAGGTCTTGTTTTGTTTCCTTTGTGGACAAGAAAAAATCCGTAGTCATTAAAGAAATGCTAATAGCGTCGTGTAAGGTGCGTTGTAAATTTTTATTAGATTAACTTGAAGATTTATTATACGATAGTATCATTAAAATTCCTGCATTATTCCTCAATTTCAATATATTAACGCCCTGATACAAATATTATTTTAATAGAGTTTTGTTATTTTGACAAATGAATTACGATTCACTTAATAATGTTATTAAACACTTTTTTGCTGTGTTGCGTTCCGTAACTAGATGGATATAAAACCAGGTTTGAATCCCCAGGAAAAATAAAATTGGCAGACTAATACTCTAACAGTCTAATCAAGTACCCTTATACACAAACCAATCAAATAAACAGGCATAGATTTTTTTGTCTTCGCCTAAAGTATGAGATTTCGCTGATATCATAATTTTGTTTTTAGTTGTTTCAAAAAATAAATTATCATCCAATCTGCTAAGAAAAAAGAAGTACATTGAAATAAAACACTAACGATTAAAAACGCGATACATATTAGTTAAACTTATTTGAATATTATTTCAACTACATCCCGACGTTTCGGATGCTTTGCAGCAGCCATGGTCACGGGGAGACCCCGTGTTTAACTAATATATATTGCGTTTTACACTGTTAAAGTGTTTTATTTAAAAGTGTACTACTTGCATCAACTGCAAACAGTTTTTAAGTACCTACATAAAAATACAAAAGATTTCTTGTGTACGTCTAGAACCAAGATGCCATCCAATCGTTTTTCAATTAACCCTCGTTTATTTCGCGCTCTATCATTAGGCTAGGTACGTAGGTTATGTAAAATAACATTGTAGGTAGTAACATAGAAATATGCATATTCTAAAAGACACTTCATAAATAAATATAATCATTGCTACCGACAGCTATACCAGTATTTAAATTGTTTTATCGATTCGTCTCGTAATAAACTGTTAACCTTTGACATTTCTAGAAAAAAAAAACTCTTACAAAGCAGTTTAAAACGGGTATTTTATTTAAGTTGATTAACTTTCAGGTAAATAAGTTGTCTTATTTAAGTTCATTAACTTAAGTATAGTTCGTGTTTGAATTCGTTAATAGTAGTTTTTTATTTGCACCTTTCTCGTATACTATTGATGTAATATATAAATTGAGCTTACATTTTGTGTCCATTCCCGTTGCTTTCCGTTTCAACCTCTGGTAAAGTTTCCTTCACTGGCGGGTACTTCGTTCCGTTCATATTGGCTTTTGCCGACATCACTTCACAATTTTTAATCAAGTGAGAGAAACAGTATGAGAAATGTCCACAGCGTTCGATAACATACAATAAAATGCGATTGACGCGTCCAGCTCGCTGTTATATAGAGTTCAGACGTTCAATGAGAGATTTCTTATAAGCTTTGCAATTAGGGTGTTAGATAAGTTTTTTATGACTTTATCGCGGTATGAAGGGCCACGAATTTATCCCCTTGTTACACGTTACACAATTTAAAATCTACCTACTTCTTTAAAGATACACACACAGAATTGAAAAAATATATGTTAAAATGTTTTTCTTATATCTTCTTAATATATAGAAATTGTTTATAAAACTGAAACATTTTACTGTAGATATTTATTAAAGTTTACTTTATCTGTGGCTGAAATATTAACGCGTTTTATTCTTAAGCATGTACCTACGATACTATCTAGAAAGAGGTCTAATGAGATCAGTATATTTTTACGACTAGCAAAATGTTGATTAGGTATAAGTTTTAAGTAAATTTTTCCCCTCTGTATTATTTGATGAAACAAAGTTTTGAATTTTTGAACATTGTCTTTTTCCTTAGCCTAGTGCAAATCATTCTGTAACAAATATAATTTAAAGAGATTTACGTGTAGTTTGAAATACAAGAAATTAAGATTTACAATGTTTAAACCTTAGTGGTTTTTTATTGCTATCAATATATAAGTAAATGTAATTGTTTTGTTGATATGATAATAATAATAATAAAACAAAATTACAACACTTAATATTATGTAAGATTTAAATAAAACAATTTAACGGTTTAAAACGCGATATATTAGTTAAACTTATTTGAAAATGATTTTTAACTTCTGCCCGACGTTTCGGATGCTTTGCAGCAGCCGTGGTCACGGGAAGAGATTATTTAAATAATTCACTTTCAAATAATTTCTTTTTGAGTTCCAAAATTAAATTCAGAAATTTTAAAGGTTGTTAACACGATAGTCTGTATTTTGTATAGATCTGTCAAAATAGATAAAAATGACTAATAACAAAATCGATACAAGGCATGACTAATGTTGAGAAAATAACATTTATTTTATCTCACAGAATAGTTTGTTCTTGAATTACAAAAAGGTTATGCGTATACGTCTATTAATGATAAAATTAATTAATGTGGCGATGTTATGATGTTAACATTAATTATTTGTAACCACAAAAATTCACCTCAGAACCAACAAAAAAAATACACACGTATAAAACCAATAAATAAAAGTAATCTAATAATATCTTTCCCCATTTTGCGATACTTATTATTTCGCGTTCTTTTCGCGTCTAGAATTTTACAATACCTCAACATGGTCAACTTAGACAGGTTTTAGGTTAATGATAGTAAAGTTACGAAGTGTTATCCTTAATGACCACACAGGAGAGACCTGTTCACTTATCTGGAATCTAGTAATACTGCATTGTGTACTATTTTCTTGTTTTATATTACTAGTATAATTGGGTTACTTAAAGTTATATAACTATGATTTTCGTTGACGCCACGAAAGTTATTCTTTTTAAGTGCTCTCGTGTGATTTCGTAAAGTACACTTTCTTCTTATGTTGAACGTTAGTTTAAGGACCTTCTGTTAAGTATATTTTTATATCTAGAATACTGTCATAAGTAATTTAAAGGTTCATATGTAAAAATTAAAAATAATAATATAGAAACCAATGTTGCGTAACAATGTTGAAACAGCAAGATCATTTTAAATGAGTAAGAAAATAAGTAGATATCCATTATCCGGTTCTAAGGCGACGCTCACAATGAACGGATCAAATTTAGCTTTAAAAAAAAACAAATTTAACAGTAATATAGTACTTATGGGAAAAATAATACGCTGAAATGTGAACTGAAAAAACAATAAAATCAAATTATGAAAATATGTTTTTGAAATGTACTTATATGGTTACTTATTAGGACGCAAATAATATTAGTTTTTGACTGTATATTACATACAGGCCACATAATATCAGTGTTTGGACATTAGTTCCAAGGTAGATCAGTGAACTCCCTTTGCAGAGGCAACTGTATTATTGTATTTTGGGAATATTAAGTCATATATAACATTTTTCATTCTTATATTATGTTTGCAAAAATAAGTTTATTATTATAAATGTATTGTTGTTTTTTGAACGAACGTATTACTATTGTATTCTATTTTTTTTTTTTATGATATAGTATCTCGTGAATTCTCGTGAATCGAGAAACGTGATTGTATTTACGCGTTTCTTTTAAATTTCGTAAATAAAGTTAAATGTTCGGCTCAGGTTAACGTGATCAACTGCCAGTAAAGTTTATTAAGTAAAGATGATTTGATTATTAATTTTTTTAATTTTTTCAAACAGACTCCGTCTGAAAACTTGGTTAATAGATGGGTGGTAGGAATATCAATACTTCCGCCCGGGTCACAAACCGCCGTCCACAGACGTCAAAGCCGGCAAGCTCAATCGCGTTTCGTTTTCATTCTGTGGATTTCCGAATATCCAAAGCCAAAATAGGTTTGGTATATCATGATATCTGTGGTATATATGTACCAACTGAACGCCTTGCTTGTCTGGCCCCTATCATAAAAAAAAGATGTTAAGACGAAGTGCGAGCACAACTAGTATTAGACATGTATCAAAAGAGACCTTAACAATCTTGCTCATTCTCTCTATAAGGAGATTCGGAACTCCTGTAATAAAGTCTCTCAATACGTTCATTCACAACAATAGCTTAGTGACATACGTCATAGGTACGACAGAGTTACGAACGATGTCTTCCCGTTAAGTGTCCCACACTAACGGTGAGTTCTTACGACGTGTCTTTTAATTTAAATACATTTTAGATATACCGATTGTTACTGCATTTAAATATCTATAGAGGTCTTTACATAACTCCTTTTATATGAACTATTTTAAATCGAGACATTAGTTCGGTCGTCGGGCTCCAGAGGCTAAGATGTGGATTGTAATCATTTTTATCTGCATTATTTTTATTATAAAGGAGGCCGTTCAAAAACCTCCGCGTTATCCACCAGGTTAAATTTTGTACAGTGTATAAATGATCTCTATTCTGGCACAATGATCAATTAATTTAAAAATTTCAGGCCCAACCATATTTCCAGTAGTAGGCAATCTAGTAAATGTATGGTTGAGTTTAAAAAGGTTCAAATGTCACCACCGCGTTTGGCAGAACTGGGCCAAAAAGTATGGGAAGATACTCGGCTTAAGATTGGGTCTAGTTGACGTCGTTATAGTCTTTGGAAAGAAGTATATAAAGGAAGTTCTAGCTCGAGATGTGTTTGATGGGAGGCCAGATGGATATTTCTACACAATGCGCTCATTTGGGAAGAAAATTGGTAAGTGGGATTAATATGCTAAATAGAAAGTGATTTATTTTTAAATCCAATTAATACTTCACGAGGCAATTAAATACATAATGCCAAAATTTTTCCTTAAAATGTTATGGTGTTTCTTAGATATACATTAAAAAGTTCCTACTATGTTTGAAATAAGCTATAAGTCAACAGCGTTTACAATCAAGGTGCACAACTAAATTGCAATCAAAAAACTAAGAATTTATTTGGAAAATTTTACGAAGATGTCAATCACGTCATTTTAGGGATAGTTTTTTCGGACGGTACAACGTGGACGAAGACGCGGCGCGCTGTACTCAAACATCTCAGAAATTTCGGTTACGGCTCGCGATCTATGGAAAACAATATCTGTGAAGAAGTGAAAGCAATAGTGGACTTACGAAAATTGGACGCTGGAAGGCCGGTGGTAGTCAACCACGTGTTCGATGTAGCTATTGTAAATATTATGTGGAAATTGGTTGCCGGGAAAAGGTTATTTTTATAATATTTATTTTGATGCAAATGTTATTTTAAGGCGTTAATCTCATCAGGGTCGACTAGTTTATCTGGCACGTATGTCATGTTCGAAAAATGCGAATAAATTTTCTATAGAAATATTTTTACGTGCTAAAACATGTTATTTCCGAGTTAAACCAAAAAATGACTGCAACCAGTGGCGAAACTATAGGGTGGCAAGTCGGCAAAATGGCCCCACGGCCCCCCCGCCCGAAGGGGCCTGCGGTCAGAGGAAATCTCAATTGTTTGTTAAGCTTCTTTATATATATATTGGGGAAGTGGGAGGGCCCATTCGATGAATTTGCCACGGGCCTCGAACGATATTGTTAGCCACTGACTGCAACAATTCAAAAGCCTAGTAAAAAAACATAATTAGCGGAAAAAATATTATTCACTTAAGTTGCACTGCGTATTATATTGTTTAGTGTTCACTTTTTCAGGTATGATTTAAAAGACAACAAATTAAAACATATCTGCGACCTCATAACGAAGTCTTTTCAACTCGTCGACATGAGTGGTGGAATTTTAACTTTTTTGCCGTTTCTCAGACATATCATGCCGGATTTTATAGGATATTCGGAATTGAAGCTAATTCATCATAACATTTATACGTTTATACAGGTATTTATGTATAGTAGTGTTGCTTTTTTATTCTGTAGAAAAGTAGATCTTATCAAGTTACATTCAAATTAAACTAAATAAACACAAGAGAAATATAATGTATCCACTATATTGTGTAGATTATGTATCAAACAAATGTTGTATATCAAACTGTTTTAACTTGAAGCCAAATTTTTCTATCCTAAGAAATTGTTAATACTTAAACTTATATGTTATAAACGTTGTTCAAATTGATATGCCGCAAAATGTCTGTTTGAAAATTGAAATAAATCTTATGATAACGGTAAAAACGGTCAGGACTGAAGTTATAACTGTACTTTTCCTTATTTGCGCCCTCATTGTGATTTATTTTCTATAAGTACCCTGAAAATGGTATAATTTTATCCGACATAAGATAGAAATTATGTAACTATTGACAAAAGTCGTTAAATATCGATTTCTTAAGAATTCACTATGAGTACGTATTCACGTATTTACAAAATAACATTACATATCTTAATCGTGGTGACGTTTGTCTTAAGTTTGTTATCTGAAGAATTAAATTAATTATAATAAGAGAGGCAATTAATTTTGTTATTTTTAGGAGACTATTAACGAACACCGAGCCACGCTTGACGTCAGCAAACCTAGAGATCTTATTGATGCCTTTTTAATTGATATAATGCAACAAAAAGAAGATTCGTGTATGTATTATTTTATTATCGAGCAGTTAAGGGACATTATAACCAAAATAAAAATTAAATACCCAAGAAGAAAAGTATTTTATAGAACTGTAGTAATTATAACTTTTTCCTTAATCGAAACAAGTAAATATATTGTGTCAAGTTATCTCAATATATAGATAAAGCCGAGCATAACGGTGCACTTTGTGTAGTTTTGGCCATTATTACGTACAGAGAACTAGACAAAAAAAATATTTTTTTTTATCGTCCACACTTATCGCGCCATCAAAATATAATACCTAACAACGTCAAATCCGAGAAATCAACAGTTTCGGTCGTGTTGGGCATAGAAGTCGGTTCAACTATTTGCTTGTAAATAATGAGGAAAACAAATGAAAACACAGTCATTTGTTTTTTTTTGCCCATTTGCAACGTAAAAAAAAAACAAGAATAACAACACAGTACAGGCACCGTAATAGTCAGTCAACCGATAAGACTGGAAGAAAATAATGAACCTGTAATAAAACATATATTACAAGCAGCTAAATTACATATTAACTAGAATATGTAATACAACAGTAATGTAATTACGGATATAGAGACAGGCAATACAGTAGTCCGTATCAACAGGTGTGATGAAATTCAATCAAGTAAATCGGAAATTACCAGCTGTTGTGTTTGAGGCTGTAGTTTGTAGAACAGTATTTTTCTAGTAGAGCTTAAGATGGCTATAATTAAAATTAAGTTCTAATGAGTTTGTTGGTCTTATGATAGTCATGTAGTACTTACAAGTAGCCCGTATAATTTCCGTGGACTGTAAACTTTTGTAAATCATTTACCCCGTCTCGAATATTTTGAGATTTAATTCCTGATAAGAATATCCAAAATTCCGTCACGTAACAATAATGATCGTCCACAGTTGGAAAACCGCGTTTTACCGCGTCAAATCAGAAAATTCCAGTTCGGCTACTCTGCCTCTATTTCTTAACATCCATACCCCATATGGTACAGGATCATTTTAATAATGTATTGTTTGCTTTGATGGCTTTCAGTTACAGAAGAAGAACTACAAGTTATCTGTCGGGATTTATTAGAAGCGGGCGTGGAAACAGTGAGCAATACGGCAGCTTTCATGTTGCTTCATATTGTGCGCAACCCAGATGTCCAAAAACAATTGCAAGATGAAATCGATTCTGCAATCGAGTTATCGCGGTATCCCACCCTCGGAGACAGATCGAGGTAAATGCAGATACATAACTATCTCAATAAAATTTGTTTAATGTTTTTTTTTAACGATACCGGAAAGTATGATTAATTAAAAAAAATTGTAGTCAGTAAGTAATAGTAAAATGACTAAAGAATTATCTATAAGGTCACTTGTGTTTAAAGAAACAACGCTTTACAAAACTAATGTTCTTGTTTCTAGATAGAATGAGATGACTCGTCCTAATACAAATTTATACAAAAGTCTACTTTTATAATAGAATTCACTTGATGGAAGGTAAAATATCCCACCCCTATACCCCACCCTCGACCTTTTTTGGCTTGGATATTTGTCCTTTTCCTTTTGTTAATTTAAATTACTTATATATTATATCCTCGAGTAGTTAAGTAATACAACTTACAGGCAGACTAGACAACGAATGCATATGCTTATAGAAGAAATATTGTTTTTACATTATTATACAAAGAGATGTGTTTCAACAGGATGATATACACCGAGGCAGTGATATTGGAAACTCTAAGGATATCGAGTGTAGCAGCGGTAGGAATACCTCATATGGCACGGGAAGATGCACGGCTGGGTGACTACGTTATAAGAAAGGTACCCTAAATAGATAAGAGAAATTAGCCTTTATTCGTTTTGATAGGTTCAGCTATTTTGAAATTTACCTAAGTTTGTGATAGGTAATTCTAACTTATATACCTACAATAATTTAAAGATTTATTTTATTTTGTCTACAAAACTAAGTACGCATGAAACTTCAAATAATTTATTTAACATTTAAAAAACGAACAAACAAACATCGGTAATCATTCTACTGGATATTTAGTCAATTGGATCCAACACGATGGATCGGTCGAACATGTGAAGAAAAATCGCAAATTAATTTGAAAGAAGTCACATATTTAAATTAAACACTGTAACGATTTAAAACGCGATATATTTTAGTTAAACTCGTTTGAATATTTTTAACTACGGCCCTATGTTTTGAATGCATTGCAGCAGCCGTGGTCATCGGCTGATCACGTAATATATCGCGTTTAAAACCGTTAAAGTGTTTTATTTAAATGTGTACCACTCGCGTAAACTACAGACAGAAATCGTGTATTGAATATATCTTATCGAACATTCTGTGGTCATAACTTCATAAGGATTTTTAAAAAAATATATATTTGACTGTTTCTTGTTAAAATTTTACCTGTACACTTCGAGCTCCTATTTCTTCACTCACTAATATGATAACTAGGTACCATAAAATGCTATCTATAAGTATGAAGTATTAACTTTATCAAGGAAATAATTAACTTTTAAATGAAAACACTGTCATCTATTTCAACAAATACTTTTGTCATCAATTTTTTCAACTACTTCGTCGATGTAATTAGTTTTTTTTAATGCCGATCACAAGATTGTATGTAAGTATGAAAGTTCGGTTTTTTTGCACGAGATGTACACTTCAAGCACAACGAGTACATCTCGTGATACTCAAACACATTTATCTGTTAACTTGTCATTAAAAATAGTCAGCCTTTGACCGATCTAGTACCTAACACCTATGGTTTAAATTCCACTACTATATATATATGTATATGTACGTATATGCGGGAATACCTCAACAGTAGCGTATTAAGTTGAAACAATCTTCTTTTACCTACTCCCACCTGTAGGAGGAAAATAGATGACTGTTAGTTAGTTAGTTATTACGTCAATAAGATATATGTATAATTATATAGAACTGTGAGGAATGTATTCCTAAAAAGGCTATATTTATTTACTTTTTTCCTGCATCAATGAATTTTACGAAACGGATATTATCAATAATATGTCATGCTGATATAATGTATCGGTTAGCACTTCCTCCGATTTTAAATAAACCTTGAAAAGTAACTTTTTATATTTACAATAACAAATTAAGTTATTCAACAGAAAAAAAGTAAGCTCTTAGTAGCTTTTTAGGCCGCGTCATATATAATTATAGGTAATTTCATTTCAATCACTTTTTTCTGAGGCCAAAATCTGGGTTAGTGACAATATGGAATAATCCGGAAAAAATACTCTTAATAAAAAAGAATTCCTCTAAAATCGTTTATTGAATTATTTATAATTGTTATTAGTATCGCAAGCAAACCGCTGATCTATCTGACGATGGCCTATAAAATTTTGTTGTCCCCCGCGAGAATGACGTCAAACAAACAAAATAATAAGTTTGTTTTAATAAACTTATCATTGATACTCGTTGAACTTGTTTTGCTTGCCTTATCGTTAATTATGTAATTGTTTGTCCACAGGGAACATTTTTGCTACTTGCTATTCACGATCTACATAATGGGGCACAATGGAAGAACCCACAAGAATTCAATCCAGCCCGTTTCATTACTACGGAAGGAAATTTAATACAGAGTGACATGCTTATGCCTTTCGGAACAGGTTACATGTTATTATTTGATTAAAGGTATTGAGTAATTAACGCGATACAGATAGTTTCAGTCGGGCACAGAAGTTTGTTTTTTATTAAAGACGAGAACAGATACGCATGAACTTCACTTGATGGAAGTTGAAACACTCCAGCCGTATAACGTCTTAAGATGCACTGTTGGCATATTTTGGTTTTGGATATTCCGAAATTTACGGACTGAAACTGGATCACGAACCGCGGGCAGTGGTTCGGATGAAACTTTGATATTTCTACCCATTCAATATTCAGATTTTTTTCAGATGAAGTCCAACTGGTTTCAAAAGATTATAAATTGATTAGAAACGTTTTGTAACTAGTAGGGATTGACCCGACACGATGATATTGCTTCAACCATTAGACCAACATGCCAGTCAATCTCTGGTCTGATTAACTACTTGCAAGAGAATATGGCCTGTGAAATAAAAACAGACTCCATGCACCAGACAGGAAAAACGATATTATTCACATTGAATAATTGCACAGATTATGTGTTAAAACATTTTCATACATTTCTCATAGATGATTTCGATGTCTTATTTATTAGAATTTAAAAAAGGTTACATATACGGGTAGTGCTTATATATTTGCAACGTGACGTCATTTGAAGCCATCAAAGAACAAGACTTAGTATAATATAATAAATATGTATCACTTATAATTCACCCACACACTACACAAAGAAAATACGTATTATCGCGGTACCACCAAGATATATTATTATTTTTTTTTTGTTAAAAAAACTTTCTTCGTCTAAACTCGATATTTTAGATATTAAATTTTCTGAAACTTACACCTTGTATATGTTTAACTATTTGTTTTAATTCTTGTTTCAGGTAAAAGGCGCTGTATTGGCGAAGGTCTGGCGCGTTCTGAATTATTTTTATTCCTCACGTACATTTTACAAAGCTTCAACTTGAAAATTCCAAACGGGGATCCGATTCCTTCCACGGAGCCTGTGGACGGCGTTTCTTTATCTGCGAAAGAGTTTAGAGTTATTTTTGAACCACGACGATAAATAAACTCAAATGTTAAAGATAAAATGTTGTATACGGTTATAATAAATAAGTATTATCACGTCGTATATATTCAACTGACATATACTGGCTTATATATAATAAGCGATATAAATCGTTAAAATACGTTTATATGTTCATGTTTTCATTAACGTATAGTATACGCGAGTAGTACACATTTAAATAAAACACTTAAACGGTTTAAGCGAAGTTTAAAATCATCAAATAAGTTTACTAATATATCGCGTTTTAAACCGTTAAAGTGTTTTATTTAAACGATATAAATCGTTTAAAAAACGTTTATAAAAAAAAAAAAAACACTTATTTAAACATGTTATTGCACATAATTATGGGATGGATGTCCGCCGATAAAGAAGTAAAAGTTTACAAGTTTATGTTATTACACAGTTTATTAAATAGTAACAAATTGCTACAATCTGTGTATATGTACCAGCTAATATCCGTCATTACTGCACTGATATTTCAACGTGGATTTATTTCAACAACAACATACACGTTTTGTTTCATTAAAGTCGATTAGAGCTTAAAGTTAGTCATTTCAAAATCACGACGAGCCTACTAAACAATCTCACGACTGAACCTTATATATTTAGGCAGATGAAATTGAGATCGTTTTATAATCTTTAAATTGTTTTATATAAACAAAATTATTTAATAATATGTTGGTGATTCAATATCATGTATATATATTATTTTATGTAAAGTTCACATGCCTAGATAATTATGTTTAAATTGCGAAATGGAGCAAGTAGATTGTTACATTGTTACTTTAAAGGAGTGTGTATTCCTAGTGCTTTTTAATTTAATTTTATAATCAATATACTTTAATTCAAGCCAATTTGTAAGTTGTCATTATTGTAGAACTAGTAATATGTGAACTTATTTGATAAAAATATTTAAATAGTGTTTAGATTCTTGACGTTTTAAAGCAGATTTATTAATTAAGTCAAGTTCTAATAACATAACGTAATATTTATCGATTTTAGGTTTATATCTGTATACGTACTTGCTATTTACGACCTATGCTAACACAACGTTCATTGTTAACAAATACATAAGCGTATTGAACAAAAATATATAAAGAGTTACATAATGATTGGTATAATGATATAACTGTATAGCTTGATATTTAGTACAAATAAATATAAACTTCTCTTTTCTCTTCTTTTTCTTCAAAATACTGTTTTTTTTTAAATTTAAAACATAAAAAGTTATTTTATAAGTTTTAGGATGCACGGATATATAATTTATATTACTGTTTAGTTTCAAAAATAAATGTTTAGCTGCCGTTAAAGTTATCAGAGTTTTAACAGAATGTAGCTTGGAAGGTTCAGAGTAATTTTGCAAAATTTCTTTAAAATTGGTCCAGTAGTTTAGGCACAGGATATTATGTCGAGTTTTCAAAAACATCTTAGTATAGCTATAGACGCTTGATTGAATCACAATCATTGATCACGGTGTCAATTGATTTAAGTATTCTTAGTATATATGAAAATTAATGCAAAATATAAATAAATAAAAATGAGGTACTTGTTACATTACTGGAATAGGAAAGAACCAGAATAAGACATCTTTTGAACTTCGATGGCTACGCTTTTCCACTCATCGGTGAAAATCGATTTGCACCGCGCATGCGTCCGCTATTCTAAGTTGCCCAGCTGTCATTTAGAGCCGGTTCGTGTTGATATAAATAATGTAAAAAACAAAAGCCCGTATCAAATAACGACTCTTCTATCTATGCAAATGATTGCATGCTGAGCGTGGGAAATCTTCGCATATAGACAGGAAATGCTAAGTGAAAATAATCTTTCAAAGATACGTTTGAACGATACTAGTTTACATCGATACTAATACAATGCAAAATGGATTTATCGGAAGTGACTGTGTAAAATGAATGAGTTGGGACGCGGGTACGCCCGCATTGAAGCCATGCGTGGAGCAAGAGATCCTATGGGGAGTGTGCCCGAGTCAACACCACCACCACCAGACAAATATAACTCAGTGTATCTTACGCTCTTCATATCCGGTGCAGCGTTCTTACTACCATTTAATAGGTGCGTACTAAGTCTATATTATAGTAAAAAATCTATACTAATTTTATAAGCTGAAAAGTTTGTTTGAACGCTAACTGGAACTTGTCGAAATTTGTGGATAGACCATTTATAGACGAAGACATTAAGCTACATAACATCACGCTGCAACCAATTAAGAAACAGTAGAACATGAACATGAAAATTATTCATTTTTGGCTCCCATTTCGTGCAGTGCAAAAAAAGTTCAAGAATCAAATTAATAAATATTCCTTAAATGATTTACAAATAGTCCCCGACAGAAAATGCCTATCTTTTATAATTAACTCGCAAGAATCGTTTTTATGGTAATTAATTATTTGTAAGTTTTATAAACATAATAATGTTCATCTATAATAACAGAACAACGTTCGTCGGCTCCGATAAAGAAATTTACCTTTGACGAGTTCTTAATAGATATATGATGGGATGTATATGGTATTTTACATTTATTAATACAAAGAAAATGTATATTTAATTGTACTTCCTATTACTACTAAAGAAAGTCGTCTACATAGTTTCAAAAGTGCTTTGAAAAGATATAAGTTTGAATGGATGTACTTAATATACATAGCTAAAGTGTACTACTACTACGAGATTATAATTTAAAAAATCCAAAGTTTAAACATTAGTAGCAACGCATAAAATAATAAGTTATAAATGCCTGGTAAAAATATTTAGCTATGTGCATGGCGAATAATATCTAAGTAATATTGAAACTAGTTTTCAATTTATTAGAGGTATAATTTCTTTGAAATAAAACTCTTACTTAAAATTGTGGAATCTTGGTTTTACTCATAAACCCTGGTCTAAATAAATATATATTACAAAACCGGGACTAAAAATGTACTGCGTTAACTAGGAATTTATAACATTGACAAAGAAAAAAAAGGTGTATACGTAAAAATAGTCGAGTACTCTATTAATGAACTGTTGCAACTGTGTACTAGTAATGTTATTACTTTTTATGTCATAATATTATATTATGCAGCAACGCAACGCAATAAAACATATTTGCGTGGCAATGAAATCCCTATTACGTTGAAAAGGCGTATTTTATTTAAATTTAAATATGGATACTATGCACCATACTAGCCGACTATGTTACCCCCGCCGTCGTTCGTCCCGTCGTTCTTGCAAGTTAATCTTTAAAGGTATATATTTAAAGGTCATATATTGTCGCTAACATTTTTTAGATCGTTTAAAAAAGAATAACCCTTCTTACATATTTTCTTAAACCGTTTTCGCAAAGCACGCAACTGAAACTCTTAAAGATGAATTATTATCCTCCTTGTTCCACATTTGTTTCTCTCTCGATAAATGATCCAACCAACACAAACATATTTTACAAGTTCCTATGACTAGCGCGATTAACAAACAAACTCTACCAATCAATATAGATATAACAATGTTTAATATACTGTACATTATACGTGTTTTATATTTAAAGCTTCATAATGGCGGTAGACTACTTCCAACATCACTATCCAAACTCAACAATAATGTTCGACATGTCTACCGTTTATATCGCCTCTGCCTGTGTCGCTGTTGTCATCAACAATTTGTTACTCGACTTGTTCACGTACAACACGAGAATAACTTTTGGTAAGTATATTAATAACTTACACTTACAGATCTCCAATTTTGAGAGTTGACGAATAAGTGCTTTCACAGCGAGAGACCGATAGGCTATCGAAAAGTCAGCCCAATTAACGATATTCTTATACACCGCCTATTAAAAATAATTAATTTAGTTTTAAAAATCGAAAATAAATTGAAAAAATTTTCGACTCGGGAAGGACTTGCTATTAATTTAAAAAAATTTAATTTATTTTCGATTTTTAAATTATATAGTGCCTTCATTAGTTTTAGTAGTAGAAAATTACAGGATGTATAAAAAATATTTATGTCTTTGATTGTAAAGGCAAGATTTTGAATTAGAATTACTTTGTAAACGACGAAAGCGTTAATTATATGTACCGTATTATTTCTTAAAGTATTCTTTACGAAAAAAGGTCAAAAGGCTAACCTAACCTAACCTAACATATCGTGCAGTTGGACTGTTCTGAAGTACTAGATCCGGGGAAAAACAATAATAAATAGTTTTGGTCGGAAAAAACACAGCATTAACTTGCCCGTAAATAAAATCGAACTGAGGTATCCGTACCATATGGCTGGGTTATTTTACTTCCAATCAGGTGATCCTCATATTTTTCTGTCCTCCTGTATCGTAAAAAAAGAAGATATGTCTGCCCTGCACCTCACGTCAAATATGATTTTATTTTTACTTATAATTTTATATATAATTTAATTTTATAATTTAATTTTATATCTTTTCAGGAATATTATTATCATTGGCAACAATGATATTTGTAGCAGTATGCAACATTGGTTGGGACGGATTCCCTAATAACGTTTCTTACACAATAAACCTGGTGGCTATAGGTGTAGTGGCTTTTGGTTGCACTATTCAACAAGCCTCGTACTATGGGTTCACAGGATGTCTTCCACCGAGATATACCCAGGCCGTCATGGCGGGAGAAAGTAATTATCTTGTTTCGCATTTTTGCTTTATAACAGAAATAATGTGAATGGCGCGAAAAAAACCTATAATTTGTAAAATATGACAATTGACAATTTCGAATTCACTATTCTATAAATCGATTTGGTTATACATTGAACTAATGTTTCCGAATACCTAAAAACCACAGTGTATAAATGAAATGTTACGTCTAAACAGAAAAATATTTAAATACAGATTATACAAAATCATATAATTGTGTAAATTACGTAATTATTTTGATGACATTTACTAGATGATTAATTACATCCTTTAATGCCTTGTGTTTTTATTTTATTTTGGTTCGTGTTCTATAAAAAATCATTTCAGGGTTACCGTATAAAATAAAATTATTACCATTAGCATAGCATCAACAAGAAGCGACTTTTATTCATTCAGTTAAATTGCTATTTCCTGTTTCCAGGCGCTGCTGGTTTCTGGGTATCATTAGATAGAATCATGACGAAGTTTGAGTTTAGTGAACCACAGAGGAGCACGTTTATGTTCTTTACGTTTTCCATCTTAATTTTGCTGGGCCACTCGGTGCTACATCACCTTATGATGCGTCATCCTCTTGTCTTGCATTATCTGAGACTAACGGTCGAGTCACGCCATAGACGTCGCATACAACTACATTTAAATCCCACAGAAGATGCCACCTTAGTAAGTAAATAAAAATAACAATTCTACAATCTGTTCATCGGTACAATTATTTGAAATCAGAACATGCATACAAAAAGACTGACTGCAACGCTAGTTACAATACAAAAAATAAAAAAGAATCCTTTTAAAATTTAAGTGTTAATCGAGTTTCGGTTTATCGAGAGAATCTTATTTTTTTGATGGCTTGGTGCCTAGAAATATGTAAAATTTTAGGAATTGGTTTTAGATGGAAAGTGAAGCTGGAGAAGCTACTTACGGAGTCCTAAAGCTACAAAGTCCAGCTCCATCGAATACAGGAGGTAAATAAAATAAGCCAAATATAATAGCAAAATTCCTGTAAAACTTAATTGCTAATCTATTTTCCGCATGTCAATCTTAATTATACGTGCTTGTATGCAATTCTCCCTTGTGAGGATAATTCTATTGAAGAAACTGAAGTACCGTGGATCTGATGCCCGTTGGGGAATGATTGACGATGCTCTATAAAATTAAAATCTACATTTAAATTAAATTAATAAAGACATCAGTAATCAGTTAAAATTTGTCCTAATTTGAAACACCACACGAAAGAAAAGCGAATTTGTAAGTCTATGCCTTTGGGCAGCAACTTTTAAATAAAACCTCCAATCCAACTCCTGGTGACTTAGTAACTCTATTGGCAATGTAACTGCAGACACCAATGGAACAATAGAATGCTGTCGATCATGGGTTCAAGTCCCGCTTGTAAAACTTTATTTGATCAACTTTTTTATTTTATTTTAGGAGACGGGGATAATGCCTTTAGCTTTGCCAATCCAGTATATTCACCAACGGCTAGCGTTCCGGCACCCCTGGCTTCCCCACCTCCAAGCGTATCTGAACCATCTGCATCTCCATCAGCAGCACTCCAAACACCCCGACCTTCGTATAAAGTCGAAGAGGTCGTCTTCGAACCACCAGAAAGGCCAACCTCATGGAGGAGCTTTAAACGTAAGTTATATATATTATGTATAGTCATGGTTCATTTTAACGTTTATAATCAGCTCTACTTTTGTCTATTGTTGGGAGTCGTAGGTCTGTGATCTGTAGGGCTTAGTGACGATATATTCTGGCGAGCGACGAGAGGTATATTATATTCAATCCGATTTTAGATCGTAATATTTACAAAGCACTTTTTTGGAAATAACTATATCGTTGCAATTCTAAGAAATAATTATAACTAATACACATAAGTAAAGTTAAAATAAATAAAAAAGTTAAAATAGAAAGTCTATTATTACGTATTAGTACTTTTCCAAGTTTCAGTAAATACTGATTTCCAGAAAAATCATTAGAATTTCAGTATGATATTCCTTGCGGTGCTTTCAAACACCAAATGGCTGGGTCATATGCGAAAAACATGAAGATATCAAAAGTCAACTGTTCATTCCTCTTTATTACAACTGACTATAAACATTACGTTAACTTATATTTACCTTAACTGATATATCGTTATTACATATATATACTTAACTGATACATTTCATTTCTTTCTTATTTAACTATTAGTACGTGAAGACTTCAGGATAAAAAATTTGATGTTGAAATGAATGGTGGCGAGTTTACTACAAAACTGGTACAATGTCTCGAATTTAAGTACTTTTATAAATTTTAAATATTAGTTCTAGTTAAAGTTATTTTATTAACACAATATTCACAGTACTTATTATCAGGTACACATTCAAAGCACACATTTACTTCGCCCGGTAAATAAGTTTGTGTGTAAATTATAATTTATCGTTATCCTGTCAGTGAGTATGCATATTTGACTGACATTTCCGCACTATATCAGACAGCCTGTCTCGTACTACGTCTGTACAACTTCTGAACGTGTATTTTCGACATTAAAGAGATAAAACAGTCATATTATATTTGGATTCATAGAATAAATGTATATTAATGTTAACATTGCAAGGTTTATAAAAAAGACATTTTAGTTTATAAAAGTCATTGTTTAATTACAATAAAGATCCTATCAAAACATTATTGGGGTAATTCCCAAAATGTTACATTAATTGGCCAGAACGACAAAGAGATAAACAGTTATACTTAAAAATATGTTCAATACAATATAGGACTTGTATTTACTTAATGATTCCTCGAAATTAGTTTTTTTAAACGTTGACGGGCTCGTTGGTGTTGGTTGGTGGCAATACAAGGCTAATAATCAAAAGGTCGTGGGTTGGATCCCTCCCAGGTACAGACTTTTTAATCAATTTATAATTTAAATAAAACACTTTAACGGTTTAAAACGCGATATATTAGTTGAACTTATTTGAAAATGATTTTTAACTTCGGCCCGACGTTTTGGATGCTTTGCAGCAGCCGTGGTCACGGGGAGACTGTTTGGACGTGGGAAGTGTTTTTTTTAATGTGTACTACTCGCGTAAACTATAGACAGTATTCCATTTATAATTTTTCAGAAACATGTTACACTTCGTCTGAATATCTGGGTATTAAATGGTTCATAGGAATATGGGTATTTCGTGAATTCGTGTGGTAGGTCCGTAGATGAAAAACGCGCACGTTTCGGTTTTCCGAATATCCAAAGCCAAATAGGTCGACAACGACTCGCGTAGATGCTATAGGTTCACTTGACAGTAGATATTTCACCTACTGTCAAGTGAGCCCTGTGCTCGTTTGTCTTCCTCTAGCTTGCCCCAAAGCTAAAATTTGTTATGGCACGATCATGCCGAAGACTTTTTCAAGCATGTCATGTTCATATTATTTTTATCTTTTAGGCAGCGTACAAGCAAGATGGTCAGTAGCCCGCGCCATATATCCTTATATGGTCTCTATCGGTCTAGTCTATTTCACCACACTCAGCCTCTATCCTGGAATTGCGTCTGAGGTGCCTTCGTGTCGCCTGGGATCCTGGATGGCTATCGTTTTGATGTCATCGTTCAATTTCTTCGATTTGATAGGAAAAGTAAGTGAAAGAAACCTAATTACAACTAACAACTCGTCACTATCGTTGTTTTATAGTGGTTGTAGGTATTATTAAGAATCTAACTTTTTACGGAAAATGAGCAACAGAAAACCTGGATACACCGCCTAAAATAAAAAAAAGCCTTATTGTTCAAAAATAATAATAATTTGTCGTTCAAAATAAATCTCTAATATTTTCCATTTGTGTCTTTCACTGAATCAAAACAGCAAGACCAGGCCCGGAAGAAACTGGACTCTAAGTGGATGGTAGGAGCGAAGTTCCGCGGACGGGGAAGCTGTGAAATGTATATTTGCGTTTCGATTTCAGCTACTGAAAAGGATATAAAAACTAGATCTACTCCAATAGATTATTTGACGCCGCTAGAGGCAGAGTAGCCTAACTGCAATTTTATGACTTAAGTTATTTATATTTTTATAGTCTAAAAATGTTAATCTACAAGAGCACAGTGATCGATTATTGTTATCATAATTCTTACACAAATAATAGTACAAATTAATTTTCATGTGACTTACTGCGCATTTTTATTTTCCACCTTATTGAAAATCATGCTTTTTGTTATTAGGCCACTCTACCTCTAAGAGCCTCATTTATGGTCGGAGCATTTTACCTTCCATCAATTGAAACCCCATGCTTATCTATTCTTTCCTGTCATAAAAAACTCTGTATACAGAGTAAACTTGTAATTAATATATCGTAAAACATTTATAGCAGATCATTAAGAGTTATTGCAAAGGCAAAGATAAACTTCGTATTGTTGTCAGGGTACGCTTAGATTTTATCTCAATATATCTCGATCAGTTCCTGTATTGCTGTACTTAGACCCTATACCAAATGACCCATGACATTAGAATGATGAATTCGTTTCATCATTTAGATAAGCGAGTTTATAAAATTTTCTTGTTCTCGATGATGAAAATTTTATAACAATTCTGTCATATATGATGTAAATACAATACTCATTAAATCAGCAGACATCCTGAAACTTTTAAATGACGAAATATACAAATATACAAAACACCCTTAAAGGTTTAACACGCGAAAATCTCAATAAATAAGTTTAACAGATACATTTCGTGTCTTAAACCGATAAAGGTGTTTTATTTACATGTGTAATACTCGAGTAACCTACAGACAGTATGATATACAAACACCTAATCGAACATAAAACTAACTACAAAGTGTCTTTGAAAAAGGCCTTGGTCATGGGATGGTTATCGAGATGTCGTGGATGAGACGTCCTACGTCCGGACCCTAATTTTATTTAATCAAAAATAAATTTAAAATGCACACAGATACAAATTAAGCGCCATTTTACGACTGCATTTTTTTATTACTATTTTAATCGTTAAATAACTTTGTCAATCTGATTAATGTTCATAGATTGCTGCAGCCTGGCCCTATGAGTGGAGTCGAAGCCAGCTTCTAATGGCAAGCGGTCTGCGTTTGCTGTTGGTTCCTTTGCTGCTGCTATGTGCAGCACCCCGACATTCTCCGCATATAGTGGGAGATGTTAGTATTTTTCTTCACTCAAACGTTATCTAACGTAGTCTGTGTAGTAAAACAGACTATGAAAAAAATATAATTATCATATTGTTTTCTCTGTAATGTTCACCTAATTTATATACTAAGAGCATATATTTTGTCTTGCAGATATACCCTATAATGTTTTCTGTGATTCTTGGCTTCTCGAACGGTCTGTTTGGTTCTGTGCCGATGATAATGGCTCCATCTCGCGTCGGGAGGGAACATCGAGAAATCGCTGGTAAGTATGTTTAATAATATATATGTTTAATATAGGTAAGGCGAGGGGGGAGACAAGTATTTGGAAGAATAGGATGTATAAAAGACATTTTCGAGCCGTTTGCAATATTCTTGCTCAATTTCGTATCTACAGATAAATTTGCGCGAGAAGTGCATCCACTAGGTAAAAAAATTCGACGATGACGTGTATACGGTAGCTTAATTAGTTAGAGCAACAGTATTGAGCGGTGTGGTTCAAGTTCCGCTCTCGTCGTAAATTTTTTGCAATGTATAATCGATTTTTTATTTAGATATAAATTGACTAAAATTATTTTTAGGTAATATGATGACTCTCTCATATAACGGAGGATTGCTGTCGGGAACTTTAGTCTCGTATCTATTACTGAATATGCTGGGACCTCCAACTGGATCTCCATGCAGGATATACCCGACACCGCCGCTGCCCACCATTCCGCCTGTTATCACTACTCCGTTTAACATAAGTTATACCGTTTCTCCACATTAAGCTTGTAGATATTTAGATAGTTTAATTAAGGTGATATTAAACTAGGAGGTAAGAGAACACTCAAATCAGGGCCGAGTTACATAATTTGTATTCTATATAGCTTGAGATCTAAACAGAAAGAGAATAACGAATTAACATTTACTCGCTTAATTGTAAATATCTGGTTGTTGTAAGGATTAATGATGTAAATAATTCTGGTATAGACATATCGTTTTTACTGTTCCCGTAAGGCAGTTGTCCTATTGCCGACAGTGAACGAGAAACAAGTAGAAATAAAATATATGAGCAGCGAAAAATGAGATGTAAGCTGAAAGCAAGCGTACCAGTGGCAATTTATATCTCACTCAGAGCTCTACTAGAGAACTCTGAGCAAGTTTTAACCTTCCATGCTAGCATTGCGTAGCTTCTCTAATGATGACACTGATGGACAGAATTATGAAGTTCACTTGATGGAAGGAAATGTTCTATATCAGGATCCTCTGTTGACCAACTTGGTTTTGGACATTCTGTAAGAACATCCTTCACAATAACAAAAAAAACATAGTTAATCGTTCACTTGCCGGCGGTAGCAGAACTGGCATAATAACTCACGTAATTTTTAAGCTATGTAAATATGTAGTACAAACGTACCCCCAGTAATCGAATAGACAAACACTTCTCTTAACACCATGGTCCATATAAAGGAATGCCCATTTCAGGTTTCGATAAAATTTAAAAAGTACGATTTAATTTTGTATTTGTGGACATGCAAATATAGTTACTAGTATAATTGAAATAATTATTGGTCAAATGGCAAAGAAACCAGGACTTTGAGGTTGTAGCCTAAGGCACAATGGAGAATGGATATTACTTTTAAAAGTTAAGGCGTCACTTTCAGCGCTACATATTCGTAGCAAGATCGTAGACATATAGCAAGCGTAGCACTTGTTTTCTACAAATAACCTTCTTTAATATTTTAAGTTTATAGATGTTGTGTTGTTGGTTCCTTTTTTGGAATTTTGACACTGGATGTCCATTGAAGGTATTTATCAGTTTCCAAGGCTTACCTTTTTTTTTCGAAAAAATACAAACATATAAACATCGTAATTGATTACTTTTCATATGTGGGCTGATATTATTTCTTATTTATTAAAATTAAGTAACAATAAAAACATAAGTATTCTTAAAGTACCTTATAATTTGGTTTTGGCATATCTAGTGATAAAGTTTTTATCTATATAAACACATTACTAACGGAACACGAAACATATACGTAAAATTACAATTAGTATTATATAATTGTCCCTCAATCACCCTGTTTACACGTAAAATATTCCAATACTTAGTGTAATATATTATTTTGTTATTTATTTTTATACTGTTATTATAAAGTTAGTAATTAGGCTATTATGTAAATTATATCTTCCTGTCCTATAAAGTGGTTGATTACTTAGTAGATGAGATGAGAATTTGAAGTATAACAATTTAAGCTCAGGGGTATCAGCTAAGTAGCTAACTGCTAATAACAAAATGATAAAGAAGTTAAAAAAAAACATATTGGAGTAACATAAGCCATAACTTTTTATCGTTTTGTCGTTGCTAACCTGACGACGCCCCTAATATTAGTACCAAAGAGATTACCGTCACTCATCCAGGTTTATAGTTGTTACACCTACCGGCTACCGGCTACATACACAACACGCTATCATCGGCTACATACATGACACGCTGTCATTGGCTACATACACGACATGTTTTATTATTTTTATTAGGATGAAGCATTAACCGAATGCGGACTCTGTGTGTAAAAACTGATATAACTATGATGGTGGCGTCTGTGTCCGGAGGCCCACGTGCAGCATTGCTAAGTGTAATTTTCAAACCACAATAAACATATAACCGAAGCACAAACAATATTTTCCAAATTAGTTGATATAAATTAATGTCAAATGGTTTCCATATGTATAATATTTAAATGTCTCACTGCTTATAATAAAATAATATTACAACAACAATATCTTTTTATGATCCAGTGTGGAGTAAGGGCATTAATTTGATTGTCATTGGTACAAGAATATAATAAGGAACGTTACTTAACGTAAGCTACACACTTACGCAAGTGCGTAAGTATGTAGCTTACAAGTAGTTCGTGTCTTTTCTAATCGAAAACCTATCTGAAATCCAATGATAGCAAAACTATCTCAAGAAAGAAACGACACAAAAAATAAAATTATAAGAGAAAATATTATAAAATAAAGAACAATACAAATGATATGTTTTTTACAATTTTTTCTATAATTATACATTATTAGCTGTGACAGCGACTTTGTTCGCATAGAATAGTTATTTTGGGCATCCAAATTCGTTTTTATCCACGACGTCGGTCGCGTCCCTTCCCTTCGTTCTTGCAAATTAACCTTTGAAGATAAGACATATTGTCGCAACTCTTTTTTTAATCATTTAAAAGTAAAGGAATATTCCTATCATACATATTTTTTTGGTATCTTGAACCGTTTTTGCAGCGTACGCCTCGGAAACCCGTAATCGAATAATTCCCATTCCTCTAGCCTCGATAAATGCTCTAACCATCACAAAAATTTCGACGTAATTTTTTAGATTTTTAGCGCGTTCAAAATAAACAGAACTTTTTATACATATATTTTACTTTATATATACTAAGTATAGAGAAGCTAAAAAGTTTGTTTGTTCGAACACGTAGTTTACTTCGCTTCAAATAACGAACAAAATATATGATACCTTAAAATATTGTATACCATTTATGTATGTACTAATCAATTGCGCATAAAAAAAGTAAAAAAATGTTGTTTACATTATACCAATTTAACAACTTGCTCTTGATATAAATTACAACAATAATTGTACAATTAAATATCGTACCAGTTATGCTGTCTACTGTTTTCATTGACAACTATGAAAACGTTTAAGATTGTTGTGCATGGATTTTATGGGCCTATTATCTACTCAAGTACCGGTCGTAACTTCGTTTAATTATTAGTTACGTCGCCGTCAAGCGTCATTATTAATATAATAATTATTATGTTTACTATCGTATTATAATTTACTCGAACCGAGATATCCATATCTTGTTGTTAAGCTTAATATATCGCAAATAAGCAGTTCGCTTCCTAAAATAATTCTTTTTTTGTCTTTGTTTTTAATAGTTTATCTTAATAATTATGTTGCTTAATGAACTTTGCTTCTATCTAACGAAAACAAGTATTAAGGACTTCGCATTATTAAGAAATAATTGTTTCGACGATCGCGACATCTTTCGTTTAGGATTTAGTTTTAGGTATAGCAGGTAATGACAAGATAATTAAATGACTTAAACCGACTAAATGCATTCCGCGGATGTAAAAACGCATTTTTTTTCGTTAGAACCTATTTTTCTTCAATAATCTTACAGCTTTATCTTTTGTTAATTCTTGCTTCAAAGAAGTCAGTTGGTACTTTATTGAGTGAGGTTCATCTTTAATATTTATATCATTTGCTGATACTTGTTCTTTTGTATAATTTAAGATTTAATTTTGGGTACGTACTAAAGTAGACTTTAAGATTGGAAATAATAGATTGTTTCGATCAGGCAAGCCACAGAAATCCCACGAACTACGTGTCCTAAATAAATTAGAAAAGTGGACCACAGCAATAACTCATATTTATAAGGATAACGTGATATTATAAATACTGAAAAGTTCTTTAGCCACGAAGCATCCTGAACGTGTCGAAAGAGTCACCCCGGTTATCTGCATTTTATAATTGGGCGGCAACTTTTACAAAATCACGCGATGGCCATGTACACAGGCTGTGATACCAAGGAAAGTACGCAATAACATTGTACTTAATTAAAGTTATTTGTGCTAATCAGCCACAAATATAGTTATCGCTTAGCGCCGTATGAAGCATCTACAGTTTCGACAACTTGGATAACCATTTCAAACGAATCTAAAAAAAAGATTTAAATAATTGGGATTTATTGATTAATTATATAAGTAAGGTTTTCGACGTTATTTTAATAAGCTACTTTTGATTTATGAATTGTTTGACTTTGGCAATTAAGGAAGTTATTCTCGCGAAACGTCGAGAATATTCCTTAATCTTTGTTAGTTACATCAGCTCATGAGGTCTGAAGTGAAGATTGAACTCATCTATCTCCGCTATGTCCTAGAACGCTCAACATCTTCTCATGACTTTTGCATCGAGTAGTGGCAGTACAATAATGCAAAAAATGTTAAATTGTTAATATTAACTAATAAAATTCAATTTAAAGAATAACTCAAGCTTATTGCACGTCAGTGGCTATTCAATTAATTACAACAAGGTAATTGAATCGTGAGAAAAGCACGTCCTTATTCTACGGGGTGTCTAATGTTAATGACGAGTTCAATAATATTGTTAAATTTCAATATCAATGGGGGATGTAGCCAATGGTTAAAAATAAATTAATACATTAATATTGTCATTAAATAAAGATTAGACCTTTATCGTTTCAGTGATCTTAAGTTATCATTACATTTTTTCCCATTCAGTCCATTCAGACTTTGGAACAAAACTATGGCTACTATATGTATTTGATTGGGCGATCTCTTTCATTGCGGACTATATTGATGATTATTTTTTTAATATAACTTTATCTTTCTGAATACATTAAAGGTATGTCCCAGGACTCTTACATAGGTCTATATTGGTCTATCGACAAAAACTGGCTTTCAATAACCTCATATCTGTTTTAAATAAAATACACCACAGTTAATAAATTATATTTATTATAAAAACATCATTCATCAAGCGTACACAACATAATGACTAGCAGAAGACCCTTGCGCTGTTAGTAACAGCTGTCTAAGCTCAGAGAGACAGTAATTCCAGAAGCTTCTCATGTTCAATCTATCTCTTACGGCGTCGTCGAGATCTGGTCATTTGAGGACTCCACTCCAAACTAAGATCACTGGACGAAGGTGGCGTTTCTGGAAACTGTGCATCTGATGTCCATCTGCATGACACGCAAGCCGGCTTCGGGCTCTCAGCTACCTTTTCTCCAGGACTGCCACCTCCGTAAGACTCCAAGATGTGCTTGTAAGCGCACTCCAAGGGTTCGGGGCTTCGTCCGCGGGCCGCGCACAACCTTAATCGAACACATGCATAACAGTAGCCGCAGGTGTCACTGCGCAAAGAACTTTTCACCATTTTGACGTGTGCTATTAGTAATTGTCCTAAAAAGACTATCACGAGTGTAGACGATACGGTATATTTATGCGCGTCGCGACGAGCGAGTGGTACACAGCTAGGGTCACCAACCATTCTATAATATAAATCGAATCAAAGAAATTTAAAAAAACTTTAAAATTTTTAAACTCTCCCAAATTAAAAGCGTAAGGCAATGAGAAGAAAAACGACGCCACTCCTTTTATCGTCAAGTGTTTGTTAGAAGTATGTACCTTACACACTTAATGTGTACATATTTTTTCGTTGTTAGAGCAGGTGGCTCTTGGAGAAACCACAAGCAGTATTATCATTTAAATATTGATTTACTTTTTAATAAACCTTCTAGCAGTTTTTGTTTAATACACGATTTAAACTTATTACTTGACTCGGGAGTTTATTATAAAACCATATGCCTTGAAGAGAATTACTGGTTTTATGGAGTATTTTCGTCGGCACACTTATTTTAACATTATTAATATAAAGTATTGTACTATATTTCTAATCTGCATACTCGTATCCATTCATAGTACTTAAAAAGATTATATTTTTAACATCAAAATAGAAAAAAAACTTGGTATCTTTTAATTTACAAACGCGCTTGAGTTTAAACTGTTATTAGACTATTTTCTAGGAAATACCATATTTTTGGAAGTGATGCACTCACTTTTTTTCATCGCCGACGAAATGCTGCCAACCCTACAAACAGCACGCGTCTGATGATAACCCCAGCTCGGCGCCGCAAAATGTTACCGACCGCTTAGCTCTTGTCTTAGAACGAAATTATTGCTCATGCTACAAGATTAGGTACCTATTGAGTGCCCCTTGTTACATTGACCTGGTGAATAAATCTATTAAGCTAAGCGGAAAATATCTGGCTCCTCGGTAAGAAGAATCGGCCATAGCCTTAGCATAATCTGGAGACGGAAATAAAATTATGATTTGTCATTGTAAGATAAATCGCTTTAATTTTATGAATGTATACAATTATCTGTACACAAGTTAAGGATAATATTCTCCTTTTATACATTTACGTGCCGAATGGTTTATAATCATATCACCATTTCAATCATATAAACATTTCTACGCTCATCTAAAATTTGATAGTTGTAATAAATTTGTAATCTACAAATTTATTTTAACTACACACTTACCCGTAAAAGAAAAAATAAAGAGACACAAAAATGCGTCTATTTGTTTTTGAAGTTATTGATCGAACTTCAGTTATTTGGAAATTTCTAAAGTAAGTACGTATTTATTATCAATCAATCTTTTACACTCTCGAGTAATCTTAATATCAATCGATCATTTAATTAAAACACTTAACGGCATAACTATTAACTAATATCTCTTTCGCGTTTTAAACCGTTCAAAGGGTTTTATTTAAATACGCTTAAACTACGGACAGTAGTTAATCAATTTTGTATAAAAACTATTTTAGTTATTTAAAAAATCAAGCTGTTTATTAATAAATTTGCCTAAATATAATTAAAAAGTGTACCTATACCAAATTTACATAAATGCATATACTATGTGTGTACTATGGAGATGACATTAGTATTTTATGTGCGATAACGTCAATTTTGTTCTAGATCCTTACCAGTAATCGCCAGATAGACAACCTCATTATAACTGCAGCACATTCAATAGCTGTTATCGTATAAACAAACATTAACTAACACTTTATTATCCCACTCTATTCCCACGAATAAGATTATAAATTCCACAGATAATAATTACTTAATAATATTTAACTCATATAAACATAATTCGCACATTTAATTATCTTAGGTAATCTATTAGTTTGTCTGTTTCTGACATCTACATTAAGCTAGGAAGCGAAACTTTTTGGAAATAATTTTGGATGGTATATTTACCTAATACTTTAGACGTGATAAAAACTAATAAAAAAATATAACTTAGCAACTTTCCAAAATCCAATTTTCTTTTTAATATTTAATGACCAAAATCCAAACAGTCAAAAGCATAGATAATAAGACAAATATTTTTTCTTTAAAAATATCCAAAATCGCCTAAAAATAATTATATTTTTCACAAATTAATGCACATTATTCTAAAAACAATTATATTTACTATTACAAACGATAACATTGATTACAGATCAGATATAGAAGACTTCGATATGTGGACATTTTTCATCCCCATTCATAGACACATCGAACGAATGTGTACGATAATTCTAGAAACTGATTATTATTATGCCCTATGATCCAGAAACATTTGTGATGTCCTTATCAATGAACAGCATGGCATAAACAACTCGCCTTAATGTACACATCTTTCGCCTGCGTCAAAATATACGAAGGAATTTCTATTAAAAACAATATTCGGTAAATACAGACTATATAAATTGTATAATATAATTGACCAACAAAAACTTTATTAAATTTATTAACACAGACTAAGTAATCAATTCTACAAGACCATACAACTCGATAGTAATAAAAACTACCATTGAAAAAACCATTCATTTTTTTTTAAAGTAATTCCTTGGGTTCCAGGAATGACTTGCTTAACGGAAGCGGTCAAAAACGAACAAACGGTCGGTACGAAAGTCATAAGCTAATACCCGTAAGAAAAATAAAATTATCGCAATGAATTAAAACGCAATATCCACTACTGAGGCAGGATTGTGGTAAATCAATGACTCAGTTATCTATAATAATTATTTCATTACTTGTTCAATCAATTAACACTGTATAGGTTTTTAATCTGTTGTAAAACATTGTTAAGAATAGATGCCTTGACCTTAAGGAAGAGGGGCGGATTGGTGAACTTAGTTCCTTAAGCGTGTAAAGACAATATAATAAAAGTTAAAAATCGATTTTTGATTTAAAACAATTTTCGACAGGAGGGGTACTTGAACGGGCATCAGAGCGTTCCGCGCTGTTCCTCCACAAACATTGAGCTACCGTGTCCTAGATGTCATCGTCGATTTCTTTTCAACCCCTTCATACATACACCTCTCGCGTGTCGTAATTTTTTTTTACCAAATCAAAATTATATTTTATTTTTTATAATGTTATCATGTGACATACTGCTTTTTGTTGTAAATGCTAGGATAATTAGCTAGAACACAATATGTGTATACATATTGTGTTCGGCCGTATAAAACCTCGATATCGGAATGTACCATTCGTTTCAAATGTGGTCAAATTTGCCTTAGCAATTGTATGTGTTCTTCTTTTCATAGACACATCAAAATATTAATTGTTTTATAGCTAGGACGTTTTACCTTCCGTCGAGCGTTCTTTTCTATTTTTTTGTTGCACGAACTAATTTCAGACACTTGCGGTCTGATTTCTGCAATTCTTCCAATAAAAAGACGATGGCCGTGTTAGATATATGTATAAAAAATATAAGGTGAATACTATAATGAATTAAACAAATTTCAAAAAAGAGGGATAATTTTACGGTCGGAGAGCTTCTTAACGTTAGATCTAAAATTACGCCTTTTTGCGAAGATATAGATTACGTACACATAATAGTACTTAGTTCTTTTTTTTAAACAATATTCAAAAAAAGAATTGTTGGATTTTTCTATATTATTTTACAAATTGAGTAGGTAGGTACTGTTGGAACATGCGCCTGTGATGTTTCCAATAAACGTCCTATATTTAAAAAAATATTAAGTTTTCAAGCTGATTAAATCAGTTATTTTTTATACAAGCATATTATGATAAGCTCAATAAATTACAGACAAAACCTCTTGATAAGCGGTCATCTACCTATATCTCGTAAAAAAACAATGATTAACACTATTGTATATATAGCATAGGATTGAGTTAATTAATTCATTAATAAGTCATAACAAGTATAAAAGTGATGCCTAAAGGGACTATTTGCATGAACAAAATAATTTACTGTTTTGTGCAGGCAAATAAGAGTAATAAGACTTATCGTAAATAATTACGTTCATTATTGACTTATTATTGATAAAAATGAATAAAGTAAAAAAATAACTGCTTAATTAATAACATATCACCGAGCAATTTAAAAATAATTCTTTATAATTAATGATTACATAATTAGCCAACTGTTGAACCAAAATTCACAAAGATATTCAAGATCCAATTACGATACAGTTCTTTAGTTTATAGGTGGTAAGGTATAGATTTATTGAAGATACATTTGAGAGGCACTTTATTTATAAAATGGGTTAACAACGTTTGTTATAATGACGCGGACCTAACATAAGCTATATAGATTTTATAGAAAGTAAACATGGTAGATTTTACTCTGAACACTGTGATAAAAAAAATCTAAAGACTTTTAAAATACTATATTATTTAGTTAAAATGAAAAAAAAAAGCATATTAAAGATTCGTTTTTAATCCGATTTAGTTGGCAGACGTGTTTAGTCTACCATTTCAACAATTTTTTTAGGACGTAATAACGATTATTAGCAGATTTCAGTATCTCTGCACTTCACTATCGCTTATAAAATTGCCGAAATCACCTTAAGTAACCCTGACTATACCTATTAAAGATAGTGTTATCGAATGAAATTTTATGCAATTAATATGGGATAAATGTTAATTATTACACGATTTTTAATGTATAGGTCAAAGTACAAAGTCGCCACGGACGAAGCGAGGAGCGGCTATCGATAATAATAGTTATACAATGATATAAATAACTACGGCAAACGGATTTTCGCGTTGTGTTTGGATTAAAAATGCCTATTGAATTCCAATTCTTTTATACTATTAGGTTACAAATATAATCTTGTAGCTTGCTTTAGAGTTATAAATTTATATCCTACGTCATATATATATTTAAATACATATTTTAAAGATTAAGAACATATACACAACGGACAAAACATTGGCCAGTACGTTAAGATTTAATAGTTATTAAAAAGATAAAATAAGAATAAGACCAACCACCAACTGTCTCATAAAGTCACACAAGTCTAATAATAAAAAAAACACGATTTAATATTGTAATAACAGTATTAAGTCCAGGTAAAGAAAAATTATAGAAAGAGGTACAAGTTAAAGTTGAAAAATATAAATATATTATAATTTTAATTACAGTAAAATACAAGTTAGCTTATACTAAACTCATCGATTATTTGATTGCTAGTTAAACTATTGCTTAGTGCATCAAAATAGTCGTTTTTGCATAAAACATTTAAGGATTTAAGGTAATGACAAAAGCGATTGTTTCTTTTTGTATTAGAATCTGTTTTAGTTTTCTCCAGTCTGCATATAGTCCTACAGGAAGACCAGTAGTCAAGTGCTAAACCTCTTCTATCCAGCACAATATTTGGATTTAGGTAACTCGTCAATTTATGATGGCGAGATATTATCTTTTCCTGTTCTCTGCAAAAGATTTTTTCATCATATATAATTTTTTTTGTCAAATAAAATAGTATTAAAAATTTTTTTATAGGATTGGATAGGAAAGCATGGCGTTCTCATAATGGATTTGGACATTTAGAAAATCACAGATAACTGAAGCCCACACTTAGCCGCACAGTTAACTTTGACAGCTTTTTCATCATTGGATAGTGTTTCGTAACCCGGACGGAATTTTAATTCCTACCTCCAATTTAACAAACTCACAACCAATTATTAGCCATACATTACAATTATTGGTCAGTACGTTAAGATTTTATAGTTGTACAAATGATTTAATAAGACTTATTTATACCAACTGTCTCATAAAATCAAAGTTATTTTAAAGATGCTAATATTACCTCTCTATGTTGTATCTGGGTAAATCAAATTCTGTTTCACTCCTACAGCTATTTTGTGCAGATCTTAAACTAAGCATAGCAAGTTCACTTGCTATCTCCATACCTAGTTCTTTATTTCTGTCATAACTTTCCATGTTCTCAAATTCATTTATACTTGCACTTGCCTTAGGACACCAAATATTATGCCCAACATCAGCTTGTACTAGATCAGCTTCAGAAATCATATTGACCATATTAGATAGAATTTTAATCTGGTTCTTATTATGGCCATTATGTTCCGAATACATTTCAGGAAGTCTCCAAAATACATTAAACAGATTTGAAGTGGAACCAGGTGCTTCAAGTTTGACATGTTGTAGGATATTTTTCACAGCAGCAGATTGACATGTATCAAGCTTTCCTGCATAGTCATGGTCCGACCAAGATAAGCTTGAGCTTTCATCCTCTATGTTAATGTCAATATCTTGAGACTGTGAATATTCTTTACAACTATACTTGAAGGAACCCATATAAAATTGTAAACAATTAATGGTCTTACGTATATCTCCTTTAAAATAATCTAATAATTCATTTCCAAGGCCTGGAAAGCATGTGTTTGTATCTGCGATACACATGATATCAAGCCATATCCCTAACATCCTAGGAACAAATTTATGCATGTTTATAACTTTTCCATATTGTAAAAACTTTAGCAAGTGTTGGCATGATATAGAACTAGTTATTAAAATTACAGGCCTCTTAGAACTTTGTATCAACTGTGAAACGGCTGCGCAAAAGCCGTCATCTTGATCAAATACAATGTCTGCGTCGTCTATCAATATTAAAGAACTATTCTGTCTTAAACTTTCTTGGCTAGAAGGTTCTTCTAATCCATTATGATCATCATATATATTTTTCCTAGAAGTTTCACATAAGCCGCCTTTAGCTTTCGTGGGTCTCCCACGTTTTTTATATGAATGTGTTTTCAGACTATCTGAAACTTTTTGACTATTATCAGAACTACTCATTCCTCTGTTTACTTTATGAGATCTTGTTGCTTCTTGTAAATCTTGCAACATTATTTTACCTGTCCTTTTACTACTTGCATTGACTTCTATTACTTTAATACCTAGTTCAGTAGCCACTGCATAAACACTAGATGTCTTACCAGAACCTACTTCTCCACAGATTATTAATACATTATTGAAACTTTTTAATGATTCTCTACTATCAGCATCAGAATCCCGCAAGATATCAAAATCAGAATCACTATCTTCATTATGTTTATTTCTCACTAAATTCTCAGTCCATAATTGTAGCCATTTCTTTAATTCATCGATTGCTGTAAAATTTCCAATGATCTGTTTTGCTGAAGTAGGCTTAAATTTATCTGCCCAACATAATTTGTCTACAGAATCAGGTTCAACATTAGCTAAATTGTTTATTATTTCAACACTGTTATCTAAATCTGGATAGTTAAAGTCTCTATTTTCACCTCTACTTTTTGCTTTTAGTAAGTGATAGGTGCGATAAACTGGAAATTTAACATAAGATTGTTTAAGTTTGTGCAAGAGTTCCTCTTTGTTTTTATATGTCAAGGAAATATGTGGTTTTTCTTCTTCACAAGGACTTAACAAGGCCTTAAATAAACCATTATTGATTGTTAAGCAATCACTGGTATTAGATTTATCCATATATGGAAATATTGGTTTATTTCCACTTACTACTTCTGCAACATTTTGTTGTATATGGACAACAGAATAGAAATGATCTATTGTACCTAGACTATTATGCTGTTGGGTTTGAACTTTTTTTAACTTTTCTGGAATACCACTGTGTAGAAATCGCTGTCTAGCTTCCTTCTCTGCTGTACTAAGATTTGAATGCTTGCTAACAAAAATAGGAGCTAATTTAACTGGATTACTAATGTTTGCGTCCTTTTGATTAAATTTTAGTTTTGATGTTTCTTTTTTACTCTCATTACTTACAATCTCCCTTTTTTTATACGTTTTTTTAATATTTCTTTCGTCAATTATTTTCTTGTCCAGATTCAGTCTTGGTTGTTTTTCTAAGGCCTTCTTCTTTTTTGGAGTAAAGATATGAAGATCATCATCAGATTCAAGTTCAGCATCATCAATATACTTTGAGGGTCTCTTTGTTTTTCTTTTAGGTCTTGTTTCTTTTTCATGAACTTCACAATCTGCATTTACAGAATGACGAGTGTTTACTACTTCTTCAATAACATCTTGTTTACATTTTGTAGTGTCAATTATTTCATCTTGGGAATTGTGATTGGTCTCTTTATGGTGTTTTTTTGATGAATTTCCCTTCTTGTGTTTTGTTTTCAATTTCACTTTAATAACCTTTTTATAATCATCATGTAATACTAAATCATTTTCTTCTGTAAGTTTTGGCATAGTTGGAAAGTAGCTCAACATGTTTTCTTTTTTACGAATTGATGGAGATAATTTACTTAAAAATTCTTTATCCTCATCAGACAATTTTTTATTCTGTCTTTTATGAAATGCTTCTGCATCTGACTCTTCAAACATATTACACAATTTCAATGTTTTCTTTACATCAATCAGACAGATGTCATCATCGTTTTCAACCTTGACTGGTTTTTGAACATGTGTTTTGCTTTTCATTTCTGTTTTATCCTGTGTTATCATGGCTTTAAAAGCCTGAGATCTCTTTAATAATTGTTTTGTTATATGTCTATCTCTATACTCTTCTAGTTCTTTATTTTTCAATGAACCTTTTGCCTCGGACATTTTTTGTAAACACAACTTTCTTTTTTGTTTAAGATCTTTCTTTTCTATCATTTCTTCTGTTTCAATAATGGGCTTACATTTACCTGGAGAGTTACTTCCAATGCTTTTGTTTCTGGAATCCATCATTAACTCAAAAACATTAGAATGTGATTTGTCTTGACAACTATCCTCATTTATTACAGATACTTCACATTTATTTGAAGTTTCACATAACCCATTTGAGTTAGTAAGTGCATTACCTTTCCTTTTACCCATGTTGTAAAGTTAAATGATCATCACTTTTGTTTGTGTTTTTCTGGCATTATTTTTCAAAGAAATATTAAAATTCACAATCATTAACAGGCGTTCCTCAAGGTTTACATTTTTTCGTTTAATTGATTTCAAAACAATTACTGTTGTTATATATTTTGATACTACTCTGACTGCTGATTTCTGGAAATAGAGACAGCTTCATTAATAACCTTATTGTATTCATACATTTTGTTAATTATATAGATAAGCTCTTTTAACGACTACTGTAAATATACATAAAAGTAATGGTCATCTTTCACTATGTGTACAAACTTGGATTGAACGTCAATTACTACACTTACTACACAATATTATCAAGCCTCATGCCGCATCTTATTTAATCCAAATGACTTTTGATATAGCACATTGTTTTTGATTGATGTACAGTTTTGAGCTACTTTATTAAATTGTATTATAAATGAAAAGTGAGAAAAACTATTCTCGCCGAAAAGTTTTCTAATATCTATATTCTATAATTATTATTCTACCTGTATATTTACTTATAGTTCACTTCATATTTCATTATCTTTGTGTCATCAATCAAGTTAGGAAACATTAGCACAAATGAGCACAGACATAAATGTTCCATTGACATTAAGGTCCTTTGCCTACTACACCTGTGGTTTTTAGTTAGTCTGACTATTATCTGTAAAGAAATTGTCAATTTTCCAAAGACTTACGTTGTCTGTAAACTGTCATTTGATAATAAAATTCCTTCCTCTTGGGAAGTCGAGGGTCGGATTTAATATAATAATTATTAAAATAAAAGGGTTTTCACCAACTAAAATGTCTTCAAAAGCGCTAGCGGTGCCTCTTATCCGACATGTTACGGTAAACTTTTTATTTATAAATAAAAATCTTTACATTTTACTCATGTCAAACCCTGTTATGTAAATGCTTGATAATGTCTATCGTGCAAAATAATATTTGTCTTCCTTTAGAAACGAGGGTATGCTCAGGCTGCACCAGCTGTAAGAGATGTGCGTGTAAATTCCAATGTATTGTCGAACAAGACATTTGTAGCTGCTGTAGATAATGGCTCACCTGTCACCAGGGTTACTATTGCTTTCAAGTAAGTTTTATAATAATTATCGAATTGCCCGGTCGACTTAAGTACACGGTATAACCATACATTATTTAGGGGTCTTAATAAATTGCATACATTATAGCCCAGTATAATGGTTATTATTATTACTTTTTAATAATTTTTAATGACTGAAACTGCATAGAACAGAGTAGAATATCCCCTGTGAAGGAACTGTAATATAATCCAATTTGAATTTTAGGGCTGGTTCCCGTTATGAACCACAATCTGAATTAGGAGTGGCACACCTTCTTCGCTCATCTGCAGGTCTCAGCACCAGAAATGCAAGTGCTTTTATGATTTCGCGAAAGCTTGCACAAGTTGGGGCTTCCTTCTCTGCATCTGGAGACAGGGAGTTTATCTACTATACTCTTGAGGTACAAAAGTAATTTATTAACTAAAATTCTTATTTGAATTTCCTATATGAGATGAAGCGTGGTCAGGTTTGTGATATGCATAGCTTTGCATGCTAAGTACATAAGGCCTAGGTTTGATGCTGGGGAAATGTGGATGAAATGTTTTCTATGACTCATTTTGGGCACAGATTACAAAGGGCTGGGTCAAAACTGGCTTAGAAATAAATTATTCAAAAAGCTATCCATTATAATTATTTTGTTATATAAAGTGTGTTAGCATGTGTTTCAAAAGTTTTTACAATGCCTTTTTTGTTTTACAGGCAACTCAAGACAATTTGGATGTTGCCCTTGAGTATTTCAACAATATTGTTTCTAACCAGGAATTCAGGCCTTGGGAACTCAGTGACAATATTCCACGAATCAAGTATGAGATTGCCACTCTTGCCCCTCAGGTATGTAAAGTGTAAATATTTCTTATAATCTTATGTTAAGAGAAAGAAGTCATCTTATGCCATTCCATGTGTTCGGAAGGAATCCTTAATTTTATGTTGCATTGAAAAATAATGTTAGTAGGATGGAAAGAACTGACTGAGATAATAAAAATTGTGTCATTTAAATTAACAATGGCACTAATTATGATAAAATATTCTGTTATTCCAGGTGCGCGCCGTAGACCTCCTTCATAGAGGTGCCTATCGCCGTGGTCTTGGCAACTCGCTTTTTGTTTCTCCCAAGAAGATCAATAGCATTGGCTCTGAATCTTTACAGCACTTTGCCAGCTCAACCTTATCAGCATCTCGTTGTGCGGTTGTAGTTGTTGGAAACAATCAGGTAAGTCAATTAGGTCAAAAAGCACATCAGAGATGTGGAAGGGAAGAAGTTTGGGTGTTAGTAATCTTTGTTGTTTTTGGGCTATAAATTTTTTGTAGTATAGTTTTCATTGTAACAAGATTGAAGAAGAGCATTGTTTGCCAAAAATAAAGGGGGCTTTCTTGAGACCATTAATTTATTTTACAATATTCTATGTTTAAAATTACAATAATTGGCAATGTTTATTTTCAAATTAAACAAGCTTTCCCGGAAGTTTCATTATCAGGTGTGTAAAGGTGCAAAGAATTTATGAATACTTAAATAATTGATATGCTTTTTATTTCTGGTTATAATATTCACATGAATACATCAATTACCTAAGCACATAAGGTTTAATAGTAATTTGTTTCTAAGGACAAGGCCAGCATTGTAGCCCAAGCATTACAGCTACCTTCAAGTGGCCAAGCACCAAGTGAAAAATCAACCTATTATGGTGGTGAATTAAGGTATAGCTAATGTTTTTGCCAAAGGTTATTGCTCTAGTTATCGTACAATTGCTTAAATGTTTGATTTGAAAATTGTAGAAAGGAAATGGGTGGTGAATTGGCGCATGTAGCATTGGCAGTACAGGGAGCCCCAGCTGGCTCCAAGCAAAGCATCGCCCTAGCAGTTGCAGCCAAAGGTTTGTCATTTATCAACACTTTATATACTAGTTTACATGAAGATCATACTTGCATTTTACATACATGCTTTTTAAACATTGTTATGTATTTGTATTATAAAATATTAATTATTTTTTATTTCATAGCTATTGGAAGTGGACCAGTAACCAAATGGGGTTCCGATAATTCTCCTATTGCTAAGGCTATTGGCAATGTTGGTCCTTTCGCCGCTGCTGGTTTCAATGTCTCATATTCTGACAATGGACTATTTGGGGTTGTCTTGTCCGTTCCCAAGGATGAAGCAAACAAAGTAAGTTATAATAAAAGTGATAATTATGTATTAAAATTTTTCACCTACATACACCAATTATGGGGTAAGACTGTGTTAAATTGATTGTACTTTTATATCATTGCTTAAATAACAGCATAGAATATTAAAAAAAATCACTTAACAGCTTTGAAAAGTGTTTGTGGAAATGATTATAGGATATTTGATTAGAGATTCTAATGATTTGTTTTATTTTAGGCTGTTAAAAGTGTGGGCCAGTTCTTGAAGAACCCATCTTTATCTTCTGAGGCCATCAAAGCTGGAAAGAATCAACTCAAGCTCCAACTTTTAAGTGAAGCTGACCAAGGTTCAATTCTTGTTGAGTCTCTTGCTGCTCAAGGATTATATACGGGAACAGCAAAATCACCCGTAGAGATGGCTGCTGAGATTGACCAAGTTTCAGACAGTGATGTGTCACAGGTATATTTTATTTTTGAAAACTTTATTAATTTTTACATGTTATTGCATGTGAAGGCACTATATAATTTAAAAATTGAAAACATTTCGACTCGGACAGGACCAATTGAGCTACTGAGTTGGTAGAGCAACAGCACGGAACGCTGACGATGCTGGTTCAAGTCCTGCCCAAGTCGAAATTTTTTTCAATTTATTTTTGATTTTTAAATTAAAAAGGTATATTTTAGTTTTCAATGTTCATCATTGATAAATGTTATGAATCGATTGAACTTCTTCATTGTCACTTATTTTTCTAAGGTTCTGTTCAGGCCATGAGCATACAAAAAAAAAGTTAATTAAATATAGGTATTTTTTCTTATAACTAGTGAATATTATATAGTTTAAATAATGTTATCTGTTACTGAGGCCCTAAAATAAATGTTTATACATTTCTTTTTTAGAAGAATCATAACTAATGGTAATGTTTTGTAACAGAACTTATTTGTCCATATCCATGGATATAATATTAAATAAAATTGTATTTCAGGTACTATCAAATGCTACACGAACCAAGATGTCAATGGGAGCTGCTGGCAACCTAGCATTTGTACCATATGTTGACGAGTTGTAATAATTTGTCATAGATTAAATAGATAAAAATGTACCTTTGAAACTCTTTATTTTAATTTATTGTTAAATTAATAAACATGCAATAGATGTTGAATATTGTTGTTTACTTAATTCTCATACTTCCTCATATCAAAAAATATATATAATTAGTAACTACTGATGTTTATGTCATTGGTGATTAAAAATTCACATTTAGATGTACGTTTTATTGCACTTCTGCTTCTGTAAGTAACATGTTAGGTATACCTTTAGATATCGGAAATCGCCTACCAGACTCTGGACAAACTAAATTACCTTCTTCAATTTCTACTTCCAACAACACTTTGTGAGCTTTTTTCAAAAAATCACTATTTTCTTCAAACTTTGGTTCTATGGTTTGCGGTAGTCCGTCGCTGTGACCAATACTGTCCGCTGCTCTCCACAGAACTTCCCAGTCTAATTTGGGTATTATTCGTGAAATAAATTCTGGGTTAAAGTCTACTTCCGTAACTTTAATGTTTGTAGCGTTGATAGCTAGGGGATAGCCCGTGACTACACCTTTCAAGCACTTTGATGTCAGCATGTTGTGGGTAATTAATTTCATTTTTATTTATGTTCAAAACGACGACAATATTTTTCTGCTATCCAGACGACACAACTTTAAATAATTTTAATTTTGGTCATAATATAATAAATGAAAACATTACCAAAAATGTTAAATGCGTAAGTATTTAAGAATTAAATTATATTTACTATTAAATAACCTTATTTTCCTCTTACATATTCTCAAGTGTTAAGTGTATGTCATGCTAAAGTGTTTGACAAATAAAATATGGACATTGACAATAGACCGTTGAATTGAAACGTTTACGCTTTACGACATCTTCGTGACGTCTAGACCTCTTGTATATATACAGTTATCTAGTCATCTAGTTGATACTGTAAATTTTAACCCCAAAGCAGTTCTTAGAGATAAAATTCAATCGTTTTCATAAAGCAAAATAAAAAATACGTTAAAAATGTCGGAAACACCCACTCACACAGGAAATTTGCAACATTCAGGTAACCAGATAACTGATAACGACTTGCAAGATACTGTAACAAAAAACATTTCCAGCAATGAAAGTTTAAAACCCGTTACTTCGAAAGATTCTTCACCATCTAAAAAGAAAAACGCACGGAAAAGGGCAAAATTAAAGTCGCTTCAAATGCCAAAAGATATATGTGACCAGTCTTTGTTATCAAATCCCAGAGGAAACGATGCTGCTTTATCAACTCCATCCACTTCCTCTGTTATGGAAGTTCAGGAAAGAAATAGTGGCGATGCTCAAAAATTAGCACATTTAGATCAGAGTAATGTTATGTCTAATACAAGTTCAAATTTTAACAAATTGCACATTTCTTCACACCAAATTGCTCAACATGCACAAAGTACTAATTCTGTTCACGATTTTTTCATGAATCAAGTGATTCCACTATATGGCACCGCTAATACCAGATATGCAGAAAATCTTGCTCATCATCCTCAGTTTCAGGTAACACATAATTCAAATATGACACATGTTGGACTTAATTCACCTCAAATGTATCATAATAATTATAGATACACATCAATTGCACCTAATTCGCCATTAGTTCAAGGAAACCTTTTTAATTCTAGTAGTATTCCATTTTCTCCTCTCCCACAGTTAAATATACACTCTCCAAAATATCTACAAAATCTAATGCAACATCCCTTACTGAGCCATCCTTTAAAATCACCAAGCAGTGTTAATAGACATATGTTTTCTGGATCTCCTCACCTGTTTAAGAGAGAAAATGCACAAAATATATCACCAAATAAGAAAAGGTAAACATCTACAACTACAAAAAATTGTAAAAAGTTTGAACAGTATATTTCAAAAGAAGAGGTGGATATTGGTCTTCAAAATAATACATTGATTGAAGGAATTTTAAGAATCAATCCAAAACAGTTCCAACATGCTTACGTTTCAAGCACAGATCGTAGTGAGCAAGATGTCTTTATAGATGGCATTAAGAATAGAAACCGTGCTCTAGAAGGTGATATTGTTATTGTACAGTTACTGGAAGAAAAAGATAATGGTGAAAAAAAGGAAACTGAGAAAGATAATGATGACGTAAAACAAAAAAAAGGAAAAGTGGTCTATATAAAGGAAAGAATACATACCAGAACTTGTATTGGATCTTTAAAGCTGATGCCAGATAAAAATAGGCAGAAGGCCCTCTTTATACCGAGAGACTACAGATTCCCAAGGCTAGATATACCATGTACATTTTGGCCTGATAATTTTTACACTGACTCAGACAAATATGAAAATACATTATTTTCAGCAAAAATTTTGGATTGGTTTGATATACGATTTGCTCTAGGAAAAATAGTTTGCAATATAGGTGAATCAGGGGATATGCAATCGGAAACTAAAGCTATTTTGGCTCAAACAGACGTGGATATTACTCCTTTTGGACCAGAGGTACGTCACTTATTCCCACATTTAGATTATGTCATACCCGAAGAAGAGATTAAGTTAAGGGAAGATTGTCGTAAATTATGTATATTTAGTATTGATCCTAACAATTGTCGTGACATTGATGATGCTGTCTCATGTAGGAAACTTGAAAATGGTAATTTTGAAGTAGGGGTCCATATATCTGATGTGTCCCATTTTTTAACTGAAAATACAATGTTGGATGAAAAGGTGGCTGAAAAAGCTACAACTATTTATATGGTGGAAAAGGCATATCATATGTTACCAGACGAGCTTTGCATGCTTTGTTCTCTATTTCCTGGAGTTGACAAACTAGCATTCTCCGTATTTTGGGAAATATCAGATGATGCTGAAATTTCAAGACCTAGATTTTCAAAATCTGTCATACATTCCTGTTGTCAATTAGCTTATGAGCATGCTCAAGCAATACTTGAGGGCAATATTGACACAGAGCTTAAGTTTCCAGAAATATACAATGGTTTCAAATATTCTCAAATACAAGAGACCATTAAAAACCTAGGAAATATATCATCAATTTTAAGGAGAAGGCGTTTTGAAGGTGGAGCCCTAAGAATCGATCAACCAAAAGTTTCATTCACTTTAAGTCCTTCAAATGGAATGCCAGAATCATTTTGTATCTACAAAAGCAAAGAAAGTCACCAACTGATTGAAGAATTCATGTTGCTAGCAAATATGTCCGTAGCTACTAAAATATATGAGGATTATCCTAAATTAGCATTTTTGAGATGTCATCCAGAACCCAGTGGTTATATGTTAAAACAACTTGCTAAAGCATTAAAACCAATGGGTATTGATTTGGAAATAACATCAGCAGGTGATATCTATCGGTCATTACAGCCCTATGTGGGCCCTACAAGTAATGATAGGGGTAAAGCCATGGTCTTAAGTATGCTGTGTGCTAAGCCTATGGCAAGAGCAAAATACTTTTGTGCTGGTGGATATGTAGAAGATTTTCACCATTATGCTCTAAATGTTCCGCTATATACACATTTTACAAGTCCCATAAGACGTTATGCAGATATCATGGTACACAGGTAAGTTTTGTCATAACAAAGCTCCTTAATACTACCAACTAATGGTTATACAACTAGGTCACACTTCTTTTTGTGTCTCAGTTGGTATTTCACTTGCGTGATGCCAATTAAATGCCAGCAATTAAACTGACTGAAAATTTTCTTAATTGCAGGTTACTATCAGCAAGTTTAAAATACAGAGATGTGCCCAAATGGGAAGTTGACTATGTAAGGCTGGTTGCAGCCCAATGTAATAGGCAAAAGTATAATGCAAAAAGGGCAGGTGAATTATCTACTGAATTATATACACTCAAATATATTGAAATGCACTCACCAGTTTCTACTGAAGCAGTAGTTGTCGAGGTCAGAGAGAAATACATTGACGTTATTATTGTTGCAATGGGGTTGAATAGAAGAATATTGTTCAATAATGTAAGTTACCCTTTTTTAAACTTATCTATACTTCTATACTAATATATAAAGCTGAAGAGTTTGTTTGTTTGTTTGAACGCGCTAATCTCAGGAAGTACGGGTCCGAAGTTCTTTTTGTGTTGGTTAGAGCAACTATTGAGGAAGGTTATAGGCTATAACACATTGCGATGTGACTAATAGGAGCGAAGATACAGCGAGAAATGTGAACAAAACGGGGTAAATTCTTATTCTCTGTAGGTTTCAGATGGGTACGCTGCGAAAACGATACCTAAAAATTGTGTACCAAAGAATGACTCTTTAAATGCTCAAAAAAAAAGTCCGCGATGCTATATTATGTCTATCTTTTAAGATTAACTTGCAAGAACGACCTAAACGACGGGATACGAATATCGTGGGTGTTACCCTCGATATTCGTATCCCGTCGTTCGTATCTACGCTATCGACACTAATATTATAAAGAGGAAAGATTCGTAAAAAGTACTGGACCAATTTTAATAATTCTTTTTTCATTAGGCAGCTATATTATCATTGAGTAAAATAGGCTTAGTACTTGATTACGATAGAAATCTTTAGAAATATCTATTAAAAGCAACGGGAGGTGTAAAAAAATTAGCCATAACACGTCTTTCATGGCATATAGGAAAAAACAAATGTTCGACAATATTATAAAATATATCAATATGTATAAAAAACACCGCGAGACCATATCTCTAACTATTTTACTTACGTCACTATAACTACTTTTTTAAATTTAACAAATTGATAGAAATGCCGGACAAAATCAAACCGTGTGATCCATACCATTTATAATTTTTATTTAAATAAATCTATACTAATATTATAAATGCGAAAGTAACACTGTCTGTCTGTCTGTCTGTCCGGCTTTGACTCCGAACCTGCTGAACTGATTAAAATGAAATTTGGTACACAGATATTTTAGAGCCTGAGAAAGGACATAGGCATATTTTTAATGCCAAATAAGGGTAGATAGGGGATGAAGGTTTGTATGGAAATTCGTGGTTTTTTAAGCTAGAACAATGAAACTTTCTTCTTTGGCTTTTTGGGAATAGGAGTGAGAGTGAGTGTAGGAATGAGAGTGGGAGTTAGAGTAGGAGTGATGTGAGGTGAGAGTGTTGCGGCAATGTAGCATTAAAAAAAAAGATTGGCTGCCTTAAATGCGCCCTTACATAAATTAATAAACAGCCTAAATCATTAAAAATTCTACCCCAAGTCACTATTCCACGCGGACGAAGTTGCGGGCACAGCTAGTAAATATATACACTACATATGCATTCCAAGATATCTCATAGAATTAAAATATTGTTTGACTTATCGAACCAAATTTTCTTTCGTTTCGTAGGATTTCCCTGGTGACTACAATTGCATAAAAAATGACGCCGGTACGAAGTTATCTATAATGGAATTAACTTGGCACGCCACCCAAGGACTTCCAGAAGTCAAACAAAGTATCAGTGTATTTTCTACATTAAAAGTCGAAATGCACAGAGGAGATGACATGGTAAAAATTGAAGTAAGACTTGTAAGACCAGACCATGTGGATCCTACGTTATAGCATAATGACTCCTGTACATAGATGCTAGTATGAATTTTATTTCAAGTCATTCTGGCTGTTTTACCTGTTTTTTTGGGAAAATAATATATTGTTCGTGATTTTAAAATTGTGTGGGTTGCTTTGATGTGGTAAATTGGACATTTGCTCTTAGTTTCTGACATACTGTTGGTTCATCCTAGGTAATTTTTATAAAGTTCAATTAAAAATAGGCTTTTAAATTACAAGTTTTAAAAATATAAATGGCTAAACAATTTCTAGATTTATTCATTAAATTAGTAAACAAAATACAATTAAGTACATATATTTAAATTGTAGTACATATTTTGAAAAATTCGTAATGAAAAGAGTAGAAGTGGGGTATGTTAATGAAGTGACATTTACCTAGCTATAAAACAATAATAAAAATGTGAAATACCTAATTGATCTGCTGTTTTACTACGTATAATTCATTAGCCATTAAATGAAATATATAAGATGAATACACGTTACAATGCAATCTCGTTTAATACTGCACAAAGATAAGATAACGAATTACGTATTGGAATCATCATGTGGGGGGGCGAATATTGTTGACAAGTCTGAATTAAGTAATTTATGGACAAGACATATTGCGAAAATAGTTCGCCGTTGGAAAAAGTTGTGCAGGAGTCGATATTAGGGCCTCTTTGTCGACTTGAACTTGCGCACTGTTATTCACATTATGTACGCTTTTAAAATGTATAAAAAAGATAACGATGAGGCTTTTGTGTGAACTCAGCCCTGAATTTTATTCCTTGACTATCTCTTATAAGGCAATCATAGCAAATATGTTACAAATTATGAAAACTAAATCAGGCCTTTTAAAATGGATATTTTATGCCCTTACGACACTTGCCTGTATTTTATTCAATATTGTTTTATCGTGGATATACGCTGAATAAATATTGTTTTATTAATTATACACTGAGATACATAAATAAAAAATGACATCTTTATATGTATTATATTGAGTATGTTTTAGATTGAATAGGCATGTGTCAATGACAGATTATAATATGTTGACTAAAGTTTTATTCAGCTTTATTTTTGTAATGCTTTTCAATTTTTTTTTTCGGTACCTATCTATCACGTACAAAAGGACATGAAAAATATTATTTTTATAATCATATAGTGCAGAGGTCACTGTCATTGGTTTTTTAAAATAACATTGCATTGTTTAACTATATATTTTTTTTAAATATTAGCATTATGAAACCAGTACAGTATCTGTTGTATTATAAAAAAATGAAAATGTATTTCGATTTTTAAACAAATGAAATAACAAAATATAGTTATTAAAATGCATTGAACATTGAAGTTTTAATTGTTTTGAACATGCTTGTAATTTAGATAATGGGTATTTTAATTATAGTACAAACGGATAATAGTTTATTTGTAATAGTAATTATTAATTTGTATAGCTATTAACTACGATTTTTTATATATAAAAACGATAACTATTGAAATTAACTAAACTTTTTACTTGATCGGCAAGGCGGTCTTTCGTTTGTCTGAATTGTCGTGACGTGACGTCACTGTACACATGAACTAAATGCTTTTTTTTTTTTGATTGGGCTCTTACGTATTGTGTTCCTAAGGAGCCACGAATACTAACCGGGCGTTTTGGGCGAGCGCGATAGCGCTCGCCGTGTTTGCGGCTAGACCAAGGGTGCCCCTCGCCTACGCCGGCGTAGGCGGTTTTGCGGGCGATCGGCACAAAACTAAATGCATTCTGACGCTTTTGGATGACATTTTGATCAAATACAGCCGTAGGAAAGTTGACTACAACTAGATACGACAATAATGTTTTTTTTCCTAAGTTGCAGTATTCGATTCTATTCAATTATAAATCTTCTGACCCAATCGAAATCGCTCCTCAATAGTATATTATCCTGAAGCGACCCAATAAAAGCATTACGACAGATACTCAATATAAGTTATAAACGCTTTAAAATGACGTCCTTATACATTACATCAGGCAAATGTAAATCTACCTAGTCTTTAGGAAGAATAAATCATAATACATCGTTAGACACATTTACATTCGCAGTCGTCTCCAAATTACTTCACTGTTCAGACTTGCTAAACAATACAAAAAAAATATTCGTCCAAGTCATGTTCACTGTGCTACTGTGACAATTGACAAAACTTAAGTCTGTTGTCATAGATTTATTTATTATTGTAACTGATTGTAAGTTGTAACGTATACAATCAAAATTAAAGTTTCGTTATTGGTATATATTAGTTGGTTAATTATGAATATAATGGACAATTTATTCAATGTACTCAAAAGTGACGATTTTAATACTCTACCGCATCTCATGAAGGGGCTTAACACATTATTTGAAGCAGTAGAGGCAAACCAATCTGGACCTTTGAAAGCTGATCTCTTGGACCCACAATTTTTGTCTGAATTAGAAAGTGTTCCTGAGAATGTGGACATTAGCTTTGGAAAATCGCTAACAGATATTAAATGCTTGATAAGGGATGAAAATCTAAGAGTTCATGAGGTATACTTAAAATATGATGGTATAAAAAGAATAAGGATTATTTCTGTTAATATACCATTTGCACCATTTCTGGAATATATTTACAGTACCGTAGAAGAAGTCATTGTAGCTTATTTAAAGCATGTTATAACACTACAAAGTTACTTTTATGAACTTGAAAATATTGATAATAATTGTGTAGTAGTGGAGCCCATTAAGCCGACTTTCAAGGATGATTATAGAAATATTAGAATCGGTTTGTTTTTTGCGATTGTTACTTAATTTGACATTTCTTTTATAGATTTTAGGAGACGCCGTAGTTTCCATATTCAATATTATTTATTTAATTAGCTGTTTTAATAATTGCACTGTTTTGACACATAGACGATAAAACATGGCTACATGTGGAGATTACACCTGATGGATATCCAACTAATATTCATTTAATAGGACAGTCAGAAACTTGGCAAGATAAATTACAAGCTGGTGTTTTAAATTGGGACCATGACAAAAATATTGTTGAAAATGTTATGTCCATATTTGGTCAGTATTTACAATAAAAAACTATTTGTTTCTTAATTTTTCACTCCTACTTATCTTTGAAATTTACAGATTTTGATAAATCAATGCTTTTATCTAAAGGGAATACAAATAAACTTGATCATGAAGATACTCAAATGGATGATGGGATACTATGTGGTATATGCTTCTGTTCAGAACTTCCAAATAGTCCAGGGGTGCCACAACCATTATGTCAAAATTCTAACTGCAATGTGTATTTTCATCAAAATTGTTTATTTCAGGTATTGAAAACTTTATTACTATTTTATTAGTTTATCAGGCATCAAGAACCATGTCATCTAAATTTTAACACAACAGCTGATTTCAATATGTGGTTTCTCAAGAATGCCCAATTTTTTGTTTTCCCCAGACCTTTACTTGTGTGTTATTGATGTGGTTTGTATCCTTTACTGATTTGGCCCACCTTTGTGAGGTACACATCCTTCATCGCTCAATTCTGAATCCTCATTGATTTTCGTCTTTACAGTGGTTGGTTGCATGTGAAGGAGGGCGTCCACCAGCATTTGGTGTCATTAATGGCAGTTGTCCAACATGTCTTCAACCAATCTCTTGCAGCAAAAAAGATTGTGTCATTTAGTTAATAAAAGTTTAGAATATTATTCTTTTTGTTATTACAAGTCAACTTTAAATTATTTCTGCATTTGAAATATTAGGATTTTTAAAATTTTAGAATTCACTGTCTGATCTTACAAAAAATAATTATTATTAAACTCTAAAATATTCTTCAAAACTCAAGACTCAATTAGTAAATTATTTTTTAGTTAGCAGCCTGGTGGATAAAAAAAAACATTCTGATTGCATTTACTTTTTTAATATAATCAAAAATTACGTAGACATATTTTGTGGTTACATAGATTATTTTGTATAAACAATTCAGCAATTATTGCTTGCACCACCTTAGGTGGTTCCCAATTGGTGATGGGTCATTTTCCTCAATGACTATTCTTATGGCATTTAAACCATATCAAAATTTGCTTTGAGGAAATTAACAAGAACATATTATTCTGGAAGTAAATGCATTATTATTACTAGAGCTTTTTTACAAAGATTGTGAGTTCTGGGGGGGTATGATTTTAAAATTGCCATGTAAAAGTAAAAAGTAATATGTCAACTACTTATGGGGAGGTAATTTATCACAAGGGGACTGTGTCAAAAGCACGATTAAGGCTTGTACTAGACCCTGGAGCTTCGCCACCTTGTGGACCTGTATCACGACCAGTATTCTGAAAAAAAAATGTATGTTTCCTCAGAATGAACAATCGCAGTGTTTTAAACCACAGAATCACTGCCATACAACATTAGATTTGTGTGGTGTTTATACAATATCAATTTTTTTTGTTTTGTAATATATAACAACAACAACAAATATTATATAAATAGTAATAGCTTATAAATATATCATAATGTACAGACAGGTACATTTCAGTCCCCTCCTTAGGTGAAACAATTTGGTTAGAAATGTAGAAATGTCTTAGTTTCTATGTATTATTTTTTTTCTGAGTTTCAACAAATTGTGCCCTGGAAACTGATATCTTTAATGAAAGTAAGAGGAACAGTTATTTACCTTGACATGTATTTGATTTTTTATCATGGCAGCTCGTAGAATCAACATAGAGGTCCTTCGTTGGTACTCTTTACCCATCCCTAAACTTTTCTCAAAGGTGGTACTCCTCTGATCTACATCTTTAGCATATAAAATTTTATTATGCGAGTCAATTCGTGCTTGAATTTGACCATCAAGTATTAACTGCATCAACTCATCTTCAAGAGCATTAACAGTCCGGTTAAAGGCGGCAGCCATTAATCGCATATCAGCTGACAGGTATGGACTAAAGTATTGAATTAAAGCCCTGTTTCGTATTTGCATGTAAAGACAATTTAGGTGTGGTGCTAAATACATATCTAAGAGCAAGTTGTCTCTTATCTCATCTAATAATCTTAAGCAGGAAGCATATTTAGATTCATAGAACTTAAAAATTATGTCACGCAACTGTGGTTCAAGTTCTAAAAATAATTTAAAAGAACTACTAACTATAACTTGCTTTTGCAACTCGGAACGATCAAAAGTAGCAAGTGCACATAGTCCCCCATAGACAGCCACATTGTTGCTACTTAGTAGTTCTGGATAATCACAGTGATCGATACTTGCTCCTAAAAAGTGTTTTGCGGCCGACTTATATTTCTTTGTAGCTAATTCTGCCAGTCCTGCAGCACATTTGAGGCGGGTAAGTACAGCCTGGTTGGAGTCCTTCCCAGGAATTTCATGAAAGTCAGGAGTACTCTCTGCTTTAGAGACATAGTTGAGAACATGAGCCCAGTTTTGCAAATACACTGACACTTTAACTACATTGAGGCACATCATGATTACATGTTTACCACTTGTACAATAATCTCTTGCTCTGGAATAACATTTTAATGCACTCGTCAAATCTCCACAATCAAGGTAATGATCACCCAAGTCATCATGTCCTCTTCTAATGCTCTCTTTAATAGAATTGGTTTTGTAATTTTTTAAGTCTGTATCTAGCTTCTCCAACTTTATTGCAGCCTTTTTGGTTTTTGACTCGACCCACATACTGTCAAGAACAGGAATATCCTGAGATCCCATTTGAACAGCGACATCAGGTAACCCAGATGTTGCAATTGCTTCAGCAAGTTTCTTGTGTAATGATTGGTAAAGACTTACGTTATAAGTTGTCATAACATACGATATAGCCATTTTTAAGGCCTCCAATCTGAGGGATGGACAATGGTCTGCTACAAATGTTAATCTATACAGCTTGGCAAAACCAGTGTATGAGGCAGCATAGGTTTCTAAATCCAACGTTGGATTTTCGACCACATAGCACTCTGTCTCATTGTTTTCATTGTCTTCGAGTGGAACGTCCACTTGCATAGGTTCCGCCGTATTCTAAAATGTTAACCGACATTGATTCAATAACAGATATTATACAAATAATTGGAAAAGAACAACATGCATATAAACTTACCAGGTCAAACATTTTAATTCTTGTAAATTCTTATTGAACTAATGAAAATACGCGAATTCCGCTGTCAACGTAGGAAACCAACCTAGAACATGCCTATATTTATTACTCATAAACTGGATTACAGAGGCATCAGTTTTGAAATTTAAATAGTTACTTTTATTTGCTGTGTTGTTATGCCTTTTTAGTACGCTACTACAAATTAATATCAAAATACCTTTATCATTACGTTTCTTTTTCGCAGCGGCATTTTTTTTTGACGGTGACAAGAATGTTGCCTATGTTAAAAATCTATCGTAACGTTATTTATTTGACTGCATTGATTACCATACTAAAAAATCGAAATGGTTTAAAATACACCAAAACAGCATTATCGTATTATAAAAGTCATAGTTGTCTTTAAAAATCAGACGTTGAAAAATCCAAAGCTCAAACGATTCTTAGATAAAATCTTAAGCTAACAATAGACATAAAATATTGAAGATGTTTACAACTTACCCTTGGTCGGATCCAGATGGCAGTGTCGAAAATATATTGTATTTCTTTATTATATAGAAAAATAAAAACGAAATACAAAATCAGCTCCTAGCAAGTGTAATGAAGACTTTTATAATAATTAATGCAACATTTTTTACATACATCGAGCTAATTTTATAAGTCAATTGAAAACGCGAATCCCTGCAAAAAATTAATAACCGCATAATCACCCATATTTGGTCAAGTGACATTTCTTTAAAACATTTATAGAGGGATAACAGCTGGAAATGAAATATGTTAGCACCATACACATTCGGGTATAATTCCATAATCTAAAAACTAAAAACAAAACGAGTCGTTACGCATGCGCGGTAGTGCTATAACTACCGATATAGTTAATAGATTTTGCCAGTACGTCCTCAACAAGCAAAGATTAATAATTCCTTCTTAATAAACATGGATAATACATTTAAAATTTATTAGTATCTAGTTTATTATTATTAATAATGGTAGTAGGTATAAAGATACACATTTTGGTGTTCCCTACTTTTTGTCTAACCTACAGTCCATCAATAGATAAAAATGTTTTGGTAGTCATACTTAATATTAATTATATTTCTTGGTTAAAAGCATATTAAATGGCTCAGGATTGGCTAGTGGAGGCAATCGTAAAGCAAGTGCAAATAGCAGAATCAGGATGCTGGTGAAGGTATGGTGATCTTTTATTAGTAAGTATGCTTTATTTTCTTTTTGCAGTCGTTTGTTCACACTTTTATTTTTTTGCATTCTTTAAGTCATTATAAGGATGTTATCGTTATTAAATTATTATTTCTAAACATTCTTTTTACATGGCACCTCCTGTAGTACGAATGTACGTATCTTTGGACTTAAGAACTTGAATACATAAAATGTTTTAGTAGAGAACAAAAAGACGCCCACAGACGCACATGTATAGTGTCAAATAAATAATGTTAATATCTAGGTATATTGTTTTTGAATCCCGTACGAACGACTTTTAGTTTATAACTTATTGAAAATCCTTTTACGCACTGAGTGTGGGACTCCAACCAAACTGACCCTTCTGTTGGCGAGACCTGCTCTACCATAGAGTAAGGTGATACCCACGAAACATCTCAACTGGCCGAACACCAAATATTTAGTTTTTAGTTCTTAAGAAGATGAAACTTCCTTTTTCTCTAGAATAACTCTCCTAGCCCTAAATCAATCCGTAATTGTCTAACCGAAGTTTCGGCTTTGCCATCTGCTAAACATTAACCAGCGGTTAGAGTTTTGACATAATAAACTATAGACATAGTTTCCCGCCAAAAATCATAAAATTCACGATAAAGCACATAGATTCTTATATGTGGTATCATCAGGGCAAACGAAAGGGCATAGTGCCCATAAAAACGAGGCTATCACAGCAACATAAACGTAAAAGTTGAAAATCAGATTAATATTGCGCGTTGTTCGCTCTAATGTTGTTGATTTTGGAAATAAAAGGCATTGTATACCGAATCAAACATCGGCCTGTGACTAATACAAGCTAGGATACAGCGAGAGATGAGAAAAAAAGATAGGAAAATTATTTATCATTATGGGTTTCCGAGGCGTACGCTGCAAAAACGGTTCAAGATACACAAAAAATATTATGTATTAAAGAATGATTCCTCTTTAAATTATCGACAAAAAAGTCCGCGACGCTAAATGTCTATCTTATAAGATTAATTTTCAAGAACGACGGGAAGGGACGCGGCCGAAGTCGTGAGTAACGGCTGAAGTTTATAAAAATGAAGGGGCTTGCAAAAATTAATTTGGATGCCCAAAATAATTATTCTCGCGAAGTCACAGCTAGTTATTTATAAAACTTAACTATTCAACACAGACGAAGTCATGGGCTCAGCTAGAACAAGATAAACTTGGACTTAAGAAAATATAAACCTAAATACTTCGCGGGTACACATTTAAATAAAACACTTTAAGGTTTAAAACGCGAATATTAGTTAAACTTATTTGGAAAGATTTTTAACTTCGGCCCGACGTTTCGGATGCTTTGCAGCAGCCGTGGTCACGGGGAGACTAAAGCGTTAATTAATATATCGTTTTAAACCGTTAAAGTGTTTTATTTAAATATAACCTCGCAAAAGAATATTATCTCGTAAAGATAATCAAAACACTTATCTGCCGTGATATCTACATGTAAAACATGAAGTTTGCGAAAGATAATATTATCGTAAGGCTAAAACATATTATTATACAACATGTTCTATTGTTAGTACGCCTCTGTTTCAACTTCGTTGCACTATTCTTGTGCGGAATGTTATTTATATTCAGTTACAATATCGTCCCTTAGCCTAATGCTTGTCACGTATAGGTTAACGCGTGATATAATTATTTGTGTCGCGAACGACTTATCTAGTGTTATTTTTATATGGTTTGTATGAAATTTTATATACCCCAGAAAAGAGTGAATTTTAATTCAAGAAGATTTCATGTTAAATAAATAAATAAAACGCTATTTATCATGCAAAATAGTATATTATAACATCCGCTCTTTTGGAAGTGTTGAAGAAATTATTATTTATTTTGCAATTGACGACTACATATTTTTTTTTGTATCACCTAAAAATATCTGAAAAGTTTCTATTCGTGTGTAATTTTTTGACATGTAATAAATTAAATGACAGAATTAAATTGACGTATAAAATCACCAGCCAGTACGGTAGATGTATCCTTTCTTACTTACAGTTTGGTTGGTGACAACCCAAACAGCTGGATAGAAATGTTTACAATAAAAGGAGTGTTCTTGGCGGCGTATCTGTTGTATTGCGTAGACGCAATAACAATGACAGCCGAAGAGAAACTGAACGTGAGACCAATAGTAGGAGTTCTATCCCAGGAGCAGTCCAAACATCTTCAGTCGAAGTTTCCCAAAGAGAACTATACGAGTTATATTGGGGCTTCGTATGTGAAGCACGTGGAAGCCGCTGGTGCAAGAGTCGTGCCGATATTGTAAGCATATATTTATATTTATATACTAATATACTATGTGTCAGCGACTTCGTCTGCGAGAATCGCAATTTTGGGCATCCAAATTCATTATGTTATACGAATATTTTGGTTGTTTAACCGTTTTCGCAGCGTACGCATCGGAAGCCCACAGATGAATAACTTCCCCCGCTTTTTCCGCACATTTCTTTGTGTTTTTTAGCTCTTATTAGTGACGGCGCGATGTCTCATAGCATATAACCTCCCTCGATAAATGCTCTAACCAACACAAAGAGAATATTTCGATTCGAACGAATAGTTCTCGAGATTAGCGCGTTCAAAAACAAACAAACTCTTCGTTGATGTTATTGAAAACATATGTATGTTTTTAATAACATACACGTACTACGTGACACTTACATTAAATTTTAAAATAAACTTTGTATATTTTCAAATTACAGGATTGGAAAAAGTCGTGATTACTACAAAGATTTGATGAAGAAAATTAATGGGTGAGTATTAACAGAGATGATATTATATACCTTGTTGTAAATAAAACACTTTAACGGTTTAAAATGCGAAATGTATTAGATACACCTATTATTGAAATAGCGGCCCGGCGTTTAAAACCGTTAGAGTGTTGTATTTAAATGAGTACTAAGTAGGTACTGGCGTAAGCTACAGACGATGTTTATATAAGTTAATAATATTTAAGAGTGAAATCCCATTTGTGTGACACGAGGCAGACATATCTTTACGTCCGTTTCACTGATAGCCTTTATTCACAGGCTGATCAAAGTTACGGTCGTCGGAACCTATTATACGAATTTCTGAAATAAACGCGTTGCTAGGCAACCGGGTTGACTGTTTAATAGCGTTCATAATATATCTTACCATTCTTGATTTCAGTGTATTCCTGCCAGGTGGCGCCACTTTCTTCAACCAGTCGAACGGATTCGCTGATGCTGGACAGCATATCTACGAGATCGCACAAGAAATGAACAATGAAGGCGATTACTTCCCAATTTTCGGGACATGCCTCGGCTTTGAACTACTTATTATACTAGCTTCCGGGCGCGGGGAGAAAGAGAACAGAGTGGGATGTTTTTCATTTAGAAATCTGTCCCTTAACTTTACTAGCGGTAAGTAAATAGTGCATTGTAAATACTGTCTGTAGTTTACGCGAGTAGTACACATTTAAATAACACACTTTAACGGTTTAAAACGCGATATATATTAGGTAAACTTATTTGTAAATAACTTTAACCACGGCCCGAAGTTTCCGATGCTTAGCAGCAGCCGTGGTCACGGGGAGACCGTTTAAATGTGTACTGCTCGCGTAAACTGCAGATAGTATTCAAAGTAGTTTATTAAAGTTTAGTGAAAAAATCGATGACACAGGCTAGACTCGAATCTACGACCAACTGTAAACCTTCCTTCATCTACTAATTCAAACATAACGATGAAAAATATATCCAGGAAATAAGAAAAAAATGAGCACAGTTCAATGACCATGCATACTTCATGGGTTATAGGCAATTAAACATAATAATAAACTGTGACTCTTTGCCAGTAGAGATATGTTATCAGCCATTTTTGTTTACAAGCCCATAATGAGTTCATTACACACTCAATTAACTTGACCTTATAATGTGCTCCAAATAATCGTAGTGATCATCTTGTCTACCTAATATTATTTTTAGTAAGATAAAATATATTTAGAGGCAAAGGAAATTGAAAAACTGGTTAACATATAATAGTTTCATATCTACATCTATGAAACTTCATATAGTAAGCTTATAAGAACGCTAGTTTTCATAACATTAATTTAAATATTTTCCGATTCTATCCGATCTTTATAAAATATGAAATTCAAAAACAGTAAACTTTTGGGTTATAAATATATTAGTTACGTTCAAACTCTGTTGCTATAAATTATTGGCAGGAGTTATAAAAATATAGCAATTTATTTAAGAATATCTCTTTCTTATTGAGTTCTCGCTCATGAGTCTTAAACCGTAATTAGTCAACATTCTGCCTGATTAATCCATTTCAGATTTCCGTAGCAGCAAAATGTTTAAAGACGTACCCGAGGAGTTGGTGAAAATCCTCGCTGATGAAGAAGTGACCGTTAACGCTCATCAGTTTTGTATTGTCGATGAAGTAAGTTCTACGATATACTTAAAATAAATTATATATGAACCCTTTCAGGTGGGTATACATTTTGCTGTTAAAATATCTGCACTACAGGCACGGATGGTTAGGGTTGAACGAAGTGTAGAGGGGATAGTTGCGCACGTAATTGATTGGGAAACGTGACTGTACTCGAGAAGCAAGCGGAGCGTCGTATTGGTCCGAGACACAACATACAAGACAACACGACTTGGGAACCAATCGACGCTAGCGCACATGACGTTTACTCGCCGCGCGCCCGCTTCCGTCCCTTCGTTACCTTATTTTTGACTTCTGCGCAGGATTCGTTCAGCGCTAAAGATCCGTGCCGCTACTTATAGATGGCAATAAAAACATAAACAGTTTGAGAAAAGAATTTGGCAAATTTGCTATATGTTGCGGCGGCATTGGATCTTATATATAATATTGCTCAAGATATCAATATGTCGTCGTTTAAAGTTCTTATAATAATATCTCTTCCTTCTTATAATAATATTTCTCGTTCATTTCTTTTCAAATCAACTCAACGCAATGTCTCGTCGTTCATCTTTTTATAAGCAGTTCTTAAACGTGTACTTGTATTTAAATTCCGAAGTGGAGGTTTATAATCATTTATTATATTTTCAGAATCTGAAATCGCACAATCTAACAAAAGACTGGCGAGTGACGTCATACAGTAAAGATGACAATGGCACGTCGTTTATAGCGACGATTGAGAACACCAGGTGAAAAAATAGGTGAAACTTAGCATCGACCATTTTTTTATTAGATTCAATGAATTGATGATTCATTGCTTTATTAACACTCGTGGCGCATCCATGGCATTATGGTTACACCCACAGTTTAGAATTGAGGTAATTGCCATTGGCCCTGGGTTCGACCCCTAGGTAAGGTAAAGCGAAGTAGATTTAAATTTTGATAGATTAGATACAAGACTTATGTTGATTCAAAACAATGGTTGCCTTTTAAATAAAACACTTTAACGGTTTAAAACGCGATATATTAGTTAAACTTATTTGAAAATGATTTTTACTTCGGTCCGACGTGACTTCGGCGAAACTGGCCGGGTCCTTGCAGAAATACCAACTTCGACGGAACAGATGGCGCTAGCGTAGCAATTTTTTATACTTTGACGTCAGAGACATCCTCCATCTTTAGTCTCCCCTTGACCACGGCTGCTGTAAAGCATCTGAAACGTCGGGCCGAAGTTAAAAATCATTTTGCAAATAGGTTTAACTGATATATCGCGTTTTAAACCGTTAAAGTGTTTTATTTAAATGTGTACTACTCGCGTAAACTATAGACAATATTTAAATGGTTGTCTTATATAAATCCTGACATATATGGAGAAGCAACGGAAAATTAAATGTCTATATATACTATAATTTCAATGAGAAGTTTCCCCCCGTGGGGCATGGTGCGAACATATTTGTGTACGTTTCACTTATCGGTTATTTTACAGGCAAGTAGACTACTGTGCCCTGTCTGACTGAAATTCGAATCGATTGGGAAAACATGATTCGATGTTCGAATCATGTTTTCCCATGATTCGAACCCAGGACCTCTCGCGCTTAATGCAATTCTAGGCAACATGATTAACAATTTGGCTATACCTAAAAAACAAAATCTAAAAAATGTTTCAGATATCCATTTTATGGAGTTCAATTTCACCCTGAAAAGAGTGCGTACGAGTGGAAAGCGTCCAAAAGCTATCCTCACACGAACAATGCTATCAGATCGAACCGTTACTTCCTGGACTTCTTCGTCGGAGAGTGTAGGAAGAACCGTCACTCCTTTGCCAGTGTCGAAGAGGAGAATAAGTATTTGATTTATAACTATCCCCCGGTTTTTACGGGCGCACTTGGCAGTGCGTATCAACAGTGCTATTTCTTCGAACCTAAATATCATGATGTAACGGCAAACGGGGATACAAATTTGAATCCGTACGATACACTGTACTATAGAACTGATTTATATTGAACTGAACACTGGTAATGTCCGAATGTTTAAATTTTGTGGAATGGATGGTTTTTATTTCAAAGACGTATTGAGTAGCGTAGCTAGGTTATAAGCGCCGGTACAATAAAAAACGATCGGGTCTTCATCACCTTTTCTTTGAACAGGATATTATATAAGTGTTTAATATATAAAGGGTTTGAAACGCGATATATTTTAGTTAAACTTTGGAAAATATTTTACGTTAGACCCGTCGTTTTGGAGGCTTTGCAGCAGCCGTGGTCACGGGGAGAAGTGGGTTTTAAACCGTTACTACTCGCGTAAACTACAGACAGTACCTATATAAGCCTACAAAATTATAGATAGAAACAAGAATCGCTGGCCCTCATTCACTGTGGTAAAAGCGCACTTTTGCAAACTATCGAAAAACTGAAATAACGGTAACAAATTCATCAACATGTTTATCGACTAAAGTTTGCTTTGCTAAAAGTATTAAACCAGGAGTTCTGTAATTGTTCATGATTATAATGATGTTAAAAATAAAAAATAAAAAGTTTTTTGTTCTAGTTTCTTGTGCTTATCTCTTTTTAAAGATGATGTTAGAGACCTAAGCTTCGGGTCCTGGTGCACTGCACCATCTGGCCTTTTTTTTGAATGGTTCTTACGTATTGAGTCCCGATGGGACCTCGAATACTAACTTATATATATGATAGCCTTATATGCCACTAGACGTATTGAAAAAAACGTGATTTAAGATAAACAAATAACCGAGTTAAAATTAACTTATTGTAATGGGGCAGAGTATCTTGGAGTTTATTTTAAATCTAAATTCCTTATGCTGTAAGTTTAATAATTTATTCAATGTAAGCAAAATATATATTTGTTTCCATCAAAGCACATAGTCCCAACCCACACATACACACATACGATTTCATCGGTCTGTTACATGTTTTCTTTCTTATGTATTTCTTTTCTAATAGCTTTGTACACACATGCTTATCATGAGAGTTCATGCATTGGCCAAACGAATAGCAGTTACGATAAGAAGCAGAAAGGCCTGAATTCCATATGTAAACAAAGAATTAAGAAGCTTTCTAAAATAAGAAATATCCCTCATTATTGTATTAAAGCAAAGACGCAATTATACATTTTATTTTGTATTATATTAGATAGTAAAAGGTATAATTTAAAATAAAATATGCAAATAAGAGGCACTTACATGCACATAAAACACTTCTAACTTATTTTCCAAATACCCCTACCATGAAATTGATGGCACTACTGTAACAGATTTGACTGTATCATTAAGGATACCCTTCATCTTCACACCCCCGTGACCACGGCTGCTGCAAAGCATAACGCCGGGCCGTAGTTGTTTAAACCGTTAAAAAAATTTATATCAATTATTTAAATCCATTATATTTCGTCAAGGGCTTTTGTAATGTTCTCATTCTGGAGATTATTATTAGCAATCACTCCTACCCAATTCTAATAGTACGTAAGACCTAATTTATATGTATCTATGATTTACTACCTCCACCCTCAGGAGTCATGACAATGTTGAAAACAGTGCTGTTAAATTAAACACTTTTACGCTTTAAAAATGAATCAACATTTCGAATTTTAAACAACGACCCGACGATGTTTCGAGCTTTTTGCAGCAGCTGTAGCCTCGGGAGAATTGTAATTATTTGTCTTTTATTACAAAAAATACGAATTCATTCATTCCGTGTTCCGCATTGTCAGTATAAGTCAACGAACTTGTAAGAAATGAAAAAAGGTTCGTAACACCTGAACCTGAACTTCTCTGATTTGTTTGTTACAGATGTATATATATAAAATAAATCGTATTTATGCTAAATTCTGCAAATGTGTTTTAATAATGTCTTTAAATTGTAGCTTTAGATTACTATAATTTACCAATCGTACAATTATATTGATAGTTAAGTAAGTAAGAATAAATCAGATCAATTTTTGGGTTTAAATAAAGTTCATACAAAAATAGACTTTGAAAATAAATAAAAAATGCTTTAAAGAAGACGATAATATATATTTTTGAACAGATATTGCAATTTTAAATCTATTAGTATAAATACACAAAGAAACTCTTACTAACTAACTAAGAAACAAACTCTTTAGCTGTATATGTCAGTACATATACAGCTGAAGTGTTTGTTTGTTTGAACGCACTAATCTCGTGAACTACTGGTTCGATTTGAAAAATTCTTTCTGTGTTGGTTATTGATAACTATTTTACGCGGACGAAGTCGCCGACACAGCTTGTAGTGTTATATAAATAACATATTTACCGACATAGCGTTCTTTATTTTTGATTTTCATTTGTCAGTTTAGTGCTTTATAGCGACTTCTGGGTTCAAAAAAGTAACTTTGATGAAAGATAAAACCCAAAACTCCAGTGTGTACCTCTGGATAGTTGTAGATCATGTATCCGTATCCGTATTTTAAACCGTTAAAGTGTTTTATTTAAATATTAATCTTAGACTTTAATATAAGCACGGAAAGCTGACGATGCCGGTTCAAGTCCTGCCCGAGTCGAAAATTTTTTTCAATTTATTTTCGATTTTTAAATTATATAGTGCCTTCATGTGCAATAACATGTGAAAAATATTAATGTTTTCAAAGCTGTGAAATGTTTACACTTCCGTTGAGACTTCGGAAATCCAAAGCCAAAATAAGTAGACAGCGCAACTTAATTAGAAGTTATTTTACGGTTACCTGGGGCAAAGAATAGCGGAAGATTTTCAACTTGAACAGCATACTGATCTATTTTCTTGTGGTCCTCGGCCAGACGCTAACAGGATTATCAGTTGGAAACCCAAACATATTCCCAATACCGGTAAATAGTCTCCAGCTCAGTTTAATTCTAGACTTAGAGCAATTTCATAAATATGCTGAGCCGCATCAGCATAGCAATTGGATTGATTGAGGTATGTAGCTCCACCCGGGAAGACAACTCTGGAAAAATCTGAACACATTATAACAATTCTAGGGACCGAGATTTTTTAAAGATTATTAGATTTACCGTTATTTACAACCTAAACGCATCATATAAAGCTGAAGAAGCTGTTTTGAACGCGATAATCTCAAAAACTGCTGGTTCGAATTGAAAAATGATTTTTGTAGTTGGATGATTTATCTAGGAACATTTTAAGGCTATGAAAAATCAGGCGGAGACCAATACGAACAAAGAAACAGAGGGAATTGGGAAAATTATGCATCTTTGAGTCCTTCCGCTGCGTTCTAGTAACCAAAAAATGTGTAAAAAATAATAATTATTTTTTAAATGATCTAAAATCTACATGCTACAGTATATGTCTATCTTTTAAAATGAACTGGTATAATTTAACTAGCCGTGGTGGTTGTTAGTATAATATTAATAAGATGCCGAAAATAACTATTCCCCGCGGACGTCGCGGGCACAGCTGGTAATGAAAACTACTTAGCGTTGGCCTGTATGTATTTAAGAATAGATGTAAGTTATGATATTTTACTAACCCATTAATTTTTTGCATAAGATCTCCGTAATATTGACGATCTTTGCCAATCCTGTAAAAAAGATGATTAATATAATCCTAAAAACATTTAAGAAACTACTTCTAAAAATTTAAATAAAACACTTTAACGGTTTAAAACGCATAAGTTAAACTTATTTGGAAATGATTTTTAACGTCTCCCCGTGACCACGGCTGCTGCAAAGCATCCGAGACGTCGGGCCGAAGTTAAAAATCATTTCCAAATAAGTTTAACTAATATATGGCGTTTTAAACCGTTAAAGTGTTTTATTTAAATGTGTACTACTCGCGTAAACTATAGACAGTATTTACTTCTAAAAATGTATGATATACTGGTTACAACTGCAGCATAGATACATACATACATTCCATATAATAATCTGTAGTTTACGCGAGTAGTGCACCGTTAAAATGTTTTATTTATATAACCGATATTTGCACTTACAGTCTTACACGATTAATAAGTAAATGTTAAACACGCTGAAATGTAAACAAGTTTTATTTAACGTTGTTTAGACGGTGAGTTGTAGTTACTATAGACTTATTAATATAGTTCGCGTTTCAATCGGTCTGAAGTTGTTCTAATATTTCTCAGAATATTTTTATTACTTACATAATAGGTACCACTCTTGCGCCAGATTTTTCGACATCTTTTACATAAGACGCAGCGATGTAGCTCATATAATTCTCAGGAAATCTGGGATCTTGGCTAAGAACTCCTATGATGGGACGTTCATTTACTTCTTCCAGGCATTTGAATGCATTATTGATGGATGCACTCTCGCAACTGCAAATAAAAAGGGAAGTAAAATACTGTCTATAGTTTACGCGAGTAGTACACATTTAAATAAAACACTTTAACGGTTTAAAACGCGATATATTAGTTAAACTTATTTGAAAATGATTTTTAACTTCGGCCCGACGTTTCGGATGCTTTGCAGCAGCCGTGGTCACGGGGAGACATGTGGTCCGAAACGTCGGGCCGAAGTTAAAAATCATTTTCAAATAAGTTTAACTAATATATCGCGTTTTAAACCGTTAAAGTGTTTTATTTAAAAGGGAAGTAAAAACTAATTTCAAATATATACTTATTCCAGAATCGAAATGACAGCCGAACATCCGAGCATATGTTATATACAATTTGATTCAAAGATAAATATCTTAATATTATTTAATCAGTACATCTTACTCAGATGTACTTTGATTATAGATAACAATCGATTTTAATAATCAAGATCTAGGCAAATACAGAGTGTACCACTGTGTGTGTGTGTAATTAAAACAACAACAGACGAATACACGAACACGACAAATAAGTAAACAAGTTAAAAAGCTATTTTCGATTGAAAAATTTAATTTATTTGATGCTCTCATGTGAAATACAATATTCTTTAAAACGAGTTAACTTACAACAAAGTTGTTTCTTCGGGAGTTTACGCTAGTGTTACACATTTAATACGACATTTTTAACCAGATTAAAACGCGAACTGTATGTATAACTAACCGTCCGCGTTTTGAATGCTTTTCACTATTTATATTTTTAGCTGTGCCATCGACGTCATCTGCGTAATATAGTTATTTTCTGCATCAAAGTTTCTTTTTGGAAACGTTCTCATTATCGTTCATAAATTAATTATAGCTGTTACAAGTTAATATTAATAAGATTTTCACACAAATAATATAATTTCGCGGAATTTTTTATAGATCGTTTAAAGAGGAATTATTCTTTGATACACAGTTTTTGGGTATTTTGTACTGTTTTTACAGCGAACACAATGGAATTATCCCTGTTATTTCCACATACAAATCTAAAGTTATTACTTAATATTATAAGTGCAAATGGGATATTATTACTATTAATTTAAAATTCAGTTAATCATTATTTTATCATCGATGTAAAGTATGTACCTTGGATTGTTCCATTTGTGATGAAATTAATTTATTGTTTTAACATAGTAATGATGTAAACGTGTACCATTTTGAATTTCAATTTTCATTATTATCAATTAATTGGTATTATCGATAACTTGATAGCAAAGATAATAGATAGAAGACTTCATAATAAATATTCCGCGCGTCTGAACCTACCGTCAGTACAGTACTCTTTTTGAATTTAGAATGAAGTGTCTAATTTTCGTGTCCCTCTTTGTTTTTAGCTGTGAATCCGCTGTTATAACAGATGGATTTCGACGTCAAAGAGAGATAAACGAACGCCCTATAATCGGGGTTCTGAGTCAAGAACAATCTCGTTATCTCCATAGTAAATTTCCAGAAGAAAATTATACGAGTTACATAGCAACATCATACGTTGATGATATAGAGAAATCTGGTGCGAGGGTGGTGCCTATATTGTAAGATGTATATTTAGATATACTTCTAATATTATGACCGTACATAAACCATTATATCGTATGTTTCAGAATTGGAAAGGAACGTAGCTACTACAGAGAGCTTATGCAAAAGGTTAATGGGTATGTTTGTTTATTTATTATTATTACAGTAAGTTAATAGTTTTATAATGTTAATGCATTTATAATTTTAACATTGATATGGTGTTTGAAAAATTAATAACATAGATGGGATATGAACCCGAACAAAATGAGCTATCTGATGAATTTAAACATTTTGTTAATGATCCGTGATCTATAAATATTTAGAAAGTGTTTTTCTTGGTGTAACTAATTAAATATACTTCAATTTAAATACAACTCTTTCAACAGTTTAAAACGCTAAATATATAAATATATTAGTTAACTTATTTACAATTTATTCTTGCTAATGGGAGGAGGGGGCTGCCAATTATCCGAAAAGTCGGGTCGGATAAGTGAACTAATAATTAATTAACATGACTTTAAATGTGTACCACACACGTATAAATGCACGAAATACTAAAATATATTAAATCTTAGGATTTTTCTAGATCTGAACATGTCAGATTTGTCTGGAAATCTGGTCCGGTTTCCGAACTACGGTCCGTAGATAAAAAGCCGTCATGTTTAATCGCGTTTCGGTTTCAGTCTATGGATTTCCGAATATCCAAAGTCAAAATGGCGCATCCTATTTAGACGTAATTTGGCTACGACCTTCAAGTAAACCCTACGCCTGTCCACCTATTTGAAAATCTAAAATATAATGTAAGAACTTTTCATACTCTTTAGAGTGCTTTTCCCCGGTGGTGCTACATTTTTCAACCAATCCCACGGCTACGCTGATGCTGCACAGCATATCTACGAAATCGCTCAAGAATTCAATGAAGCTGGTGATTACTTTCCAATATTCGGGACCTGCCTGGGATTCCAGCTTATCATAATTTTGGCTTCTGGTCGAGGTCCGATAGAAAATAGAGAAACATGCTATTCATTTGAAAACTTGCCCCTAATTTTATCTCCAGGTATGAAGGTGCATTCAATTGCTTTGAGTATAAATAAAACAGTTTAACGGTTTAAAACGCGATATTTATTAGTTAAACTTATTTGAAAATATATTTTTAACCCGACGTTTCGGATGCTTTGCAACAGCCGTGGTCACGGGGAGACAAAAGATGGAGGATGTCTCTGACGTCAAAGTAAAAACTGCTACGCTAGCGCTGTCTGTTCCGTCGAAGTTGGTATTCGGTGAAAGTAGCAAGGTACAAGGATTCGGCTAGTTGCGCCAAATAACAACTTGTAAGCTTAACTAATATATATGGCGTTTTAAACCGTTAAAGCGTTTTATTTAAATGTGTACTCGCTTAAACTACAAACAGTATTTATATAAAGTTGTTAAATTAAGTTTAGTTTAGTTTTACTGTGACTTTTAAATAAAACAATTTAACGATTTAAAATGCCAAAAAAAATATATATATATTATTAGACGCTTTACAGCATCGTACGTCGGGCCGTAGTTAATTAATTTTTAAATAGGTTTAACTAATATATATCGAATCTTAAAACGTTAAAGTGTTTTATTTAAATGTATACTACTCGCGTAATCTACATACAGTATTTATACTCTTTATGTAGACGGGTTACAGTTTGATTAGGTACGCTAATTTGATTAGTGCAAAGCTTATCAACCATCTAAAGTACACAACTACTAAATCAACTAAGGTTAGTAGGGATAAGTCCTTCTTTTGTCTTCGCCACAATTTACAAATTAACAATCTAACTTGTGAGTTCGATGCCTATCAGGTCCCACATGATTCTAAATCATAGTATTATATTTTGTCTAACATGTTAGATCCTGGTTAAAAATTCTAGAAGTGGGTGGCTTGATTTCCAAATGTCCAAAGTCAAAGTAAGTCTGTTATTTATACCGTATATACAGCTACCGTCGTTTGTTATGTAACATAATTATAATGTTTTTTGTATTTCAGACTTTCGTAGCAGCAAAATGTATAAGGACATAACAGACGAACAAGTTAAGACGCTTGTTAATGAAGATGTTACAGTCAATTCTCACCAATTTTGCATTCTTGATAAGGTAATATCAACTAAGTCGAATTAAAAAAATTGACTGGGTTGGTTGTGTCATAAATCGATTAGTGCAAGTGTATTTGCCATGTTAAATTTTTACTTACGTATTACAACATAGATATCTTTATTAATTTTACAGAACTTGGAAGCTTACAATTTAAAACGCGACTGGAAAGCGACGTCATATGGATACGACAAAAACAATATCAGATTTATTGCTTCCTATGAGCACAAAAGGTTTGTCTTACAAAAACTTATGTAATAATGCGTCGAAGTTGACAAGGACCTTAAAACTTTAGTCTACTTGGAAATAAGTGTAACATGACGCAATACTTCCGTCACATTAGATTAGCCATTTTGCATGCGAAATACCACCAATCTTTTATTGTTCGTATTTCAAAAAGTGTTTAACTTTACCAGCGCGTAATCAATGTCTTTTGTTTTATCACCAGATTATTTCTCTTTCAGATATCCCTTCTACGCTGTTCAATTCCACCCAGAAAAGAATGCGTTTGAGTGGAAAAGGTCCAAACGCCACCCTCATTCAATGAGAGCTATAAAGGCGAACCGACACTTTATGGATTTCTTCGTGGATGAATGTAGAAAGAGCACTCACTCCTTCCAGAACGAGAGAGAGGAAAACCAGTATGTTATCTACAACTACCCAGCGGTAGCTACAGGAATCCTCGGCAGCGCTCATCAACAATGTTACTTCTTTGAACCGAGAGGAACTGTATCTAATCAATAGATCCCTTTTTTTTATTTAAATTTGTACTACTGGCGTAAAGTATAGACAACGTATTCAAAGTAGTTTGTTTAACCACAACATAATAAATAAAGAAGTTTCTTTTATAATGACCAAAAATGACTAACACGACTTTTCTGAATAAATTACATACAGCAATAAGTCTCGTTTATAATTTCTACGGAGAAATTTCCCACTTATCAACGATGATTTTATTACTTCTTCGAATGTTCTGAGCGTTCTAATCAAAAGTCTAATTCTATGCGAAGTCAAAAAACTCCCGACCTATTTGCCCTAATTGAAAAGGATTGGGTTGATATGCAAAATATATCGCCTTACAAAAGATTAAATAAGATGAAAAGCAATGTAAAATCTATTCGTAAGTATTCACCAAAATGTGTTGGTTTTTATAGAATAGAAGGTTAATTAAAACAATAGCCCCCAAAACAATGGGGGGCTGAGGTGAGTGGAAGTATAGCAACAGGTGGAGACTGCATAGTTAGTAGAAAGATAACCCAAGTTTTAAGTAGGAACTTCAAATAAGAAGAAACAAAAGAATAATAATTTAGTTGAGTCTAAGCCTGATCTAGTATAATAAACTTAAGAGTTTGTCTGTGAAGAACGAATTGAAAAATTCTTTTTGTGTTGTCTATGTCTATATAACATCGCGATTAAACTAATAGGAGCGAAGAAACAGCGGGAAAAGTGAAAGAAACACAGAAAAATACTTCATCTCTGAGGGTTCGTTGCAAGAACGGTTCAAATACCTAAAAACTATGTATACAAGTATGATTCCTCTTGAAATGATCTAAAAAATGTCTGCGTCAGCGATATGTCTGTCTTTTAAGATGAACTTGCCAGAACAACGGGATGCGGCCGACGTCGTGGGTAATAGCTTAAAATTATAAAAATAAAGAAGAGGTTTGCAAAAAGAATTTTTTAAGCCCAAAATAACTATTCTACGCGGATTATTAATAATTGCCTTAAATGGGCATTGCTCCCACCCTTGGAGTCGTACGTGTTCCAGGGCTTCCTTCAAAGCACCGTAGCGGTCTGGTGGTATGCTTAATGGTTCTGGTCGACTATTGTCTCCGAGGAGGGTTTAGTACGATTTACCACACTCCCCCACGTCACTATTACCCGACGTAGGCGCGTATCAGGCATTCACACCATTATTAAAAAAAAAGTGTTATTGAGTAAATAAAACAATACTGTAACAACAAAATATCTTTCGAAATGGGAAATGTTTCTACAGAAAAAAGAATTCAAAAATATATGTATATTAAATTTTTGTATAATTATTTAGCTGCGATTTCGTTTCAATCATCTAGAATATTCCTAAAATTCACCAGAATATGCAAATTAAAAATATATTTTTTTAATTTTTTATTCATTAAATTGTACTTAACATATTCAATTTCCAATTTCGAACAACCATATCGCTCGATACATCATTTGGAAAAATCGGACTTGATTACTCAGGAGTTTTTATTATCTAAAAAAACAAACGTGACATTTATTTTATATTTTTTTACCCCCTTTTTAAATAAACTTAAAATATTAAGTAATGCCAAAATAACAGCAAAGTTGTAGATGGTGTTAACATCGTTTCGTTCTAGAACGTCGTTCTATTTATGTAACCACTGCCACTTGCAATGTCAGAACTTTGATGAGGTCGTAATATAAAGTAGTGCGCGATCAAACATAGCTCAGGGCTGTTTGCTTCTGTCCTCAGCCACATTTGAAGGGTAGCGACCTAAAACTGAACAAGACACTCGAATATATTGTGCAGCCCCAAGCTGTTGACATCTTTCTTAAATTGCCCAGGTTTTTAGCTTTAGGAACTATGCCTATAACCATTTAGGTCGAGGAAAATTAATGGTGCCTCGATATATATTAAACTATTTGTAACCCATATCGACGTCCGTTTTTTGATCTTTAAAAATAGACATACATTGTCGTTAGATCATTTAAAGATGAACCATTCTTTCATACGCAAGAGTATATGTTTGGTTTCTTGAACGGTTTTCGCAGCATACGAAACAAAGATGAGCAATTTTCCTCGTTTCTTCCACATTTCACACTTTTTTCGCTCATATTGGTCGCAGCGTGAGTGCATTTATATTCTCATTATTCGTCAAGTCGAAATTTTTTGCTCGACTTTTAAATATTATATAATAACATAACACTAAATGATATTTATTTAATTTGATGTAATTTTACAAATTGTTGTAATAATTACATACTTGTTCAATATAAGTTTAGGTTATCTTTTGTCAAGGTTAAATCTTCAGGTTTAATAATTATGATTTATGTTTTATTTAGGTCAGGTTTAGGTGTTTCCACGCTATTATTGAGAATTACTATCGTCCCATAAATCAGCATGCAATAGTGTATGCATAGTGACGAAATCCTTGTATTGGCTTTCGTTTTAGGGTTAAACGAATATGCTTAGTTGTTTGTTTTTTTGTTAGTAGTTTGTTTACCGGCATATTAATCACTTTCGTAGAATTGTTTACTGATGATACTTAATACTTCGAAACCGAAGCGGATCGTTAGTACGATGAATACGCAATGAGCATACAAAATATTTTGATACGTATTGAGGAAAGAAGATGAGAACAACTGTTTATAACTTCGAAGCTTTTCCTGTCGCGACTCGAGAGGTCAATGTACTTTCCCATGTTCAGGAAAATCTAATGAGACAATTTAAATCGCCATTCTTACTGATCTTCTGTTAGGTGATGCGTAAAATCAAAATTGTATTCAAGTAGAATTATATTGGAATGAGAAAAGTTAAATTCCACGTCTCGCATCCGTTCCTTCTACATATTTCTCGATACAGGCTGATTATACACTAAGCAACTTACGTTCAAGTTTATGTTAGTTAGTTACGTAACATACATAATTTATTTTGTATTTTAATATCGATATTTAAACGATAAAAATGCTTGGGGTGTAGAGATCCCGCTCTAACAAGATAATAAAACTCGGCGATAAAAGGAGTGACGGCGAGTTTCTTGCGAGTTCTTCTCGTTCGTTCTACGGCCTTGATTTGTGAACTGGTAGACAAGTGAAAGTTAGATTCTCTAATTTTATGACGTCATAAGTGAATCTAGTTACCTACATAAATAAATGATTTTTGACTATTGATTTATTCTCTTAAAATAAATTAATGTGTAAAAAAATTGACATGATTGAATGACAGTTGACCAAAAGCCCTTTTTAACCTTTTTAACTTACTTAATATAGTTGAATATTAGTATCAATATTATGTTTTAAAAGACCATATAAATTTAATTTGAGTACAAATAAATTTTAATGGAAAGATGAAGAATTAAGTTAATGGGTGAATTTTGATGGACAAAATATGCAGCGACAAGAAAAAAAATTCGTAGCTTAACTGTGGGAGCTGAAATAGATAGGAACATTCCAAATATCTTACGCGAACAAAACGTGTACAAAATTCCTTCAAATATGAAAGTAACACTACGAACTGCTTGTATCGAAATTTAACCTATGATACTACTCATGGGAATATAAATATTATTATTTACAGCTATTAAACAGTGGATGAGAGTCGAGACAGGTTTCACAATGCGATGGGTACCAAAGGAAAACTCTCTTCATATACTTAAATACTGTCTGTAGTTACGCGAGTATTACCCTTTAAAAAAAAAACATTTTAACGGTTTAAAACGCGATATATTTTAGTTAAACTTGTTTGAAAATTATTTTTAACTACAGCCCGACGTTTCGGATGCTTTGCGACCATGCGAGCCATAAATCTCTTAAAGTTCTATATAATTTAAAAATCGAAAATAAATTGAAAAAAAATTTGACTCGGGCAGGACTTGAACCGGCATCGTCAGCGTTCCTTGCTGTTGCTCCCGGTAACTCAATTGGTAGACCAACAGCATGGAACGCTGACGATTCCGGTTCAAGTTGAGAACCTCTTCTCGCTCACATCGGCCGAACAGCCCGAAAGACAATGATATGCTGAACGATGGCCGTGAAAGGCTTTCACAATTTATGAATTACCTTGTATATGTCTGAATTAACTCGCTACAGAGCCAATTGAAAGTTTTATCCTTAATAGGCAGACCACTTAAAAGTATTTTGGGGCCAGTTTATAGGAAGTTAATATTTCATTGACCGCATTAAGGGTATTAAAACGTTCCGGTTTCCCAACAAAAGCACTTTTTTGAATAAAGCGGCCATTGGCTTTCTATACCTCGTCTAATATATGACGACAAGTTGTAGGCAGACAGCAGCCGACAAGGTAGTTCACGCCTATGAATTATTGCATACTTTGGCAAACATTTAATAACGTACTTTATTGTTGCCCTAAGACAAATGCTTAGCGAACTAATAATCTATATAATAATTAAAATTAATCTAACGTCAACAGTCGTAAATTTCAAATTCAAAACTCATAAAGTTTCAAAATTCTTCAGTTACGACATTACAAGGGATAGCAGAACTTCGTTACATTACGCGTTACTGTGCCAGTCGATGTAGTATGTCAGGCTATTCTAAAGATAGACTTATTTTTGTTCGAAAACTTTAATATTTTTTATAAGTTATTAGTACATGTTGGCATTATATAAATTAACAACTATTCGGATAAACAAAATACCACACAGGCGGGACTTGAACCGACTGAATTGTTGCTGAGCAAATGTAAAATAAGATTTGTCTAAATAGATTTTTAATTTATGTTTTATTATTTGTTTCATATACAAGGTTAGTCCTACTTCGTGCGAAACCTGAAAGTAGTTTGTTCAGAATCAGTAGCAGAATCCATTCCCAAAAGTTTTTATTTTATTTAATTTACTTTATTTACTTCTTTTACATTATAATTTTATTTTAAATAATTAAACTAAAAAAAACCGTCTTTCGGTTTATGCTAACCGGCTTTGGTACCTTAAGACATATTACGTCTATAAAAGCTCTTTAAAATCATCCAATTTGACAAAAAATATACCACGTTATATTTTTTG